AACCAGGAGACAAAGTTTGGTTGGACTCCACGAACCTACATCTTCCTCGACCAATGAAGAAGCTAGGAGATAAATGTGTCGGACCATTCGAAGTGTTATCCAAACATGGTGCCTCCGCATATAAATTGCGCCTCCCTTCCGCTTGGAAGATCCACGATCGCTTTAACGAAAACCTTCTCACCCCGTATCACCTGCCGGAGTTCCCAATCCAAATACAGCCCTTGCCTCCACCACCGGACCTAGTAGACGGACAAGAACAATATGAAGTGGAAGAAATAGTAGATCGAAGGGAAAGAGCCCCCCGCAGAAGAGGAAGAAGACGAAGCACTGGAATCGAATACCTCGTAAAATGGAAGGGATATCCAAGAGAGGAAAACTCCTGGGTAGACGAACAAGACCTAGACAACGCCAGGGATGCTATCGAAGACTTCGAACAAGTCTCGTTCATTACCCGACCACCTGCAGACTGGTGGGAGGGAGGAGACGAATCCGACTCCTGGTCAGAAACAGAGTCGGTAACCGAGTCAGAAGTCGACCACCCCTTGGTACAGGCAATACAAGAATACCTGGTAAAACCAAACGCACCCTCGCTTGTAGGAGCCTACCTTCCAAAACCAAACTACATTGCAGTCGGGACGACTGCCTTAACAGGGGGGTAATATTACGATTTCGCGCTCTATCTTATCTTATCGGCTCTCTCGTAATCTCGCTATGATAATTCTCCGGACTTGATCGCATTCTACCATGCGGGTTCAGTACGTTTACCGTACCGTTGCAGACACTTGTAGTATATTTAGCACGACCCAAACTGTATTTAAGTAGCTCGACTGCAGGTCTTAAACCTCAGTCTCGAACTAAAGTTTATTCACCCGATAACTTAGTCTGAACTCACTCTCGCTCAACTAAGCGATAGCTCCCTGCACATAAACCTGTGAGCAACACAAGGCGCCTGACCGAAGTGCGAGTCACGCCTAGTTGTTTGATCTTGTTTGTGTAATCGGTCGCTAACAGAACTGCTATAACCTGAGTGTCTATTTCACAGAGAGCCATGATGAGAGCGTGGCGAGTGTATATACAACTGGTTGGTGCTTAGCTGGTTTATGGGCCAGTTCTAACCTATGTTCTTGTTGAGTATACGCAGCTGCACCATGACATGTTTTTGGAGACCTCAGAACAACATATAAGATTGAACGGTTGATGAGGTGAGGCACAAGTGACAGTCGAAGATCGGATCGAGCTGGATAGATCAAGGATGGCGGCTGTCTGCAGGCACAGAGATCCCATCAAATTGGTATGATGATACTATGATCAAGCCAAAAATAAAAGCCAATACAAAAGGGGAATGGAAAGAGCGCAGAGTGGGCAATGATGAGCGGGAGGGCGGAGCATAGGGTGTAGGGAAGGGTGGGAAAAATCGAGCGTGACAGCTTTGATGTGGCTGTGCATGGGCTGGGCACTTGTGTACAAGCCAGTCCCTGATGTGTGCACAAATCTTGCATCCTGTAGTTACAGGGATTTGTACACAAGTCCATTCCCTGATACTACAGGACATTTGTGCACAAAATGGACGGTAGAGCCTCAACGAGTGTGACGGTAAGTGAATTAACCTGCATTGTCAAGCGGTTCACACCAGAGACGCAGACGAGCTGCGTGAGGGTGTTGAGGAGGAGGGCAGGGTAAGCGGTGGGTATCAATATAGATGATATCTTTGGCCCAGCATGGATAAGATGAAATTGTGTTGCAAGGTCATTTCAAACGAGAAAAAACATGGGAAGGGCTAGGAAGTGGAGGTAGACCGCAACCATGCAAATTGAAGCTGTCTGACCCTGCACGCATTTCCATCGACCGCAAGGGCACTATCTGCTTGAAAAGCAGATGTTCTCTGTGCCTCAATGCTCCTTTGTCCTGCAGGTCATTTTTGGTAGCATCGTTGATGTTAAATTCTTTTGTTATTAGTATTTATTTCAGAATTGGGCTTCCTTCGCTCAACCTTTATGGTTTGGTAAGTCTCGGCTCAGATCAAGGCTGTCTGACATTACATCGTGTTTCATCCACAATGACACCATCCGCTTTAAAAAGGCAGATATCCCTTGAGAGACCTCCAATGTTCCTTAGTTTCTCATTTTCCTCCTTTCTTTGGCAAACCAAAGTCGATGCTAACTTTTTGGTCACAGAAAACATCGTATTCAGAACGTGGTGCTAGCTAATCTGCATGATTCATGAAAATGCCAGGCCAGTGCAAACGCTGTCTTCGGCGAACACTGCCAGGAATATTTCCTTGGTACCGGTATGCGCAAACGAACCTCCTCCCATGCCAATGAAGTTGAGTTCTCTATGAATGGGAGGATTATTTCGAGAAATGCATTATCAGACAAGTGTCCTTTATGCAGTGACAGGAGAGAGGTGAGCCAGAGTGTGAAGGTGATAAGAGAGAACACACAAGACAGTAAGTGACCTCTCTCTTCACTAAAATTGCCATGTTCACCTTCCCCATAGAGTATCAGTCATAGACTGATCTCGAACCACTTTCCACCAACAAATTAGAATGCGATGGTGTGCCCTTGAGCATTGCATTGTGAAGAACTTGTTCACATGTATGCATTACTCAACTGGCCTTGATCTGAATTGGTGCAAAATGCGAGCTGGCAGCAAAGCCGCCGAGTAAGCATTCTGCTCGGCTTTGTTGTGCATTTGCTTATTACTCAGGATGTAAATGTTTTCTCGTTTCTTGTTTGTAATGTAATAGATTAGACTTGAACATTAACCGGTAAAAAACAACTACTTTGTGACTGGAGTAGATTTGGGGATTAAAAATAAGGTCGGAGATTCAAGGGAAAGAATCGGGACCGTTGCGGAACACATTGCTACACCGATTGTGAGAAGGGGGGTCCATAAAGATGCCACTTTGTAAACGAGGTTGTCCTTTTGGATGGGAAATGGCGGGAATACTTATCTGGTCCTCAGGCCGTAAGTAGTGAGGTTTGGCTCGTAAGAAGAGAGACTGATTCAGGTTAGGCCATGGTAGTCGTTGGGTGGTTAATCACAGATGTTTAGCATTGTTGACAAAATAATCTTATCTGCAGCCAATGAATGATTTCCCCCCAACATGGAATGGCCCGGGTATCCAACAGGTATCAAGTGTCGAGACTATTGATCCAAACTTAGCAGCAATTAGGAGGGCACTAAGTATACGTCCATCAGTGGACTCTTCGAGTGAAATGAACATAGTATGATTAAACACTTAGAACCATGTGCATGATGAATCAGAACCCATTTCATTTTTGTATTTTGCACGACACTCTTTGTTCCCGCTCTGACTAGCATCATTGCTTCTCTCAACTGACTGTGACTTGTGATGATATCATCACTGGGCAATATGCAAGCACGTGGGAAATATCTCCGTGGTCTTGAGACTTGGGGGAGGCCTTATCAATGCAGAGCCTTTCCTTCCTTATATAACCTGTCAAGAAATTTTTTGTCACGTGGAACTTGAACGGAACAAGAGCCTCTGGTTCTGCAATGCCCTTGGCATTGGCACTGGTACTAATCAAGTTGTTTGACCAATGGACCATATTGTGTGATACAATGACGATGATGAGTGCACGAGTGCGTGGGTCTGGTTCCCAGAGTACCTACGGCTTATCTTCAACAAATATTCCGATTCAAGTTCTCCTTGTGAGCTTGGGAGTGCTGTTTTCAGCAAAAGGGTGCTTCATAGTGGAGAGGCTATAGTGTCCATTCGCTACAAAAATTCCCTATAACTATAGTGGAGCGACTTTTGTAAAAATCCCTATAACTATAGTAATGTCAAATTATACGTATCTTGTAGGGATGCCATCACTTTTTGATTCCTAATTATACGTATCCCTTGTAGCAGTCTCGCCAGCCCTAGCTAGGTCCAGAAACTGTTGCCGTATGGCTGCCAAGTTAGGGTCCACGGGCACTGGATCGGTGTTCGTTGCTTGGGCCTGAAAAAAAAATCGCAGCCCAGAAAAATAATATTTAATGATTTACTATTGCCTCCTGACCCACGTGCAGCCTATTTTGGCTGGATGCACCCATGCATACTTGGATGTATAAAACTGTGGGAAAATATCATTCCCAATGCGGTGGCAGCTCTGTCAGCTTTGAAAGCTGGGTAAAATTCTGCATTGCACATGGATTATTCAGGCTCAGTTTAATTAAAATACATTTATGTGATATATAAATGCTTAACAGAGTCTAAATACTGTCATTCAACTGATACGCAAACAGGAAAATGCCCCTCTCACCATGGTCGGAATTTGCCGGATGCACCCCAATTAGGGGCATAGGACAGAATACCCTTGCAATCTCATACTCCTAGGGCTTTCTGTACCTCGAAAATATGATAGTCATATCTATATTTCATGATTTTACATTTTATGCCAATAAATTAGCCTTTAATTCATGTTTATTTGACCAATAAATGCGAATAATGGTGAGACAATTGTTGAATTCAACTTTTACAAAAGTATGCAGCACAATGTGCATCTAAATAATGATATAACAAATGAGAAAAAGACTTCCTGTGTGAATTATCAATGATACAAATGCATATATGGATCTGCCCTGAAGTGAATATATTATGAACACTCGTAGTACGCAAAACGAGCTTGTGAACTTTTGTCTGATTCTGTTTTCACTTCTTATGCATGAAACGGTATAATGGTGAGACTATAAGCAGATCGGGGTGGATCGGACCATTATTTTGACTTATACTAGACATAACCTTGCATTTTCAATGAAAAACATACCTATTGAGATGGTGCACAAATATATAGAACTGGTATTTGCTTACAAGTGCCCTAAAATGTGGGGCAACCAACGTAAATTGAGGATTATCATGAGATGAGGGTATCCTGTTGCATTAAAAATTATATATACACAATCCTTATACCTATAATACAAGATTCCGATATGCTTTGGGGCATCGGAGAGTGTACATTGAGCAGTGGAAGCATCCCGATGATGCATTCCACTCAGTCGATCACTCCGGACTGCACAACCGCACCGTGATCGAGTGGCTGTGCAGCACCATTTTCTGTTCCTCTCCACCACATCCACTTCCTTTCCTGCCCTCTCGCTCGTCTGTTTTGCCCATTGTCATGGGTATATGGTACGTTTGAATTGTTTTTTATACTGACATGTCAAATTTAGGTCTTTTTGGCATATCCGGCAGCCCCAAGATCCCTGGGTAGTGACCATTTCATCCCCACCACACGCATAAGCCCTCACCCAAGGCAGCACTGCCAGATATGACCGCAACACTGTACGTTGACGACGTGACCCATGCATCCCTGCCATTGCCCCAATACAACCTACATTCTGCTGCAACCCATCCCATGCCCCCCACACGCGCATCGACCTCGATTGTCATTGGACACGCAAGTGTGGCACGATGACGACACAGGATATCACTAGGGTTTCCATATCAGACCTCATCATGCAGCGGGACGGCACCTGTAACAGTGACAACCACAATGACAACGATGACGGAAAAGCCAGGAGACTTCGAGCATGATGAGGGTTAGGGTGGATCTTAGGCTAGGGATGTAGAGGGAGACTGGGCAGCATACTGGGGAGGAAGGGGGAGAGTGGGAGGGCAGGATGGAGATCAGGCCACCAATGTCCAATGACGGCAGCGACCTGATGTCCGTTTGGGCGTCAAATGTCCTCCAAGACATGGGGGATCCAATGGTGGTCTCCATTTTCTCTCACGAGCCCGCCATGATATTCATTAGTGCCATCGATCCCTAAATCGCTCCCTAGCTCATCCCTAGCCCATGCCGCCTATATGTTAATTTATTTTTGTATTATATAGTATTTTATATTTATTTATTTGTTTTACAATGCTTTAATTGTGAATACTAAATATTTTATTACTGATACCCGTAAATAGGGAGTGCAAGAGTGGGCAGGAATTGGTTGGGCACGTGGTGGGGAGAGACCAAGAAATGGATTGCATGTGAAAATTCATGGCTACATATAACTTCGCTTTCTAGCAGATACATGAATTTGACAGGCCTATAGTTATAGGGATTATTACAAAAGTGGTTCCACTATAGTTATAGGGATTTTTACATAGAATGGACACGAAGGGATGCTGGCTTTGCGAGGCTGTGAGAAAAAGTCAGGTCAAAAAGTGACCTGCCTGTCGCTGATTTGTGACTTGCACCAGCCTTTGTGATTAGTCAGTGACCGGGACAACACTGGCTTACATACATGTAGTTCTACTTTAGGGTCTATCATTAGAAACAACCGCACGAGGCCAGGAAGCTAATTTACACACAATTTCAAGACGGTTACCATCACGGGTGACAAGGTGACAAAGTATGGCAACTTAACGGCAGGGGACAAACAGGGTCGGGACCAACAGCGAGTCTCAGCCAATGGCGCAACACGATCGATCTCGCCAATCTCTGCCTGCCACCGCACGCGATAGCGGACACACAGAAGGATGCGTGAGCATGAGCGCATGATGACGACGACGACGGGATGGGACGAGATGGAGACGAAGGAAGGAAGAAAAGAAAGAAAAAGGAAAAAGCGAGGGGAGGGAAAGAGGGTAGGTAGGGAGAGCCCCGTACCCCGTACACAATAGTTAAATATATAGACGGGAATTGAATAATATACAGAAAGAAAAGAAAAAGAAAAGAAAACGAACGCACATATAGGGCCTCGACAATGTTGAGGGAGAGGGGGAAAACATTGAGAAGAAGAGAGAGAGAGAGAGAGAGAGAGAGACAAGGGTTGGAATCTGAAGCAACATTCTTCCTTAAGTAAGGGAGAGGATCTCTGCCACGAGCCATGAGGCCAAAATGTAGGTAGGACGGCAAAGGCAAAGGCAAAAGAAAGGGCGAGACCGAAGAAAAAAGACGAGGGTCCAAGCCAAGTGAGGCAAACATCTTTTTAGTTGTCGGAACATCATTTTCTCGCTTCTTCATGTTTACAAAACACTGTCAGTGCCTGCCAAAAGATTTTGGAAGCCTACTTGAACCTGCAAAATGACGTTCACAACACTTCCAAGACATTCCCAATAGGACTCGATAAATGACATGTGTTTGGTCAGGTTTGTGCTACCCTCATAATCTGTGGCAATTTCATATTTTATTGTATTGGTAGTCATACAGAAGCAGACAACATACAAGGCGACATTTTTGAAGATAACGAAGCAAAATGTAGTGACATTTGAGGCAAGGCAAGGCAGGGAAGGCAGGGGTTCTTGAATTGAACTAATCATTTTGTTATATGGAGCATACATTCAGACACAGGAATAAGAAACTGGCAAGAAATATATATGGTTAGACTACAATACAAGAAAGAACTTTTTAATATACTGTTCAATGATCATACACTGGCTTACGGCAAGGGAGGATTGGAGGACGGCCGAAAAAGTCGAAAAATGTCTGTGCATAATGCACCGCCAAAGCCTTCTCTACCTTTAAGGAACCTTCTGATTCCGTCATACCTAACAAGCCATGACATGCTCCAGGTAGAGGAACCACCCAGCCCCGCATCAGCTCTCGCAGATTCCGGAGACGTTCCCATCGTGTCACCCACTCACCGCCAAATCCATCACCCACACCTTCTCCTGCTGATGGTATCAACGAACCGCCAGGAAACACAGCCAAAATCATATTCTGACGATCAGATGCGAAGTTGTTGATGGCACTCATAGTGGCACTGACTGCCAATGGCATTTCCCAGTCCTGCGCCACACGATTGTCCAACGCAAGAAGTTCGTAACGGAAGTTGAGCTCACAGAGCTCCCAGATGAGTTGACGACCACGATGAACATCGAAGGGGTGATCATCAGAAGACGGCGGTGGGACGAGTTGGACTATGACGCCTTGATCACGCATGCATGACCCTAGCATATCTTCAGCTGCTTTGAAACTCTTGATAGATGAGGAGCTCTTCAGCTTGCTTGAACTAGGCCCATCAGCGCGTTTGAGGGCAAGGGCTAGTAGGTCTCGCCACTGCTGAGGGCGGAGTGGTGATGCCTCGGAACCCATAGCGGTTGCACGATACTTCGAGGCATCAAAAGAATGGTCAAGTTGTCAGAGATATGCTTTTTGCCACACTGCATTGACATTGGTAATGATTCTTGGATCAGGAAACATGTAAGCTGTGGCCACCAGATCAGGGGAAAGAGTTTGGGCACGTTCAGATTCTTCATTGATTGAGGACAGGGCTTCTGACCAGGCAGAAATAGCAAGAGGTGCATAATCACCATGGAGATCACTAAACTTGTCTCGACTGATATCTATCTCAAGATGAGTATGAGTTGTCCCCAAAATAAATCAAATACTCACTGTTGGCATTTTTTTTATGTTTTGGACGACCAACCTGGGACGAGTAGTCCAGACGATGAGAAACATCACGGTCCAGGCATAAGGGTCCTGTCCTAGAGGAATTTTGTGGCAGCATTGTGGATGTAGATGATGGTGCAACTGCAGAAGAAGGAACCATACAAAAGTTGAATGGGTCACGGTACCCTTGGAAAAGGCGTAGACATTGGTGTTGAGCCACATATTTTTTGGGATCTGAGGGTGGCCCATCGAACACGATGGGAAAGGGACGTGCAGGATGTGTGATGCAGGTCCCTGGAGGAGATGGCTCAATGATGCGTAGGATAACTTGATTAGTGAACGACTCCCAAGGACGAATGAAGAATACAGGGATCTGGGCTTTGAAAAAGAGTTGGGTGACACTGACGTCCCAGGTGAACATCCCAATGCGATGTTCAGCCCTGTGTGCAGGATGCAGAGACTTGATGCCATCCATGACCAGCTTGACCCAGTCCATGTAGTCCAGAGCAGCAACGATCTCAAGCCAGAATCTCTGCGCAGTAGCAACTAAAACCTGGATCGTAAAAATATCCGTCGTGACATGCCCCAGACGGTCAAGTACTGCCTGTAAGCGAGAACGTAGGATACGTAGCAAGTCGTGGTAGTCAGATGATTTTTTTTGGTCTGCCAACATATTTCCACATCGGCCATCAATGTAATTGAAAGCACGGGATAGTCGGCCACGCCATGGTCTTCGTAACAGGCCTATTCCTTGAACAGAGCTGGCAGCCCACTCGATATCGTTACTGGTTATATTATCCCACATGTATATGTAGTCCTGGTAAGGATGATCCTTCGAGAGGCTAGTAGGCTGCCGTGGAATGAGCGGAAGATGACAGTATGCTTCTTCGTAGTACTGTGGGACATGGCTGTAGTTGTGCTCCCCAAAGCGACCATCAGTGTACAGATGAACCTCCTTGGTGGTTGGCAGCAAAGGAATGAAGTCAGAAGTTGGCGATGTTATAAAGAACTGGCGGTCAGGGAAAATGGCGCCAACACGACCATCGTTAAATGACAAAGTACCTAGAATTATATAGAAAATCCAGAACTAAGTAAAGGAGAGTACAGAATTACATACCCAAAAAGGCTCGCGAGTTCCTTAGCAAGTCTTCTTTCTTAATGACACGAGTGAGATTCATGTCAATAATACTTCAGCTAGTTAGCATAAAATCGGGAATCAACAGTAAACATACACACTTAGATGATTTGTAGTTAGTGTGAGAGCTTTGGAATATGCGAGTTAGGTGATTCTGGAGGACGGGGGTGAACCACAACCACGCCGTCTCTACACCAATAGTAGAGGCAACGTTCAAGTGCACCAGAGCACTTGAGACGACAGCCAGAAACACCAAGAGTTTCTGGCTGCAAGGCTGTATGGGCTATGGGGTATTTGTATCCACAGTGTGAAAGGTACGATTTTCTGTTCAAGAAACTCAGTCAACACGTTAGAACAAGTATAAAGCACTTACTGAAGGTCGGATGGTGATGGCGAACTTAGAAGGTGAGAAGGGACTTTGGCGTTATTTGGCTATGCACCTCAGTCCTTTCCGGTATTCTACGGTCTAGTTGCGCTCCACTAATACTATCTATCAACCAGGCATCTCCGGAGTACTGGCATGCGTTGGCATGAGTTGTGGGCTTCAGACTTTTGGCGTCTGGGTCCAGCAGATAGGCTATTGGCGCCTATGTGCTTTCATAGTATTCTCCTCCTGGTGGGGAATACTGTTGATGCAGCTCGTGCCATCAGTCTTCACCTTTTACTGCCGAGTTCCTCCTTTCTATGTGTTTCTAATCTGTAATTACTTACACAAATATTCACCCATGCTTTTTCTGATATCCTCTGCAAGGATCCAGACTCCAGGCCGCGCGACGTCAGATGGCTTTGAGCGAATCTGGGTGGAGAGGAAGACGACGACGAGAACCGCCGCCAAAACTTTGAATCCATTCTCTGCCATCAACCATGTCTATGACCCATCCAGCACTGTCGCGCACATCGAGCTCACTGTTTCGGACACATCTTTTTGGACACATCTCTTACAATCGCTACGCTCAAAATAACAAGTCAACGTTGTCTTGTGACAATGCAGTCCTTGTACTAGCTGATGGATCCACCTTCAAAGGTATCAGAGGGAACGAGCGTAGCAGGTGAATACGTTTTTCAGGCCGGTACGCTGTGCCCATTTTTTATGGGGAAAAATCTTCTGAATTTTTTTCTTATAGGTATGGTAGACTACACATAGTCTTTAACCAACTCGTCCTATGAAGGACAGATCCTCATCCTGACTTATCCTCTCATCAGCAACTATGGCATGTCCAAATGACTGAGCATCACCTCTGACCTCCCAACCTAGTTCAAGTCTTATCTTACCAAAAGTTCAGAAAGCTGTAGCGACTTGGATCCCCAAGCAAGATACAGTGACTCTTCAAACCATTGTATTCCCTTGGCTTCCTCATGTAGGCCTCCGTTTAGAGGAAGTCATTGGGAATGCCAGATGGAAAGTAAAGAACCTACTCTGTAGCTGGATGGCAGGCGACGACATTCCGAAGGATCTCATTGCTTGGAAAGACGTATGTCACAATCTCTTCGGTAACTCTGCCTTTACTGATCTTGAAATACTACAGGTGTTCGATTCGAGCGACTGGGATAGCATCCTGCTGAAATATAAGTTGGGTTCGATGCTGAGAAATGACTTCCGTGTCTACCCACGAAATCAACGAATGGAACCATTGCAACACGTCCTTCTGTGAGCAGAATTCATCTGCCTGAACATCTTCTCACAACTAGTTGAGACAGAATTCTTTCCAAAGTGGCTGGATGTTCTGCACATCTGGCTTACACAGCCGAATGTCAGTTTAGAGGAGGTGATGCAGTGGTATTTGTTTTGGAAAGGCACATTCCCCGAGAGTGTTCAAAGCATGCCAGGAGTTTCACGCGGGTTCATGCGTGGACTGCAGTTGATGAACAAGGCGATTGAACTAGGACCTGGAAAGAACTGTTTCGAAATGCCAACAACGGAAGCACTGAGGGTATCTATTGCAAAGACAAGCCATTCTTCTCTGTTCAGTTCCATCCGGTGTCGACTCCTGGACCGCGCTGTTGCGACTGCAGCCTATTTACGCATGTAATTTTGCAATCTAGAGTGTTCTACACGCATACTGAGAAATAGTGAGCGAGCGGACTAAAACTACGCGTCGACACTGATGCTACGCGGTGCAATGATACGGAATATAACTTATGGCATAAGAAGCAACGGGATTCTAAACAGGACTTAGTCACAGCACTGTACCTGACGGGCATGCGTGATGAGAAGGCCAAACCCTATACCCAATGCCTTAGGCTCTAACTTACAAGCACACTCGCGGGAGCTAGATAAAACCTTGAAGATTGCACTGGCACTGAGAACACTTAGCGCGCTCGCTAACTGTGACGCACTGTACCTGAAAATCCGGGGAAATCCTTAAGCGAGCGGACAGATATCACCGGCACGAGCTTGGGCAATGGGCTTCGGCCGAAGTCCGCGAGCCCGCATTCCATTGTTCTGAGTCCCATTGTTCGAAGACTCACTTGTTGCCGTGTCTACGAGAAGCCTCTGTGAATCCAAGAAAGAAGTCCTGAATGACATACGCCAGAACTGATAGTTCCGTGCGCCTAGACCTGTCGGTTGCTAGAGAACGAGCCCACGGGTGTCGGGAGAGCACCTCTTGGCACGCGTTTAGCGAGCTCACTATAGAAATGAGACTAAAACTGGGAAGTCCGACTCGGATGCTCAGTAAGGCGGCGGTGGCAACGTGCTACGCATGTAGGAGTCTGGGTACTGCGCGACGTTTATAATTCTAATTCCCCTGTAGTATAAGTAGGCTGGTTACAGTAGGTAGAGGACAAGTTTCGAGCCCCCGAGTTCCCATGCACGCGTTGAAGGCGGTACTGTAACAAAGGATCAGTTTGTGACTTTGAGCTGTGCATAGAATTAGCGAGCTCACTCAGAGAAATACGAGATACCCTTTTGATAAGACTTTTGAGAACTTAGTCAGAGTGAATACGAATCAGTGACGCTGTTTCTGTTCTGTTAAGTGTGATAAGTCTGTTCGGAGAATGTGTTGAAGTGGAAATCTGAGATCTGTTCTGTTCTGTTCTGTTCTGTTTCAGTCTGTTCCGTGTCAGTTCTGTTCGAAGTTCTGTTTCTGAATCTGTTTTCCGAGCACTTCTGAAGTGTTCTTGAGTCGAGATAACCTGCGGGAGTTAGTTGGAGAACCCCTACATACAGTTGTGTAGCGAGCGGGCTAAGTCAGTGCTTGCCTGTGGTGTTCTTTTAGCGAGCTCACTAAGGTTTCAGCGTGTATTGCCTCTGTTTCTGTTGGGATCAGTGTCCCTTGTGTATTATAACTCAAATCTGCCTTGAAGGTTGCATCGCGCCAGTGAACGACCTTCCTGTAAAAAAAAGTTCCTAGACTTAGGAATTCATTAGAGAAAGCTTAGCTTCGCTAAGAGCGCTGAGGATAAGAGAAACCCTTCGAGATATTGAAGTATAGTTGGATCGCATTAGGAATAATCGCTCCCCCTAGAACTTACGAGGGTGATTGTAGTTTGTGTAGTTGTGTGAGTGTGTGTGTGGGTTTTTGAGGTTCGCCTTTTAGCCCGCTCACTATTCCACAGGTGCCCACAGCCAGCCTCTTCAGCACGACACCGAATTCTTGTTTAACGTCTTTATGAAAAACATTGACTGCATGACCACTATCTCACTACCCAGCAGGAAGAAAGAGGACAATGACAAACGCGTTCCCCGTGCCAATGTCACCAAAGTTATCATTCTTGGGTCCGGAGGCCTGTCCATTGGTCGGGCGAGTTTGATTATTCTGGATCTCAGGCGATCAAGGCATTCGAGGAAGGGATTTACACGATCATGGTGAATCCTAACGTTGCTACCATTACTATGTCCAAAGGTCTGGCCGACAAGGTGTATTTCCTCCCAATCACGCCAGAGTTTGTCCGGAAAATTATCAAGTATGAGAAGCCAGCTGGTATCTACGTCACATTTGGTGGCCAGATCAGCTCTGAACATCGGTATCAAGCTGAAGGATGAATTTGCGGAGCTTGGGGTGCAAGTGCTGGGAATGCCTATCGACACGATCATCACAGAGGATAGGCAGTTATTCGCGAGTGCCGTGGCCAAGATTGGGGAGAAGTGCGCAGAGAGTTGCACTGCTGTCAATCAGGAGGAAGCTATCAACGCGGCAAGGAAACGTTGAGTTCCCGGTCGTTGTCCATGCTGCTTATGCATCAGGAGGACTGGGATCCAGCTTTGCATAGGATGAAGCACAGCTCAAAGCGCTGTGTAGCAAGGCTTTCGCTACTAGTCCTCAGGTCTTGGTGGAAAAGAGTATGAAGGGATGGAAGGAGTCGAGTAAGAAGTGGTCGAGGACTGTCGCAACAAATGCATCACAATATGAAGGTTAGTTGTTATTTTCCATCTTTCTGATGCACTTATAACACCTGTGCAGAACTTCGATCCCTTGAGAATCCATACCGGTGATTCAGTCATCGTAGCCCCTTCACAAATGCTTTCAGACTACAACATGTTCTGGACAACTGCCATTAACGTGATCAAACATCTTGGCGTTGTTGGTGAATGTAACACAGTACGCTCTCAATCCCAACTCCCAGGGGCACTGCGTGCATGTCATTGACGATAAGATCTGCATCATCGAACGTCACCTTCTCATGCTCATCATCGTACTCATCAAAAACGTACCGCAAGGCCAACGCACGTCTGCCTTGATCAGCGGCTCTTGCATTGAAAGCTACTGGCTATCCTCTTGCTTTCATTGCCATGAAACTCGGTCACAAAGGTCACTAGCGCATGCTTTGAGTCCAGTTTGGATTAAGTAGTCATCAAGATTCCTCAATGGGACCTGAAGAAGTTCAATCGTGTTAGTCGCCTTCTTAGTAGTGGCATGAAGAGTGTTGGCGAGGTCATGAGCATCGGGCGGACATTTGAAGAGACGGTTCAGAAGGCTATTCGAGCTAACGATGACCAGTTCTCAGGGTTTGCGAAGGTAAACTTTCTTTCTCTGACACATGCTCGTTTCTGATGAGTATTGTGAAGAATGACTTTGTGGAAGATATCAATGAAGAGCTTGTCAATCCAACAGATAAGCGTATATTCTCCATTTCAACCGCTTTCCATCGTGGCTATAGCATCGACAAGATCAGCGAAATTGAAGTACCTCTATGATATGGAAGTGCTTTTTGGGGTACGTCTTCTGCTTTTTGGTCTGTTCTTTGTTTGAATATCGTTCCTTAGTGTGGGTATGGTGTTTCAACTTGCCGGATATGATCCCAACGCTGACCTAAATGACCTCGATGATCCTCACCTGTGAGAGAGCCATCTGAGGAGCGGTAATTTGAGTGGAAATATTCCGGAAATCGATGATGAGGATGATGAGGACCCATATCTTCGACTTGACGAGGAGCAGGCAATGCATTCGAGACATGACTCGAGGCACCGGGATCCACAGTCACAACCACTCATCTCGTCGGATCGTTTATCAGACCGGTCAGATTCGCCCCAGGGTTGGCTGACGCATCAGGCGTCTCCGTTGAGGGATCCTTCACCTTCATTGTCTGACTCGACAGACTTGAAGCCACCGGCAGAGTTTCTTGCTGCTACATCTAAGAGTCGATAACATCCACCGTCGTTCATTCCTCCACCTCTGTCTACAGGCAGACAGCCAGTCTCGCTATCACTCACTGATTCACTACTACCCCGTGATGGTATGGTTCGACCTCTGGATGTCTTCTCATTGCCAGATCTCCGGCATGTTCCTAGAGGTCGGGAAGTTCAATGATTCTATATGGACAGCACTGTGGTGTACAGGGATCATGCTATGTTCCCTGTTCTCTATCATCATGCTGTTTACAACTCCCACATCCGACCGGAAACCTGGGGTGACACTACCATATACCATCCTCCTACATACTGTACCTCTCATCACTATCCTCACTTTCGTGAGTGCATTTGTGGCGTATACTCATGTGCTCCTTTCACGGATATTCGTACGGCCTGTGATGATCATCACGTTCGTGTTTATCCCTGCGGCGTTGTTCATATCTGCAATTTGGGCGTTTGTAGGAAGCTTCATGTGGGATGGGGATACCAAGCCAACATGGGGAGAAACTACAGCGTACACATACTGCCACGCTAGATATCGAATCTCGACTGACCTACACTTTGCAGACTTCACTTGTTCTCTCTTATTCCCTTGGCTCTGTCTATTCTTACAGCTCAGAGACTTTTCGGTCTTCCTAGGGATATACATTCCACGTCGTTGACATTAACGTTGTCTACCCAGCTCCTAATGGCCAATCCTCTCTTTCTCGTGCTTTCTCCAACCATCCTCCTCGCCACCCTCCTTGCATCAATACCGTTCATTACGCTTATATTCCATCTACTTCTAATAGAGTATTTTATATCCCTGTCTGATTGTTTTAGTCCCGACGCCCTCCTGCCGCCCTCAATGTCAACACACATGATTCATGCTGCTTTGATGCATTCTACTGGGCCTTCTCTAGGCACAGTTGTTCTTTTAGCCCTGATTTTAATAGCTATCAGACTTTTGATGCTTTTAACGGTCTTCTTTTAACGGTTACCTTTGTATATGCCCACTCAGGTGCTGTTTCTTGTTACTGGGATCCGAGTAGTCATTGGCTTCTTGGAGGGTATCACCATAGCATTGAGCAAGTACGCGCTGGTGTATGTGGGCATCACCGGTGATCCCTTTATGCCGAGCACGTGCAGAGCGAGATCATTAACAAATAAAGTTGGCAAGTGCGGTTTTAGTGCCGAACGTATGTGAATGTCTCCGTGGTATATTTTCCCAATACTAATTGTGAGGAATAGCTCCATTGACATAAACTTTTCCATTCGCTTTCAACATATTTGTTTGTCACTCATACCTTGAATGCTCCGGACCAAGCGTTGCGCGCTGCATTGTTAGCCGGTGGTGTCGCTGCCCTCATTGGACTCTTCTGTGTAGGACTGGTGAAAGACACGTAAGAGTTAATATGCTTTCAGGGCCATGTCTTAACATCTTTTCAATGCGGACACGCTATACATGTGTTATTGTGTTGATAAGGATCCTGGTGAAAGACAGACAACCCCTATAGTGATCTCGTCTTACCATCATGGGTGTCAAAGGCGGTTGGAATGTACGCTCATTTTATGACAGTTTAAGACTACCTTTAACCTGCTTTTGACAGCTGTTGAACTCCGTAGATTCAGTCTCTTTTGTTGACTGGTCCGCTCAGAAGATCTCCACTGGCGCAGTCCAGGATCTAGGCCCTCGTATTGGTGTGGATGCTAGGTCATTATTGTTGATTTATTCTCACCTGTGAGGCTGCTGATCATTGACTCTTAGTGGATGGATGTTTGCCGCAAAGTATCACCATGGACAGACAAAAAATCCGGCGCAAGCATCACTTTTTAAATGACTGGGTCGCCTCTTTCACCTTCCAGTGATACCTATATTCATTTTCGATGGTCCAGGGCGTCCTTCCAATAAGTGCAAAAAGGCTGTAAAGAAAACACCGGACTGGTTGGCTGCCGATTTCAAGAAGCTACTCGTAGGATTTGGGTTCCCCTTTTGGGAGGTATGAGCTCTCATTGCGCCTTTCTTTTCTTCTACTGAAGGGAAAAACAGGCTCCAGGTGAAGCAGAAGCAGAGCTGGCGAAGCTCTCGAGCCTTGGCCATATCAATGCTGTGATGTCAGAAGATTTCGACACCATGGTATTTGGCGCTCAGCGAGTAATTCGGATGTGAGCAGCAACAGTTTGGCTTGATCAGTATTTCCATTAAGTCTGTTTATTAGCAAAGACAAAAGTGACTCTAAATATCTGATTGAAGTTTACGAAGCATCTCGGTTCTCCCGCAATGATCTCGTACTAATCACATTACTTGCTGGCGGTGATTACGATGTACGTCATGCAAGCCTGTTCGCAAATATAGCCTCATCTTTTTTCTTGTAGGATGGAATCCAGGGATGCGGGATTCAAACCACCGCTGAAATCACTCGAACAGGCATCGGAAAAAAATTATTTGATGCCCTCGAAGCATCTGAAGTCAATGACTACCCTGCTGTAACTTCTGCGTGGCATCTAGATCTCCGTACGATGTTGGAAGCTAAAGGAGCTGGCCGTCTCTCCTCTCGCCACCGGTCGTTGGCTTCTCGTATTCCTTCTGACTTTCCTAAAGCTTTGGTTCTCATTCAATATATCCATCCAGTGACATCCTGGTCGAATGGGCTCAGCAATCTGCCTGCTACTCCATCGCTAGGTCAACCAGATATCTTGAAGCTTGCAAAGTTATGCAAAGAGCTCTTCATCTGGGGACACCTGATGGGCATCATTCAGAATTTTTCTCATCATGTCTTTCCGGGATTAGCAACCCGTGAATTGCTTCAAGATCTGTGTAAGCGACGAGGATTGATACAGGCTAATGACTCCCATCTATCCCCGCATGCTGTTATTTCCAAAGTCTGTGCTATTCGCACAAACCAGCGTGAGCGATCGGGGTCAGAAATCTTCGTGTCTCTTATCATCCCTCATGCAATCCTCACTCAGATCACGTCTGTTCTTGACATAACATATGATACCGACAGTAGGGGCATGTTGACTCCATTCATGAAAAAGCATGAGGTTCATGCATGGCTCTCACGTATATTGGTGCTCCATGCACAGCCGAACCTCTTGGATGATGCGAATCAGACAGGCAAGCCTGTTAAAAGGCGCAAGTCTATGAAGCCACATCTCAAAAAAATCGAACATATCGAAAACTCTATTGGTACGTTAAGTATCTCTGCCTGTCAAGTTTATCTTCGAACGTTTGCAATGTTCTAGCCTCGAGTTCAACCAACATAGTAACTAGTCATCATGTCCAAGCAGAACACGCCCGTACTCCATCCATCTTAGAGATATCAAGCGATGAGAGCAGCGAGGAGATGACAGGTGGGGCTCACTTAAACTGTTCTCATTGTTTTCTTACAGTTCCTTGTCAGAAGCAACCCCAAGAAAGCGCCAGAAGCATGCTGCTTCCCCCAAATACCGCATCGAGATTCACCTCAAGGCAACTGGCGAGGTTTTGGAGTTGTGTACGGATGATGAGGGTGAAATCTGAAGTCTGAAAAGGGGTTAGCACCACCCCTTTTCTTTTCTTATATATACTGTGGACTGTCTCTCCTTTCTCTGTACCTGCTCAGACTGTCTCTTGTCTCCATATTTCTTAACTTGCCATCCCCTTGTCTCGATAACACTGCTGTAATATGGACATGAACATCGTTGACAATGTTGCGAATGCAATCGGAATCTGTCAAGTCCTCGACGAGTCTCGAACCGACACAACCGACTTGGAGGTCATGGATGATATTGAGGGCGAGCAGGAGACCTGCAGCGACTTGTACGCTTATGATGACGATGGTGATATGGACATCAGCGCAGCTGCAGATACGGAGGAGGTTTTAGAAAATATCCAGGAAGCATCAAAAGGTGTCAAGGAAGGCATGGCTGCTGCATATTGAGGGTACGCCCGGTGTTCTACTCCTATTCCTCACTGTCTTTACTAATTTGCATTTTTATCAGTGTCATGGCGCAGTTCAATGCCTTCCTTGTCGAGGAGAAGGTCGTTCCACCAGGCACAGACATATTCACTGAGCAGATGCTCCACCCAAAGATCGACTACTACATTGTCGGCTTTGTTATGCAAAAGTATATTCTCACTCCAGCTCTATATTTTGTCTAACTTAAGAGGTTCCAGGTGCGACAATGTTGACATGCATGGCATGAACAAAGGGGCCAACAAGCCACAGAAGACTTACTCGTATGCTCAAAAGCTTTGGGCAGGTACTACGTACGGCTTCCGCAGGGGTGGTAGAGGTAAGGTTCCTTGGGATCGGACCACAGCTTCTGGAAACCCATCTATATCTGATGTTGTGTCATCATACATGCTGGGTCTGCGCAAGCGCAAGGTAAGCTTTAAAAATCATGTAGAATATGGGTAACTGACATAAGGATACAGGTCGCTAAAGGAGAAACTCCGACTAGTGCGAGAGCCATTAGGCCTGTGAGTCTGCGACGTTTTCATCTGTTCTCCATCTATATAACTTATTATAATCTTTTTCTGTAGAGTACTCTAAGGAGGCTCTATGAATATAATCACAAGCCTGAAAACTGGAATGCTAGTCCACAGACACCTGAAAATTGGTGTGGGGGAAACGTGCGACGGCTGCTCCAAGCTGTCTATCTTGTCACCTTTTCCTGCCTTCTCCGCATCGATGAGGCCCTCAAAATCCAAGTTCATGATATCGAGTTTGGCATTGACGATATAGACGGCATCCATTATGTATCGATCACGCTACCCTTCCGCAAGAACAGCCCATTTGGTGGTAAGTGTACCTGTATCATCTTTTCGCACCTGCTGAATTCAATTCAATGATGACAGACATACCCCCATTTGTGCTTCGCGCTTTGCCAGCCCACATGGCGCATCTCTGCCCTGTTCGAGCCCTAGCAGAATGGATAGATGCCTCAGAGATTACGCAGGGATACCTTTTCCCCAATATTGACAAACGTGATCGACCTATCACTGTAAAGAATACTGCGATGGTAAGCATACCGAGTATCTTATGGATAACTCATACTCATTTGTAACTTTATCTCAGAAACCTGAAGTGTTTCTCCAGCTGTTTCGCAACAACCTATGTGACTTGGGAGAACCACCATATGCATACGGCACCCATTCTTTTCACTGTGGGGGATGTCAGTGGTTATCGGTTGACCTTCAGTGGTCAATCCGACAGATTTGTGAGTGGGGCGGATGGAGCACAGATTTTACTCATTTAACAATTGTCAAGTACCTGATTTCTTGGAACGACGTCACAATGCTGCGTCGCGAGGACTTCTTCAAGCTTGACCGTGAGGCCACCATCAAGTGCTGGAGCTGTGGATGTACGTGCGCCTGTGCCTAGTTACAATGCTGTAATGGACTTTTGTTTTTTACAATGCCATGATGGACTACTAAGTATGCTCAATAAAGCTTCAATGGACTTTTTTTATACACAATACGTATAGCTTCAATAAAATTTTGTGCAAAGAAATATAAGAAAGGACATAATTTCAAAAATATGACAAAAGAATGTAAACTAATCATCTTCTGCATCTCCATTCATTCCTATCTTTGCTTTAGATACCTGGGCGATATTCAAATCTCTTGTCATAGGGACCCACATCCCCTTCTTCATATACCCAAATTGATTGATGAACTCCCTTGTCAAAAGTCCGCTTTGCCTCCTCTGCAACGTTGCTCGCTTTATGTTTTTTTAGAAGGAGCTGCAAGATGCGAGAGTATTTCAGACGTTGTCCCTGAGAGTCGGAATATGTTGCCCAAAATGCTTCAGGTGTGCCGCTGGCTCGATAGGCCTCCATGAAGAACTGAAAGATAAAAGATGAGAGGAAGGAAGAGAGAAGGAAGGTAGTAAAGAGATACCTTCCAGTTCATCCAGTCGTTCTTCAATGTCTTCCACTCGCCATGAACAGTCTTGTTATATTTATACAGCATATTCCAGTACTTGATAGGAACGGAACGTCCATGGATAATGATTGGGTGATCAGGAGGCGGCGCTCACTCAGGACAACTGTCGTCCCAGCTCTGAATGAGACTTTGAATATTGGTGGCATAGCGAAACGGCTTTGTCGGTGGAACATCGCGTTGATGGACTAGCATTTTTGAGCCATCGGCGAAGATCAGTACACACTGTATCTTGCTGCCGGAATCATTGTCGGAAGGTACAGGTGCCCTCTCAGGTATCTCAGGTCCTAAAGCCGTCACAACCATAGGAGGCTCAAGAGATGGTAAGGTTGGTGAATCCGAGCGGTCCACATAAGTAGGGAAGCTGTCGTTGGAAGCTGTAGTCAGGCCAAGGCAGGCAGTGTCAAGATCCATGGATGGACGAGGCGATTCAACTGAAGAAATGGGCAAGGTCTCGGTGGCAGCATCGACGGGACCCCGATAAACGGCCAAGTGCTCATCAACAATCGAAGCGACCCGTTGCGCAAAAACCGGGTTCTCGAAGGGATCCTGAACCTTCGGGAGACCGTTAGAGTAGAAGAGCCATAAGGTAAGAAGACACATACTATCTGTTGCATGCCAATGTACGTACCGCTGGTCTTTCGTTCTGGCAGATGAGTGTGGCGGGGGTTTGTAGGAGGAGTTTGTGCCATCTTGGCCAAGAGACTATGAGCCTAAGACTGCCATCAGCACCACAAGATAGAAAAGAGAAGCAGTAGGTACGCACCCATGGTAGGATTCTGTCCACCACGGTCTGACTACGAGTGTCCTTTGATCTTTCCGTAGCAAAGATCACCGGTGGAGTTGCACTTGTGAGTGAGCTTGCCTGAAGGATACGATGCTCCCGCCTTGTTGGTTTTCTCTTGGTGACACCACCGTTCCTTACGCCCTTGTGAGGGATACGCGCAGGAGTAAAAAGACTGCGAAGCAAGATGATCCCATTAGCAAAGATGGCATACATGAAGGGCAAAACGTACCTCGACTTCCACTTTGCCATTCCGGACTGGCTGAACTTCATAAGACGGTCCCGTCGCACTGCTTTGGTACCGTAGGAGGGGAGACTGTAACGCTGGCAGAGATCCACAAACCAATCCGTTTTATTAGCCAGAGACCTAAACAGGATCAGACAATGAAGGAAGGAGAGGCCACGGATTTAACGTACAAGTCGATTTCCTCAGTCTCAAAATCACCATTCTTGTCAAGTTTGCCATTCAAGCGAGGAAAGGCGTATTTTGTTGCCAGCGGTGGCTCTGGACTTGGATCCGACGGAGAGGATGCTGTTGGTAGCAAAGGCAGAGGCGGGGGTAGGGGAAACAAGTCCATAATCCGTCCAAATGAGCTGGTAGATGCACGGCGCTGCTGTTGAGAGAACCGTGCCTGCCTCCTGGCGATCGCGATATAAACAGTGGCGGCGATTACTGCAATAGCGAAAAAGGACCCTAACAATGTCAGACCAGTCGCAAGACGAGAGCCATGATGGGCGGTGGCGTAGTTGGTATCCCTAGCAAATGTCTCGGTTTAGTCAGGGATGAGAGACAGACAGGCGTAGGGAGTCTCTCCCTCCTCCCCACGTAAGGCAAAAAAAAGGAGGAGATTGGGAAATAAAAGAAGCAGGAAAAGCAAGCGAAAAAGGGAAAGGAAACACGGTATTCCCCACCAAGAGGAGAACACCAGGGCAGGGGAGCACAGCATGCATGGGCACCAGAAGCCCATGTGCGCTCACCCGCCTGAAAAACCCGCCTGACAGACAGACACCAAGAGTCTGAAAGCGAGGGAGCGAGCGGCATCGCGATCGGAAGAGAAGGAAGACGGACGGGACGCGTCTCCCGCGGGGGCAGTAGGGGAGGGAACCAAACAGACCGTCAAGACGGTCGCAGGGACGGGAATCGTCTGTGCGGCTGTGCTGGACCCTTGATCCCGGCACTTGCCGCGTGACAGGACCGTCATGATCCGGAGGGAAGTGAGAATACATATAAAAGACCCTCTCCTTATGTTCCCTCGACCAGCAAACAGTCTCTCAAACGGCGTAGAAAACACTGCCTGTTCCATTGATACCGGGGACCCCTTGCCAGTGCGACTACTTCTCCTGCTCCTGCTCCTGCTCCTCCTACTACCTCGACGTTCCAGGAGCGTGCGTCACTAGTTCTGGACGTAGCCCATCCCAAACATCTTGCTCACACGATGTCCGAGACATATTGTGACACTATTCAGATGCCTCAATTCAACACAACGCGTTTTTGGGACACCGAGGCGCGTCAATATTTCCGTCCGCTGATGCCTGAATTTGACATTCTGACTTTGAAAATAGGATGCTAATCGGTGTAAAGAAAAATTGAAGCAGATACAACTGGAACTAGTGCCATTGGAGGCCCTGGAGCTGGCGTTAGCAGAGAAATTCGTATCCGACCAGAATTTTGACTCAGCTCACATTCGCGTCGAGCTCATGATCAGAGCTTTGGATGATAACTATTATCAACTCTACGTCCCGGACATGGATAAACTCCATAAACTCCGCATGGAGCGCAGTAGCATTCTGGGTATGCTCAGTGAGCACGAAGTGGTAAGGCGCGATTTACCGTTCGGTGTAAGTCCACACTCTTAAGTTCTTAGTGACCGACCTTGATACTGATCAATAATCTTTTAGCCCTCACCTCGTCTCAACGGTCGTCGAACCTGGGCTGTTCTCATTGGGATCAACGAGTATCTATCGATCCGTCCGCTGTTCGGTTGTGTATCGGACGTACATTTGATGGAGAAGTACTTGACTATGTACCTCGGGGTGCCCCAGAATCGTATCCAGCTCCTCCTGAATTCCAAGGAACAGACTCCAGCGCACGATCGCATCCCGTTGCCCCCTTCACGTGCCAACATCATCAGAACACTGACTGGACTCATTACTGAGGATGAGATAAAGTACGGTGACAACATCGTCATCTACTATGCCGGACACGGCGCTTCCTACTATGAGGACGAAGGCAATCTTGGCTTCGTCAAGGCTCTTTGCCCCATCGATCGTGATGTCCCTGACACGAACGGCATCCCCATCAGCGACATTAGTGACCGCGAAATCAATGTCATCCTGACCGAAATTTCCCGGGCCAAAGGTCATCGAATCACCGTTATCTTTGATTGTTGTCACTCAGCTGGCGCCAGCCGAGAGGTACCCCAACCGGGAGCGCGTATGGCTTACGGAACGCGAAGTGCTACACTTCAGGATATGCTCCTCGTTGGGGATGGTAATCTGAAGGGTTATGACTGGTATCGCCCAGGATCAATCTTAGAAAAGGGCTGGCTGCCGGATAGGGACTCCCACGTTTTGATCGCAGCGTGTGAGAGTTATCAGTTTGCATACGAGAAGAAGGTTGTACAGGAAGATGGTACAGTGGGGCACGTTGGAATTTTCACTAGCTCGCTTGTGCGTGCTCTCCAGTCTGCTTACTGCGACGAAGGGAGGACATATGCGGAGATCATCAGAGCTTTGGAATGCTCTTGTCGTCAGCAACCGGTCGTGTACGGTACACACAAGAATGCGCGTTTCTGGTATCAAGACTTTTGAATCATTCGACCCAGGGAGGTCTCTCGAACTTGTTGTATACTTACTAATGACTAGTTTCGTTACTTCCGTAGTATTTTACCATAGTCGCTCCATTGTTAATTACTGACTATGATACAGACATTTTGCTTAATATAATATGGATCGTGAAAGTACGCACGTTTTGCAACTGCAGAAAAGTAATACTTCTCACAGAATGAATGACGATTTGGGGTGCAGAAAAAGTGAATAGATCGGTGGCCCTAAGATCAAAATACAAAGCGAACGCTTCACTTAATCCTGATACCAGATGCGCGCGTCCCTGTGTTTTCCAGCAACTACTGGCGTCTGATGAGACGACTGGCCGAGACCAAAGATGAGATCAGCATATGTCGTCTCTTTTCTCCAGTATCCGGACCGGAGAACACGCAGAAGCGAGTCCGTAAAAATTCCAACGTGCTCCACCGTACCATCTTCCCGTTTCACCTTCATCTCTTTTGCAAGCTGGTATTCCTTACAAGCTGCCACGAGAACGTGGGAGTCCATATCTGTCCGCCAGTCCCTCGCTAGAATGGACCCGGGGAAATAGTGGTTGTAACCCTTCAGATAATTGTCCCCGGCGAGAAGCATATCCTGAAGCGTAGTGCACCTTGTTGTGGGAGCAGTACGTGATCCTGGTGGTGGCACCTCTCGGCTGGCACCACCAGAGTGACAACAGTCGAGGATGAGGGTGATTCGATATCCCTTGGTACGGCAGATTTCGGTCAGGATACCGTTGATTTCGCGGTCGCTAATGTCGGTAACAGGGATGCCGTTCGTATAAGGGACATCACGATCGATGGGACATAGTGCCTCGACAAAGCCGAGTGGCCTTCATCATTATAAGAGGTGCCGTGTCCGGCGTAGTAGATGATGATGTTGTCGCCATGCTTTATTCTATCCTCAGCGATGAGTCCGGTAAGCGTGCCAATGATGTGAGCGCGCGAAGGATACATTGGATCATCAGCTGAAGTGTGCTCCTTGGATCCAAGGAGAAGCTGGATGCGATCTCTGGGTACGCAGAGATCTTCAGTCAAGTACTTCTCCATTACTCGCACATCCGATACGCATCCATGCAGCACCTGATATGGATACTCATCAATTCCGATGAGAACGGCCCAGAACCGAGAAGCGTCGACAGTGTATGGGAGCTAAAGTGCCACCGATAAGAATTGAGGTCAGTGACGAGGATACGCACTTACACCTAGGGGTAAGGGACGCTCCTCCGCTTCGTGTCGTGCACTGTTCAGAACGAGGCTGCGATTTAGACGCAGGCGATGTAGTTCATTCAGATTTCGCAAAGCCGGCAAATAATCTTCATTACTCAACGCTTTATGCTTGGCCTTGAAGACAACCTCGACAGAATCGACATCCTTTCCAGATATGCCCAGCTTCTGGGCTAATTCTAATTCAATCTCCTCTAGATATCGTATTTCCTCTGATGTTTGGTCAAAAGTACTTGGCTCAAGAGTCTAGTCAAAATCTAAACGGTGGACTCAAAAGACGAGCAAGACATACCGTAGCCTGGCAAACCGCTTTAGAATCGCATGTGAGACCCATGGAGGGATGGAAAGACACTACAAACGTCCCGGGTGCTTCAAGGAAGGAAGTAGTTTTGGCATCTGACGAAGGACAAGCACATGGCCGGCGACAGCATCAAACGGTCCGCCCCGAATTCTCCATCAACAGCTCATTTGTTCAAATTTGCCGTAATCATTGTGCGTCCTGCACTGTAAACTACGAAACAGGATGCGACTTCGTTCTCAACCATCATCATGACAGACTCTCATTCAATCCTAGTTGACCTGTACTCCGCTCTCAGGACAGATGCGCGCAGGACTCGAGGTACGCAACAATATCTATTCTTGAGGTCGTCATACTGATCTTGGGCTCTGGAGAGCAGTTGAACGCATGCACGCAAGTGTCGAACGCAGAACTCTTCCGGCCACCTTGAGATGATACTTATGTGATCAATAGCACTAGGCACCGGAGTGAGTAAATATTTGCTCTTCAACTGCCTTCTGACATGTTCGTCCTTTCGGGAAAGAGACCGCATCCAAAACAATCTGTTCCCATCTTCCGCGGCATCCCGGCCCGTCCCTAGGACAAATTCGACATGCCCAGCACAAGCCTCAGCCAAACCTCCAGCCTCCCCCGTCCTTCTCCAGGAATCTCCACATCAACTTATCCTTCCAGCCTTTCTCCTTCCACCCATTGACGCCGGCCGGAAATGCCTCTACCACACCAGGCGCAGTTCCGTCATGCGCAATAATCATCAGCACATCCGGGTCCGCGTCAAGACGTGCCAAATGCCCTAGCGACCGCATCGTCGCCTCATAATCTTTGTATACGGAGGGTGCAGGTGGTGGAGGAATCTTCAGCAAGGGTTCGGACGTGATTTCGGGGAAGTGGGATTTACAGAGGGAGTGCGTCGCGCTCTGAAGGAGTGAAGCGGGACAGGGACAGAGTGAGTGATGGTGCGGTGTGGGACGGATGTCGCCAACATGGTGGCAGCAATCGCCTCCGAGCAAGACGAAGGTCGTCGGTGTTACACGTGCGAGACCGGAGACATGACCTGGATGATGCTGGGGTGGATCATCAGTACGAACCGAGGGTTGAGATGGAGCATAGGACTTACACCGGGCGTGTCAAGAATGTAGAAACTTCCATCACCAAAATAGTCCAGAGCGGGAAGGTCTGCAATGTGTAGTGTTGTCTCGGAGAATGAGAGTTCAGTTACTTTACGCCCGCTGTAAGCCGTAAGAGTTCGGTATGAATCTCAAAGTGATAAAGGAATACACTAACGCGGTATCGTTTTCGATGAGGTGCGCGTCCTCATCTTGAGGGTAGGTACGAAGGTTCGTCCCGGGTCCAACTACCAGCTCCGTGGTAGATGGGAATGTTGATATATCACCTGTACAAAAAAGAATTGTCATTTTTCTTCTCATAGCTGAAAAAATGAAGTAGATACCGATATGGTCGAAATGGGTATGACTACACAAAAAGAGGTATTAGCAAGGGCGCGGGTGGAGTGTAGACAGAACCTTACCTCCAAATGACAGCATTCACACTGCCCAGATCCACTCCTCCCTTCACCAGCTGCTCACTGACCGTTTCACCATCGTCAACGCCCATATTGTACCCGCCCAGCTCCCTGAACAGGTCGAAGAATCCTTGCACCGCAGGTGCATACTTCTCCTGATCCTTCCTCATCCCTAAATCAAACATAATCTTTCCCTTCGTTGGGTGCTCGATAAGAAACGTGTATACCGGTCCCGATAATCCTTCATACCCCTGTAAAACGGGCTCGAAAAACAGCGAGGCAGGCAGAAAAGTGATCTTGCCAGCGTTGATGGCACGGACTGTGACAGTCGAGGTGGACCTTGGGATCGTAGCGGACATCGATGAATGTGGGGTAGATGTGGGGCACATGGGGAAAAGAGAGCGAAGTTATATAATTGCGGGAGTAATGGTATTTGAAAAGGAGCTAAGGGGCCTGACGCATCTGATGAAGCCCCTAGGCGAGCGATAGCCGTAAATTCCGAGTTTTGATTGTGGAACGGCGACCTGCCGGGAATAGGATTTACTTCTCATCCATCCTCGTAAATTTAGTAAGAAGTCATCCAAGCCTTTTAATCGTCAATACAGATTCACAGCTAAACGAAGCTAAACCTACGGTGGTAGATAATGCACGTCAGCTGATCTTGCTTGTACTCGGCCTGCGATCTTTGCCGTCAGCTGTCCATCCCGTATAACTAATTGAGACTGCGGTATGTCGATGTGAGAGTGCCTTGATGAATCCCATATACCGAAACCTTCCAAGACGGTCAGCCGACATGGCGTCACTGTAACACTCACACTCACGCTATGACATTGTTATTGTTAGCGACTCGCGGTCACGAGAAAGGGTTCAAAGGGAATGAGAAACGGCGGGAGTATCTTGGCCTAAGGGCCATAGCAGGATGACTTCATTCTTCAATAGACGACCGAAGCTTAATACTAGGAGAAGGAGTACAAGCGAGAAGCATTCCTGAGTTCCCATGGAGATACTAGGGCGCGTCTCGTGTGGCCTGTTGGTACTGTGATAATCAACGACTGTTCACAATGAAATTAACGACAGCGCACCTCATTCTAGGCTATATTGCATGCAGTGTACCACCTGCTCAGTGATCACTCTACCAGACTCTACCAGATTACCAACAGTACTAAGACTGACGGAACGCTATCGTTACTGAAGTAAGGGATCTAAGTATGAAAACAATTAGTGAGGACGATACATACCTCAACATCCCAAGCGTCCAAGGAGACAGCTGCAGGTTACGCAGGGAAATATCCTTCCCGACACTATTCCAGCCCGTTTTGCGCGCATATAACCACGCTTCCTTGACTCGCATACTAGTAACCCCGCGATATCATCGACTCTTATCGGCAGGCAATAGCTTGTACGCGCAGTGAGAATACAGAGTTTATCCGTATTTCGCCAATGAACTATGAATGCTGCAAAAGCGTCAACGACGTGACTAGGCATGGAGACATACCACTCAGTCGTCATTCCAAAGCGAGCCTACAGAGAGTTCCGCGTCACATCTGCGACAACGATGTGCGAATGAACTCGCTCTTGGGCAACGATGGAGGGATGAGAAACAACTGATATGGTGGCCGGAAAGAAAGCAAATGCTTTTGGTTCCCACGCTCCTTTGTTGACTTGCCGACGGGCCGGTCATCCGCACCATCACATCGTCATACTGCAACATGGTCCGCAATGAAGATAGCTGCGGCGTACAGTACAAATGGCTTTCTAGGAAATCTATATGCTGCACTATTCTTTCGACGAATACTTGACAATGGACAAGCAGGCTACCATCTGTCCTCAAAATTTACTTAATGTTTCCATTGAGTTTCCATCTTTAACCTCTCACGCGTAGCCAACCCTTTTAGACTCCTTTCAGCGGATATGTATTTATGGACATTCTCGTGCTGTGCTGATTGACTAAAGACCGACTAAGGACATAAAGCTGTAGAAGTCACTCTTGCCGTCTTACCACCATGCGCAACAAGGGAAACGCAGCGATTCGTCCAACCTTGGTCATCCTCAAAGGCTTACAAGCCGCAGGAGATATAGCTCCGCTGCCTTATATCAAGGGAATCGCAGCATTGGCTATAACTGTCCTCGAAACTATCGATGTGTGTCTGCACTTTCACTTCTTGCAGTTAAATATACTAATGGATCTCGATAAGATGCTTCCACCAATCACAGGGATATTCGGGAACTAGTGGAGCGCATCGGGGATACTGTAATAGCCGTAAAGGATGCCGCAGTCACATATTCCCGAGTTGGTACCGGAAACGGGTTAGCTATTGAAGAAGTGTGTACAGATTTCATGCGGTACGTCTCCGCGTGTTTACCGTCTTTCTCTCATTCAATACAGAGACAACAGGTGCCTGGAAGACATTACCCATGAATTGAGAAAGATGGAAAGGAATAACGCTAGTAAGATCAGGATTATGCAATATCTCATGACCTCCAACGTTCGCGACGAGATCAACGGATTTGCACGGCAGGTCGACAACCTACAGAGAAACTTTAACGTACGTCCCCGACTATCTCATCTTCCGAAATCGATCCTTCTCAGATTTATTCAGACGAAGAATATTGTGAGGATTTGTGCGAACAATGAGGTGTCTGAAACCTATCTCAGGACACTTGAACACGGTATGAGAGAGCTTCGCGCGGAGCATTCGGACATGCATCGTACCTTGACACTCTTATTGGTCTCGCATAATGAACTTCTGACCCAAGTCTTCAATCAGTATAGGGTATTGAATGCTATGGGTCATGACGTGAAGAGAGATAGAGGCGAGGTACGCCAGTTTCCCTGATTGTTCACTCTGAACTGATCGAAACCTTTCCCCTAGAGAACCGCCATAGTCCAGAGTACCTTCGACTCTCGGTACATGACATATTATATCCTCCTATCGACCCTCACTACGACTTTCTTCTGGACTGTGTCGTGTTTTACCAACTTCCTCCCGACGCCGTTAATCTTGTACAGTCAAAGAGCGAGCATACGGCGCTATCTTTCGCCTTGGATACCTGTTCCGAGTTCGGGGAATTTAGTTCAAAGATCCAAGGATCGGCATGCTCCCCGCAGAAAGGCGCTTTGCGTGAGCTTTTGCTTGACGCTGTCTTCATGCTATCGATACTCAAGACATGTCTCTCATAGATTGGGATCAACTATTTCGGGCAACCTGATCAGCTCGGAGGATGCATCAACGATACGAGAGATATTCGGGAGTTCTTAATATGCCAGTGTCCTTCTCGTACCTTATTTTTATCATGTGTATTAATTATTCCTGCCGTCTAGATTACTGCGGCTACAAGGCCTGGGATATCGCGATGCTTACAGACGATAGTCCGGATCCTCATCAACACCCAACGAGGAAGAACTAATCGAAGCCATAAATTGGCTTGCAAGCGATGCTCAGCGGGGAGATACACTGGTCTTTTTCTGTATGCTCTTCTAATACCCAAGGCTATTTATTGACTGGGATTTCATACCATTAGACGCAGGAAATGGCGAACAAGTTAGCACTGAGGATGACAACAGGGTTGATAAATACGATGAAGGTTTTCGCTCTTCTTTGACGGACATCCACGCAGCACTTAATAGACTTCTTCTACTTTCCCAGCCATTTTGCCGGTCGATTACTACCAGCATGGACATATACTTCATCAAGTAAGCTCCCATGTTATGTATCTTTCCACCGATATCTCATCCTTGTTCCGATCCAGGAAATATACCAGATCATGGTAAAGCCTCTTCCAGCGGGTTGCCGGCTTACGGTACGCTACCTTTCCTTTCCCTTTTGATTCAAGCACATAGATAACTTCCGTTGTTAGGTTCTACTTTCGGTGAGCGTGCAGATATCTTGTTGTGTCCTACGTTATCAATTATTTAACAGTGCTGCCATTCCGAAGCGGCATTGAGTCAGTATAGTCAATTACTATTTCACCAGCACCCTTGAATAACACTATTCTTCTTAGATCTTCCCTACGTTGTAAGAAACGCGCACTTTAGATGCCTTGCCGATCTGACAGACCTTCGTTTACTCTAGTATGACTGTGACACCCACCTTATGAGTCCACGCCCGCTGATATCGCTCAAGTCCACCGCCGCCGACGTTGTAAGTATCCCCTTCCTCGATTTCCCTGGCAAGAAAGGGTGCTGATAAAGACAAAGGTGATTTGGTCCGGTGGAAAGGGTATGGCTGTTCATGAGACGGTCATCGGAGGCATGACTGTTAGCGCCTTCAACTATGTGCGCACTTATTGCGACTAACCACCCATACCTTGACGTGCTCTCAAACGGATTATAGGCATTTCTATCGTCCCTCAAGATGAACCCGAAACAGTCTTGCCGACAGCTCCTTCATTCATTGAGGTAAATTACATCTGCCCGTGATCATTATGTTCTGCGGTAACCTCTAATCATTAGGAATATTCTAACGGCCCGAGACAGACGCGAAAAGCCTCAGTTAGCTACTAGTTCTCAAAGTATTGTGGGTATTTACCCTGCACTGTCTTTTATTTGATCGATTGATTTATGGTCTTTACTATTAGGACCCTGATTTGCCGGCTACCTTGTAAGGATACTGACGACCGTCGTCAAGAACTTATTCCGTGTGCAAACAAAGACAACCTCTCGTCCTTTGCATCGGAATTCCGCTTCCTTAGCATCCAGATTTTCTATCCTTTTCTTCCAAGCGGTGCTTGTTTACAATTCATTTTCTTTTTTGACTTACCTCGGATTACTTCTGTAGCGACTTCATACAGCAATGTTATCTTCAAAAACATTGGTACCAACTGACATGGTTTAGATACGACGGCTGGTTGTCGTGCTTCCGTTGAGTCAACCGTCAAACTTAGATACCTGCTTCATGTAGTCGACAATCGAGATATCTCATAACACTAATAGGCTATACATTGTCAGAGAAACCCACTTTTAGGTTGATAATAGTTTTGTAGTATAGCACAAGAAGTTAAGAGGCATCTGGACGAACAACTCCCGGGATCTTTTTTCATCGACAATCATGCACTCTCCTTGCTATGGCGAATAAAAGCCGACATTCGAGCAGGATACGCGTAGCGAAGTTTACGTTGCGGTCGACTGCTAGGCATTTTGGCCCGGAAAGTGCGGCAGCGTTTGAAATCAAATCCCGCCTCCGCGCCCTTTTATCAACAACTTGTTGTGTCAAACAATCGCAACTTCCTTCTTGACCACCATAGTCGTGAATGCTTTCTCGGCTAAGGTGAACCCGACTCCTGGGACGGCAATAAAATAGGCCCGTGTAAGAATCGAGGTATACAACAGCGCCTATTCTTGTGGTCTTCATACTGATGTCGGGCTCTGCAGGCGCGTATTCGCAGGGGCCACCCCAGTAATACTGTAGCTTCTCGGTTAGATGACGCCATATATTTTGGTTCCTACAGTATTGAATCCGATTTTCAGGCATCGGTAACAGGTATTGCCAGGATTCCTGTCGTGCAAGTTTCGTCGATGGCTAAGAAGGCCGACCGGACTCTGATGTCAAGACCACTGGCGATTGGCTAGATTGCACTACCAGTCACTGGTGTAATCTCTATCGGTTTCTACCACGCTTGGTCACGTCAGGATATTTGACGCCACAAAATGCCTACACGCATGGTCGCCTTCTAAGAGTTGAGCACCCTATATATGCGCTTATATGTCAGCTGATATTGGACCTGTAGAGTGTTTACTGCTTCCTCCGAGACCTGCGGCTGACGCGTTGGCACAGATATGAACTGCCCATATTCGAAAGAGGGGTAGGCTCTTCATCTTGATGGACATCTTGCCGTTCTCACAATTTTTGGTTCTTAGTTAAAGAGTGGTGTCTTCCAGATACTAGGATGTGACCTCGATGCGTCACCGATGGGAAATTCATCCCAATTCGTCCGATGCATCCCACCACCACCAACATTCACGGTACGGTCTACTTAGTGAGTGTATCGGGTTTCCTTTCAATGTCAATATCACTGATGGTATGCCAACCTTCCCACGTATTTCGAACCGACAGTGATCTACATCATGGTCACAGCACGCTCACCTGCCGGTCTCGGCCCGACTCCTCCGGAGATATGCGCTTGCATATAAGGGGCCCGCAAATTTCATCAGCATCGATCTCGGCTTCCCAACTTCCCTCATCGAAATGGCTAATGGGTCAGTCGGACGTGCTTTTTTCGAGGTAATAGTCCTTTGACCCATTCTTCGGCCTTCAGGTCTGACCTTGTGGCGTTCAGCGTCACAGCGTGCTCTTTTTCCCTGGATTCGACACTATCGGTGTTTTGTTGATGGAAGAGAAAAGTCAAGAATTAGCCGCTCATCTGAACAGCGGCAGGCCAACGAACATTCGACGTCCAATTACATATCCATGCACAGTCGTCAACCGTGTAAACTCGCGGAAGGTCAAGGTATGGTAATGAATACGGTGAAGGACTTCTGAATCTCATTAGAACGCCACGGAAGATCCAGCCCCATATTGGATCGTCAGACGATGGTGTTTATTTGAAGCTCTCAGATATCCAAAGGTTGGGTTTGAACGACACGGGCTATACCGTTGTCACTCGTCAAGGGCCGTGTAAAGTGTATGTACCCGTGTCGCCTCTTACAGACTCCCGTCTATGACTAACATTGCCCACAGATATTCTGGTGTGACATTCTTCTTCCAGAATGACTACAACAATGGCATCTTTCGCTACCATGTACCCAATATCCTCGGCCTCGTGGCAGATACTGTCCACTCTGACGCCACGTTCAACACGAGGAAAGAGGGAATCATTGGAATACCACGGATAGATAAACACCTCGTGTTCATACACCACAGTGATGTATACATAATCCATCTCTCTGCCCTTTCTTCGCTCGCCCAATACTTCACAAATATGGTTCCCCTCTCCGATGTCGCATTCGATAGCGCACTGCGTCCTCAATTCCCGTCCACCGGGACGTACGTGGCCGACTTTTCAAGTGTCTATAGCACAGCGCTTGCGTGTCAAGCACCGCCTTACAACGTCTTTCGACAGAATATGACCATCCCTTCATTTTGCTTCTACGAGGCATGCAGGACATGCCACAAACGGGAGGGGATCAGTTGCAAGTTACGTATTTGTTCGCAGTGTAAGAAGGAGGGCAGGAAGATGCGTGCTTTGTACTGCGGAGAGGCGTGCCAGCGGGCAGACTGGCAGAGACATAAGGCTGAGCATGCGGGAACACAGCCTTGGGACGTAAATAGCCGCCCTGATATAGTCGTTGTTCCCCGACTGCCGATGAGGATGGGATGAGATGTGTTACATTCTGCTTGTACTTAGCTATGGTCAGGTTTATAATTTCTCTCTTACACCGCTACTAGGTTTCACTGGAGCACTGACGCGATGCGTAATAGTGCCAATCCTTCTGTCATACCCTCTGTATTTATTACCACAGAGCTACCTGGAGTAGTTCTGTGCTCTTCGTAGAAGACGTGCGATGAAGTCTTGGTGACTGCTCCTTTGCTTCTCCGTCTTTCATTTCGAGGATGTGTCCTTTCTCCTTTCACTAATAGAGAAAACCATAGCAGCCAGGAGTACTTACGTTTAGACTTTGCAATATCAAATCCAATCTTGTGCTTGAGATCTCGCCCTCGTATTCAGTACTCGTCTTGAAATAGGATATCTTTGAAATATGGGGTTATCACTTGAAGCTGAGACTTCGACTACAGAGAATCTATCTGTGCTAGTGGTGTCATAGAACCTTCTAACGCATTACGGCACAGTCATAAGTGACTAATAAATGAGAAGACTCACTGTACCCCGTTTCCTCACTTCGAAACAGTGGCTCGAGCACATACTAGCTGGATATAATGGCGCGTTTGAAATCGATTAATAAAGTAATTCTCGCCCCTCCTGATATATCGCTCGTACGACTCAGCGGACTATTTGATGCACCAGTGGTCCCAATTATGGGGTGTTTTTGAGAAGCGGATAAGTACTTTGCTGTGGCTCATCAATGGTTCATTGACCAGGCAGAGCCATCTGGTTTTCCAGATAACCCGAACCTTTTAGGGTCCCATTTTAGGCTATTAAAAATGTGCCAGCCTCTGCAGTGATTGTGAAGAGATAGTATGTACAAGCTGCGGTAATTCGGACTGTAGAAGGATGTAGGAGTAGAATACGTATAGACAAAAGAAGATAGCTTCAAACGAAAATGTCCTTCTTCAGCTCGGGTCTGCAGTCATTCTTCACCTCGCCAATATCCTTCAAGGAGAACGGTGTAGATCCCAAGGAGTCGAGTAACGGACTAAGCGAAAAACTCGTGTCTTCATCGGTTACAATACACAGTGGTGTAAGGACAGATTTAGTTGGTGTGAGGGGTCCAATCGAGCCGAAAGACGTGTCGCTATCCTCCAGATCCGTGATGAGAGAAGTGTCTGTAAAACTATCATCGTCACTATCCAAGACGTCCTTTGCATCATGAAGAGGCGTGACGTTGTGATGAAATTCATCTTCAGAGGCAATGGAGTCGAATAGAGTGAAAGATAGAGAATCAACCGAAAATCCCGAGTGGGAGGGGACGGGAACCATATCCACGTTATGAAAACGAGCATTCATGATTTGCCCAGTCTAATAGGACCAACAAGAGTTAAAGCAAGAAGGCATGAAATAAAAAGGCTCACAACGAATGACGTGCATGCATATAATGGAACGAATGACACTCGTACCCCAATTCCGTCAAATAGGTCTTCAACGACGCTCATGCCAAGGACGCTCTCGATGGTCCAGTCTTGAGGGATTTCATAAAGTATGATACCGCCCAAACCATGTTCGTCCATCCTTATGAATCTTCTCTTTCCCTTCATCTCTTCCGGTTGCAGCAGATCCTGGAAAACCGATTCGACGACGACGCGTTTCCAGATCTCGCCAGCAGGATAGTTAACTGGGCCGGGATTTATACGACTAGGCGATTTTGAGCTCAGGAGACGAGAGATATTTGCAGACCAGGTAGAAGATGGAGGCATTGTAGAAAGGGCGAGGCTGTGTGAAGTGTTCACATTCAAGAGGCGATGACCAGAAACGGAAGGGATGATCGGCGATCGCGATGAAGTCGGTATCGGACCGGTCACGTGAAGGTCCCAACTTTCTCCAAGTTTTCTCCAGCAGTTCTCACTGTCAGCAGCTTGTACTGGCAGAAGGCGCAAGTAGGCCCGCTCTTCAACGATCTTCGCCACTAAGTGCCTCTCCTCACTTTGTTAGGCTTCACAGATCTTGGAAATCCTTCCCTCCTACTCAGGTCACAGGTGCAGAGTACAGTCGGGTAATCCGAATGTGACTGCCGCTATTCTTAGCGTACTAACTTAGGGCGGAAATTTACGCTAAGCCTCTCCTTAGCATTGCACGACCGAGCATATACAGCTGTGTTCTTCGAGTGAGGTTCGAAGTTCTCTGTAGCGACGATGTCGAAACCCGTCCAGAAATGCAGTCAATTGTCTTCTTTGTGTACCAGTACCATACCTACGAGGAATACTTAGCGTGTATTCCTTCACACCATCCTGTCCGAAAATTCGCCATTCTGACCTGCGGATGTCGGCCACCCGAGTTCCGGGCCGATCCTATGACCCGTTATAAGGGACCGCCTTATTTTCAATGCCTGAAATCCATTCCTCGACCATGCCTCAAAGCAACGTAGAATTCGGTCCCAAGGGGATCCCGTAAAGGTGCGCCTTCCCTTCGCCCCTAGAACTTTGTATTTGACGAGGGTCATAAGGATATCATCAAAACGGCATTCGATAACGGGATCAACATGATCGATACTGCAGAAGCCTATGCAAAGGGACAATCGGAAGTGGAGATGTACGTTTGCTCCTCGTCATGTTGGTATCTATAGTAATCGACAGCTCCTTATAGCGGACGCGTCATCAAGGAGCTCGATATCCGGCGGTCTGACCTGGTGATTACCACGAAACTGTTCTGGGGTCTACGGACGGGGCCAAACGATGGCGGATTGTCGCGTAAGCAGGAAGTATCCAGTTTTATTCTTGATTGAATCGTGGCTTATGTTTGGCATTAGTATCATCGAAGGGACCCAAGAAGCACTTGCCCGTCTTCAGATGAACTACGTAGATGTAATCTTTGCTCATAGGTGTGACGTCAATGGTGAGTACAATTTTCTTACGTGCAAGTGTTTCTCATTCACGGACTCCAGTACCGATGGAGGAGATTGTTAGGGCATTCAACTTTGTGATCGAGAAAGGCTGGGTATGTAGACGGGATTCCTCCAGATTTGACTGTTATTCTTATATTTTTCTTAGGCCTTCTATTGGGCTACATCAGAATGGTCCGCTCGTGAGATTGAAGAAGCGCATCGTATGACGCAGCCTCAATTCACTGGAAGTGTTTTACTCATGCACTCTAATTTAGACGTCGCTTCTCGTTTGAATCTTATCGCTCCCGTTGCCGAGCAGTGCCAGCACAAGTAGGTTGAAGCCGTGGTATTGGCTCAGATGTGTAATTCCACTTCCTTGGCTCTTAGCATGTTCCACCGAGAGCAAGCAGAGAAAGAATACGCGTAAGTCTACCCGTTGTATCATTCCCTCGACTGACGGAGCGACCCAGACCGTTGTACAAGAAATACGGTCTTGGAACGACTGCCTTTTCCGTTTTGGCAAGTGGAGTGTTGACTGGGAAAGTATGTTACTCTTTTGCCGCAGTACTTCCCCTCTTGATCCCAGTCATTTATTTTCAGTACAATGATGGTATCCCTCCAGGTACGCGCCTATCCAACCCAGAGAATGGATTGGATTATATGGTCAAGGCTCTCGACACTCCCGAGGGGAAAGAGAAAATCCAGAAAGTCCGTGAACTCACACAGTTCGCTCAGGAGGGTAAGCACTCGTCTGTATTGTTTTAAAATATCAATTCTTAGGCTATGTAGAATTGCAAACGACCCCAGCTGCCCTTGCACTTGCCTGGGTGGCACGGAACCCGAATACGTCTACGGTGATTTTAGGCGCCTCGCGACCTGAGCAGGTGCTGGAGAACCTGAAGGCACTCGAGGTTCTGCCCAAGCTCACAGAGGATATTATGTGCAAGATCGAGGAGATTTTGAATAACAAGCCTGCGCCGCTGGTGAGTAGTCGATGGTGCAATGGTGAAGTGCTAAATTCTAGAATGGTAGCCTACGTACGGGCGTCCGCCATTGGATAAGTTTGGGAGGAATTAGAACTGATCTTCGATGTGAAAGTCTTCTGGTATATGACGTCAAGTCGCAAAGCTTCTGTAATATTTCAGGTTCACCTTGTACTTTTGAAATGCTTGCGCTGCCATAGGACGGTCAGATGCGGTTGCAATGGACATCCGGACCGACCGGCACGACAACTTGATCCCTTAGCCTCTCAATCATCTATCGATCTTCTTACTTTTAATAACTTACGTCCGTGTAAAGTCCGTGCCTCAAAGTGACACCGACTAGAGAAAGTAAGAAAAAATTTCTTGTAGGTTATCTGCATGATATGTTCCGCTCTATGACCGCCCACAACCCTGCTCTTCCGAGTCCGTATCTTCTAGCACATGGCTCTTATACTATTTTGGGCTGCATCTTCGCTTGCCGAATCCGATGGTCTACTTACCGATAGACGAGTCCATGGCATTTGCAGAGAGACAGTCATCAATGGATATCCAGGGACCTTCTGTGGTCGATTCGCATAACATCCAGGGATGATGAAGAATATCTATCCAACGTGGGTCTCTTCTGATATTTTAGCAGCATGGGCACTTCTGTTTAACCCCCAGTTTTTTTTCAATCTAGCCGTTCCTCGGGGTTCATTCAAAGATTTTATCGTTTTTGATGAGTAGTTTCTGCTTGCTCGTTCACCTAAACTAAAGTGAAGCCTTTGAATAACGAAACAGAGGGAAAAGGTGTGGTATACATACGTTTCAGGCCATCCCCATGATCATGTTAAGAGTGCATGTCTGTACGCGGTGCATTTCCGAGCCGCGCTTCTGTGTCCTGAATCCAGGAAAGAACGCGGCTAATTATTTCATCGCCTTGGTGCATGATAGGAAGGGTTTGGGTCTAGGGTTACAAGACGGCATTCGAAGTTCAGCCACCATCATACCAACATGAATAGATAGGCGCCATGAAGCTCCGAGTCTGCAAGAATTGTTCGTCAGCCATGATGTACACTTGCTCCCTTGATGATGGCATCAGCACTTCCGGCTCTAGACTCTCGCTGTTTTTCGTCATAGCATTGTAAGAGTGTCGGTCATAGGCTCCTTCTTCTCCGGCTGATTATTTGCCAGCCTTCGCGCGTATATTGGAACGCTCCTTAGAACTAGTCACTGCTAGAAGGATATACTTAGACTCATGGACCCGAAATTATTTTGGTCTTCAGGTCTACCGGTCAGTGTTTCCTCAGTTGCACTTGATTTCCTGTTCAAGGTACCATGCAATAGGATACATGTCACTTTTCGCCGGAAAAGAAATCACGTAAAGACATTTTGTAATCCTGTCGTTTTTTAATAAACGAAGGGAAATGATGGAACCTCCAGTTGTATCTCTTCCCGTCGTCTAGCACAGATCTGTGCAGCGACATTATCTGCCACTTTTCAGATCTAAGAGATTCGCAGGTCTATTATTGGCGTATATATCGGTTTCTCTGCAATCAATGGGTCGTTCGAGGCTCCTGGTGATCACACGCAGGCATTATGGGATACAAGCCTTCTTCGTAGCGGGCGTTTTAGCATTCGTCTATTTATGCTGGCCAAGAAAAGCTTGTCGGTAAGCATCTTATCAGTTGTATTCTCCTTGTTACCTGCCTTGCAGCAATGAGGAAAGGCTTTCTCCTCTCTTCTTCACGAAAGTCCGCAGAGATTCGTTCATTGGACCCCTTCCCATCGTCATCCGTTTCCGAGCCTCCACCCGATCACGATGTAACTCGAGTTCTGTCCAGGACTCCTCGTATCGTTCTCTCGGACACGAGAATACCCGGTGCACCTTGTTTCCTTTACCTGCCCCAAGGAAAGCATGACATGGTATACATCGACAATCTCGCCAAGGTTAAAGAACTATCTACATGGACAGTGTGGAATAGGCCTACTCCTTCCGACAATAGGAATGCCGTCGTTTTTCGCCCTGTCGAGGGCAAAGGCGTGGGTATGATCGCTCGTCGAGCGATCATTGCTGGGGAACTCATCATCGCCGAGCGGCCAGTCTATGCGCAGCGGAAGGCGCTTCCGCGGTGTGATGCAGAAAACGCTGTGAACGGCGTTTTTCACCTCTCCTCTGTGAAGGACCTCAGTCCCGCATCGCGCGAAGCCATCTTTTCGTTGAAGAACTCGAAGACAGGCTATCATCCTCTTCACGGCATCCTCCAGACGAATTTCCTCATGCTCGATATCACCGAAGAGCCAGACCCAGACCCAGAGAACCAATTCGTGGGTATCTTCCCCCTCCTTTCGCGGGCCAACCACGATTGTACCCCCAATTCTCACTATTTCTTCAATTTTTCGTCTTTCACCGGGGAGTTTCGTGCCATGAGAGATATTCCGCAGGGAGACGAGGTGACGATCGCGTATACGCATGTCCTGGCTCCTAGGGGTGCCAGACAAGCTCAGCTGAGGAGCGGTTATTCCTTTATCTGCTCGTGCGCGGCATGCCACCTCGATGCGAAACAAGCTGAAGCCTCTGACGAGCGGCGTGCGAGGATCCATCAGTTGGTGGAAGAGATTACGCCTGGGAATTCCGCATGGCGGAAGCCTTCTTACGAGAGGATGACGGAGTGCTTGAATATGGTAGAGAAGGAGCGCCTTGACATTTATCGTGCGCAGATACTCTTCTACGGAGGGACGTTGCTATTGCAACAAGGGGATATCACGCACTTTTTGCAATGGATGAAAAGAGCCAAAGAGGAGTATCGTCGATTTGAAGGAGAAATGTCACCGACATTCAAGGCCATAAAGACGACGTGAGTACAGCCAGCCACGAGATTTGCGAATAAGCTTTTCTAATAGATTTATGCTTTGCGAAGTCTTCAGATCTGGCCTGGCGCTTCGCGTTGAAGCCCAAGCGGCGACTAACGATATTTCAATACCAATGTACTAAGTGACGGAACCGTGTTTGACATTAATCCCTTATGTTTGACCATTCCTGACCGCAAGGCGCACTTTCTCAGAGAAATATTTTGTTCTGGTAAGAACTGCGGGCAAACGATCTCTAAGTGTTTTGATTTACCTATTATCTTCAAACGAACGTTCTGCTGGTATTCTGATCTCAGGCTGTAGTTTGTTTAAAAAAGCCGTACCTTGGTCTTCGGTGAAACACTGAGAAAATACATGTCAAAGATTCATTGAGCCGATACATCTACAGACTTCTTATGATCTCATATCCATCCAGCTCGATCCCTCCCGACGAGATCTGGAAAGTACAAAGACACCTGAGTTATTCGTATCCGAGGCCCTTCCCTTCATAGCGTACTGTAACATGGTATCCTTTCCCGCATTCCCGTCATTCTCTTCTTCCACCAAAGCATCTAGTTCCGAGTTTCTGGTCGCCCGGACAATATCCCAGAAAGTGGTGTTACTATCGTCTCCATCCTTCAACGTGCAAGCCAACCCGACGGCACCACATGCTGCCGTTGAGATCAAGGTAGCAGCGTAGATGATCCACAGTCTCTGGCTATGGTAAACCCATATTAGCTGATCCTCGGTTACCGATGCGTTAGTCACGGTTGTATCACCCGTGGAACTTATCAGTGCGACCGTGGCATTGACTAGGATCTGCTCCAGTGCGCTGATGACATTCTCAGCGTTTGGAGTGAACGTTCTGGCTGTTTCGTCAAGCGAAAATAAGTTAGTGGACATCATATCGGTAACAGGGAACCAATGTTCCAGCGGTTTCTCCGATGTGGGAAGAAAGGAGAGTGTAATTGTTCCTTGAAGCTGGATATATAACCAATACACAATGGCTGTGTAACGGAGGAGGGACGCAATCTCAGCCTGAGGGGGGACATTGCTATCTTGGCCGAAACCACAAACGTGAGGCGACACGATCGACTCGTCGGAGTACTTTGTAAGGCTGCCGTAGGATATGATACTGGGGGAAACCGTTCCAGTGTTATTTACGAATGATACGGCAGATTGCTGGGTGGAGTTGTAGAGTGTGCAGTGAGCTCCAGCAAATGTTGATTTCCCGTCAGCATCATACGTACGCCACGCCATGGACATATTCGAGCCGGTGGTAGTGTCCATAAGATCGTACGTAGCATTATACACGGTCCAAGACTCAATATCCCCAGGAATCTCGGGAAGCATTGTGCTGACTTCACCCGGACTGAGCTCTGTACATCTCAGAGCAGGTGCAGGGTATTGGATCGTGTAATGGCACTCTCTCCCACATCCTATAGGTGCATTCCAGCCAACAAGTGTATCGGACGACAATGCTTGAATCAGGATCCTTTGCCATGCTGTAGAAGGGGTGAAGTCACATCGAACTTCGGAAATATTGTCGGATTTACTGAAGGAAATTGTGGGAACAGAGATGGTGGTGTTTTTGGGAGAAGCTGAGCCAACTTCGAGAGAGTTGGGAGCGAGGATGGATACGAGCGCAAGTAATTGCACAATTGTTGCCATGAAGATGACAGGAATCACATTCCTGAGTCGTTTGGATGATGCAAGGCGGAGAATTGGAAAAGGGCTGGGTAAACCAAATAAATGATTTAATTGAAGGATAGTGAATGGTCTGCGACGGATAAGCCACCAGATCTACTGAGCCCGTTAATTAAGTTACCCGATTTGAACAAAAGATACTCACGAGCTGCGTAAGTGATACCGAAACTGATGCTATGCAAAGCCACTGGACCAATGTACTCAGAGCGTTGGATGAATTCTTTATCCAGAATTGGCTTGACACGGTGCGTCCTTGTAGGATAAATAGGTAAACATGGTGCATCCCAGCAGTAAGTGCGGCACCGAGGAGTAGCACGGCTATGACGGCTGGTGTGCCTCTTAGTTGTATCCGTTGAGCTGTCGGTGGTGACTCGGCGAGGGTGGCAGACGAGGATGAAAGATCTGTTTCCGACTTTGCTGGAGTGGAAAATGACTGATCCTCGCTGGACCAGGAAGGTGTGAGTAAATCCGCGCGCTCCTCTCTGTGGTGGTCCATGACACTTTGTCTTCACGAATCTTGGGGACGAATGATATGGTGAAGCAGAAAACCAGCATAGATATGCTTACAAGATTTTAAGTAAGGATGAGCGCCTATTCGCCATGACGACGCAGTGATAATAATCATCTGCTAAGGGAAAGGGACCCGATAGATGATACAGATGTATACCACTGTCACACTTTCCGACTTGCGTTTGAAATACCCGGAGTGGAAGGCTGAAATCTAAGATAGTACGTATAAGTTCGATTTCACCAGAGCTATTATTGACATTAAAATATCGACTTGGACAAGAAAATCGACGCAGTCATAAAGTCTGAGTTGAGTGATAAGTAGTAGTGGTTCACTATGGCCATATGGCGAACGACTGATCGGATCTGATGACGAGCCGCTTCAATACATAGAGCAACGGCGAAATGATGGCCTATTCCGAAATGCGGCATGATATCCGCAAATCCATAGAAAGCATCCCAAGAACTTCGAGGTTTCAATCATGGCCCCTGCTCCACGAACAAACGATGTACAGCAGATGGTGGAATTATGACGAGAAAGCTGGACAAAATCGATGGAAAACACATGAAAAGCTCTGCTTGTATCGCAGATCGGGAAGATTCGAAGTGATGCCACGGAGTCGGAAGCGATACAGAACTTGCTGTTTACTCCCTTTAGTCTACCTAGCATGGATGTTTTTGCGAGGCTATTAGCATTCGGTGAGCAGTGTAGTGGAAACTGGATAGAGGAATCATAAATGGATACAGCTTGGTATGTAGAAATACCAGAGAAGTATACCTTCTGCTCATATCACTGATGCCTCTCTTCCGGTGGCGGAACAACAACCATATCAGGATAGGTGTTCTGGATATCCCACGGTTGCGTACCCGCATGTTCCGCCTTATGTTTCTTCCAATCCGCCCTCTGACACGCCTCTCCACAATACAGAGCGCGGGCCTTCCTGCCCTCCTTCGTGCACCGTGAACAAATTCGTAGCTTGATACCATCCTGGGGATTCTCTCGCTTCCGACACGTCCTGCATTCGTCTCGGTAACGAAGTAGAGGAACAGACATGTCTTGCAGAAGGACGCGATATGGAGGTGCTCGATGTTTTCGTGCCGCGTCGTAGACGGCGGAGAAGTCGGCGATGCAAGTCCCAGGTGGGGGTAGATGTGCGCGGACGTTCCTATCAAATTTGATGGCCGTGAGGGGGATCATATGTGTGAGGTATTGCTGGAAAGACGGGACGATGGAGAGGTCGATGACGTGGACATGCATGAGATGTATGAAGATAAGGTGGTTGTCAATCCGTGGCAGTCCGATGATTCCTTCCTTTTTGGTGTTAAAAGTTGCATCGGAGTAGGCTGTGTCTCCTTCCAGGCAAAGGATATGTGGTACGTGGTAGCGAATTGTACCGCCATTGTGATCGTTCTCAAAAAAGAATGATACACCGGAATAACTGTGGTAAAACTGGTTCATAAGGGTTGAAAGGGCGTGGCATGGGTACGTGCACTTTACATGGCCCATGACGAGTGGCAACCGTCTGTCCTGTATCGCCGAGGCCCAGCTTGTGGATATCAGCAGGATTCAGATATACACCATCGTCGGATGTTCCAATGAGAGGCTGGATCTGGACCCGGCATGACGATAAGAAGTATTCAAAGGGATTCACGTCCTGACCTTCACTTTCTGCGAGTTTCCAGGGTTGACGACAGTACATGGATATGTAGTCGGACGGTGGATATTTGATGGCCTCCCACGGCTTAGATGATCGGCCAATTCCTCACTTTTCTCTGCCATTACGAAGGTGCTAGCCGAGCCATTTCCAGGGAAGAAGAGTAAGTTGTATTTCTGGAGGAATACTATCAGAAAGACCGCCATCGAATGTTACTGAGGATCTCTGGTTACCTCGCAAAATGTACGTCCAAGAGCTCCGTTAACCTGGGACATTTTGAGGGAAATCCGGCTGGATAAGTTTAAGCACGGTTGATGATAAATTAAATGAGGATTTAATGCGTGCCGACAACTTGCTAGGCTAGAATGAGACCGCCGGGGAGAAAAATCAGTTGATGACGGTTGACCGGCCCGTTGGCAAAATCAACAAGGAGCGTGGGAATTAGCTACGCCTCCACTCCTCTCTACTACCACCACCATCGCGCTCGGGATCAAGCCAGCAATTGTCCATTGGCTGGTCATGCTCGGCTCACTATCCAGCTGTACATAAGTATCCCTTCTGTACACACTTGTTTCGTTCTAAGCCTGAAAAATGGCATAAAATCGGTATCCGCCTGCTCGATGTTATCGTACAAACCGCGTCGGGGACAATGATTCGACGAAATCTTACTATTACTGGCGTAGCCATGGTCGCGAAGGATAATTGAAAAACTGGTAGCATATATGCGCCAAAACACCAGAACGATGCGGCGGCCGAGGTATGCGTCATTTTCCCTAGCCATCTTTATATTGTCATCCATTACTTCGGGCCTAGAAAATCGGTGCCCTGTACAGAAAAAATTGGTGGAATAGCTGCTGTGAAGGCGCACGGTGCATGTTATGGGATCGCGAATGATGATTTAGGTCGGTCGCCATCAGTTTCCCTTTGAGTTGCCCGTTAACTCCATCACAGTCTTGACGAACGGTACAAGAAACTGCTTATGCTCTCTGGCATGGAGGCAGCGATGCATCTGTTTTCTAGCCGGGTTTTAGTCATGAATGCATGAACCCTGAACACCGCATACTCTGCGTTACCCACTCCAACGGTCGACCTAACAATGAGGCAATCACAAGGAAGTCCATCGTCGATCCCGCAGTTTTCCAGGGCCGTTATGTGTTACGTTGCAAAGTTTTGTGATTGTGGCCGTTTTCCAAGCTCGTCATTTAGGACAGGCAATGGCGTCGATGACAAGCTGGGAGGCCCATGGGGGCTACGAGGAAGAATTACGTACTTCTTTCGTTCTCGCAAATCCTATCGTGTCCCAGGTTGTACCCCGAGGTATCTGAGTTCATCTTGGTCCTAAAAAATCATTAACTACCGCGTCTAAGCCTAATTTTGCATGCACGTATCTCAGTGGGCGTATCGTGGTTTGGGTCGGCGAAGAAATTATAGGTCTCCACATAAACTCTGCAATACAAAATGAATGGTGGTGTATAAATCAGCCGCACAGTACGTACTGTTCGCAGTCCTTCAGCGAGACATTATGTAACGTCTTGCTGGTAGAAGATCATCGTCCGTTTTCATGTTCAACGTCGTTTCGTTCAAGCCGCCTCTCGATGAAATGGCATTATCTTGACGGCTCAGAGACGAAACCAACGGAGTCGATGAACACATGCCACTCAGGTACGTTTTATCTTGACATTTAACTGATCATGCTCTTTTCACCTCTCCGCTGCGAGAGACCTCAGTCCCGCATCGCGCGAGGCCATCTTTTCGCTGAAGAGCTCAAAGACCAACTATTGTATCCTCCAGACGAACTTCCTCATGCTCGATATCACCGACGAGCTAGACCCAGATCCAGAGAACCAGTTCGCGGGTATCTTTCCCCTTCTTTCGCGGGTCAACCACGATTGTAGGACTGTCTGACAAGCTCAGCTGAGGAGCGGTTATTCCTTTATCTGCTCGTGTGCGGCATGCCGCCCCGACACGAAACGAGCTGAAGCCTCCGACGAGCGGCGTGCGAGGATCCATCAGTTGGTGGAAGAGATTACGCCTGGGAATTCCGCATGGCGGAAGCCTTCGTACGAGAAGATGAAGGAGTGCTTGGAAGTGGTAGAGAAGGTGCGCCTTGACATTTACCGTGCACAAATTCTCTTCTACGGAGGGACGTTGCTATTGCAACTGGGCGATATCACGCACTTTTTGCGATGGATGAAAAGAGCCAAAGAGGAGTATCGTCGATTCGAAGGAGAAACGTCACCGACATTCAAGGCCATAAAGACAACGTGAGTACAGGCATTCACGAGATTTGCGAATAAGCTTTTCTGATAGTTTTGTGTGTTGCGGTCTTCAGATCTGGTCGGGCGCTTCGTGTTGAAGTCCAAGCGGCACCGGGTACCATTGCTTTCATACTACCTTCAAAAATGCTTTGACGGTAATATAGATATAGACGTCCTTCCACACTGGGCCAGGTACCTATTTTTGCCTTCATTGATGACTCATGATGTATTCTTACGATATTTCTATACAATCTGAATATCACGGCATGACCTGTCTATTTCTCTAGTTACATCGTCGTGGCACAATAGAATGTCCAAACCCACCACTTGAACGCGAAATTCTCTCCGCCCCAACCAGGGTACTTCTCGGTGTTCAGCGGATCTTGAAGAATATCGTAGAGAATACCACTCAAGTCATATCTCGACAGGATGTATTTTTAGACGTCCAGGAGAATAAGTAATTTGAGGCAAGGCTGAGATTTTGGAATCACGATACATTGTGTTCGAAAACGGAAAATTATCGAGCGTCATATGAAAACCGGGGACGTTGTACAATTAATAGGGGGGAAAAGATGTGTTTCTGAGGCTAAAAAAGATTGGAGGGTCGGCCTGTCGGGAGTACGTCCTGTACCATCGTTACACCTTGGTTATACCACTACGGGTACGCTGTCATTCGGCTTTCTGTTCTTCTTTTATGATGAAATCAGCTCTTTTACCATTACGTTTGAGAAGTGACGCCAAGGTACGCGTTCTCAGAGAAAGATCCGAATTCTTCCGTTCTGACAAGAACTGTGGGTCAGCGCAATATTACGAGTTGTTTATGGTTATCGAATGATGGTTCTGCCGGTGTTAGAGTGCGTATTTTTCCCCCTGCATGCCATACCTTTTACTAAAGGGAATATAAGTTAAAGATTTATTGGATATATACATCTACAGGCTTATGATTCCTCGTGACAGGACCTGGCAAGTACGAAGACACCGGAGGTATTCGCATCCGAATCCTTTCCTTGCACAGCATACTGTAACATGGTATCTTTTCCCGTATGTGCACCATTCTCGGCTTCTACCACTGCATCCAATTCCGAGTTCCTGGTCGCCCGGACAATATCCCAGAAAGTCAAGTCTCTATCTTCTCCATCTTTCAGCATGCAAACCAACCCGACGACACCACATACTGCCGTTAAAATCAATGCAGTACCGTATATAATCCATAATCTCTGGCTATGGTAAACCCATATTAGCTGATCCTGAGCCACCGATGCATTTACCACGGCCGTATGGCCCATGTAAGTTATCAGTGCGACGGTAACATTGACTAGGATCTGCTCCAGCGCTCCAGTGACGTTCTCGATGTTTGGAGTGAACGTTCTCGCCGTTTCGTTAATCGAAAATAAATTACTGGTCATCAAGTTGGTGCTAGAAATCCAGTCATGTACCGTCGAATTTGGCAAAGAATATAGAATGCTTCCGTTTAACTGGTTATAAAGCCATCCTACAATCGTGAGGAAAGCCGCAAGTTGAGGGTAGAGGGGGTTGCGGCCATGGACCGCACCGCAGGAGAAACTCTGCTCGAAGTGGTATTTTGCGTTGTAGGATATGATACTGGGGGAAATTATTCCGGTGTTGTTTACGAATGATACCACAGATTGCTGGGTAGTGTTATATAGAGAACAACGAGCTCCAGCAGTGGTTGATTCCCCATTGGAATTGTACGTACGCCACGCCATGGACATATTCGCACCAGTGCTAGGGTTGGTAAGGTTGGAGGTAGCATTATACACAGTCGCAGGGAAGTGAGGGTTCTGCCAGAGCATTGCGTTTACTTCATCTGTGCTGAGATCTGTACATTTCAGAGCAGGTGCGTTGTATTGGACAGTGCAATTGCATTCAGTTCCACACCCTACAGGTGCATTCCAGCCAATGAGTGTATTTGACTGCAATGCGCGATCAAGAACCTTTTCCCATGCTGGAGAAGGGTAGTAATCACAATGCGTTTCAGAGATATTGGATTTACTGAAGAAAACTGTGGGTACGGAGATAGTGGTGATTTTGGGCGAAGCTGAGCCAACTTCGAGAGAGTTGGGAGCAAGAATGGATACGAGCGCCAATGCTTGCAAAAGCGTTGCCATGGCTATAACGGGAATAATATTCCACAGTCTCCTGGATGACGCGAGGTAGAGAATTTGAGAAAGACCAGGTAAACCGAATAAATGGTTCAATTGAAGGACAGTGAACGGTCGGCGGCGGATGAACCACCAGATCTGCTGAGCCCGTCAATTGGTTTTTTATTTTATTTGAACATAAGATACTTACGAGTTGCGTAAGTGATACCATAATTGATGCTGTGCAAAGCCACTGGACCGATGTACTCAGAGCGTTGGAAGAGTTCTTTATCCAGAATTGGCCTGATACTTTGCGTCCTCGCAGGATAGACAGGTAAACATGGTGCAGCGCAGCAATCACTGTGGCACAGAACAATATCCCGATTACGATCGCTGGTGTGCCTCCTAGTCGTATCCGCGGAGCTGTAGAGGGAGGCTCTGATGGCGTGGATGAAAGATCTGTTTCGGACTTGGCTGGTGTGGGAAATGGTAGGTTATCGTTGGACACGGAAGGTGTGAATTGGTCAGTACGTTCTTCTTTGTAATGGTCTACAGTATTATGTCTTCATGAACCTTAGGTTGGTTGATATGGTGAAGTAGAAAGTTGACGTACTGGCTTGAATATGGGGACAAGATTTTGAGCGAGGAGTCTGAGTGCTTATTTGCCATGAAGACGAACAGAGAAAGAGTGTTTGTTAAGAAAAGAGAATTCGGTCGATGATAACGATGTATACCACTGCTGTGTCTCCCAACTTATGTTGAATTCCCAGAACGGAAGAACCAAAGCTGTAAGACGGGAGAATGTCACACACAGCACTCTCATAGCCCCGCTGATTCTATCCCAGCAGATACCTAGTGCCAATATCGCATGTATCAGAGCAAAGAAAGTTTTATTTTGATTTAGGCGACTGGCCATTGTCATAACTTGGTTGGCAGTTTACGCAGCCACAATAAAATGAGGTAGGATGAGCGATCATAAAACGGATACAGCCTGGTATATGGAAACACCGTAAAAGTATACCTTCTTTCGTAAACTGCTTGTGCCACCAGTTGCGGTGATCTTATGCATCCGTCTCTTCCGGTGGCAGAACAACAACCATATCAAGATAGCTGTTCCCCATACCGAGGGGGGCCCAAAACGGTGGGAAGGTGGGATAAGATTACGTCCGTTTTTCGGTAGGATTCATGTTTTTCGGTAGGATTCGTGAGATCTTCTGGCCTGAGGCACTTTTTCGGTGGGATTGAGTCTGGTACAAGCACTGCATTCTCTGAGTGCCACACCGGCCCATCGAGGGTACCTGCTCTGACCGCTGCCTCTGGGAATTCATTTGTATTGTCCCCAAGTGAGTTTAGGTTGGCTCTCGACATGCAACTTATTGACCCTACTGTCAAGCTTCGCGCCGCCGCATGGCTCTCACGCCGAGTTCAGAGGGCCTGGTAACTGGTTAGGGTCCTACGCAACTCAACGAACGTGGGGAGGGCTGTTAAGCGCCCATGGCAAGTGCACCCAGTATGCCGGCACAGCCGTCCAGGGGACCGAGAATCAGACTAAGCCATAGAGAAGTCGTGTTATGGATCTCGTATCTTTTCCGGATTGTACCTCAGTCAACACATGCCTACTCTCGGCCTTCTCGGCCTTGACCTCGGCTTACGGGTATTTTCTCTTATTTTCTCTTACCTCCTCTTACTTTCTCCTTTCTTCTTGCTAATACTAGAATAATGATGACTCAATCCCTTACTAGTGGTATATAAATATTGTACTTGTCTTTGTATTAGGATCTCTTAAGCTAATTTTACCCATCTTCGAACGTCCACTTAACTGTGTGATATAAGCATCTCTGATCGGTTACGCCTAGCGCTTTTCGGAGACTCAGTCAGTTACGCCTAGCGCTTGCTGACGCCCTCGTTAACTACGCCTAGCGCTTGTTAGCACCCTTACGGATCCCTCTTGGTGATTGGAACTCGGCTCTCGGACATCCTCGCTCATGACTTGGGTTTTACTTGAGTACTCATTACCTCGTGTATTAGCTCAAATACCCTGATTCTTAACAAGTCGGCGGCGATGCAAGTTCCGGGTGGGGATGGATATGCACGGATGTTTCTATCAAAATTGATGGCTGTGAGGGGGATCATGCGTGTGAGATATCTTTGTAGAGAAGGGACGATGGAGAGGTTGATGAGATGGACGTGCATAAGGTGTATGAAGATAAGGTGGTTGTAAATCCGTGGTAGTCCTATGACTCCTTCTTTCCTTGTGTTGGAGGTTGTATCGGAGTAAATGGCGTCTCCCGCCAGGCGAAGTATATGTGGTACGTGGTAGCGAATTGTACCGCCATTGTGATCTTTCTCAAAAAGAATGATACACCGGAATATCTGCGGTAGAACCGGTTCATAGGGTATGAAAGGGCGTGGCGTGGGTACGTGTACGTACACTTTACATGGGCCATGGCGAGTGACAATTGTCTGTCCTGTATCGCCGAGGCCCAACTTGTGGATATCAGCAGGATTCAGATATACACCATCGTCGGATGTTCCAATGAGAGGTTGGACCTGGAGCCAGCACGACAATGAGACGATAAAACATCCAAAAGGATTCACGTCCTGACCTTCACTTTCTGCGAGTTTCCAGGGTTGACGACAGTACATGGATATGTAGTCGGACGGCGGATATTTGATGGCCTCCCACGGCTTAGATGATGGGCCATTTCCTCACCTTTCCCTGCCATTAAGAAGGTGCTAGCCGATCCATTTCCAGGAAAGAAGAGTAATGAGAATCTCTGGTTACCTCGCAGAATGTATGTCCAAGAGCTCCGCTAACCTGGGACATTTCGAGACAAATCCGGCTGGATAAGACTAAGCACGGTTGATGATAAATGAGGATATAATGCGTGCCGACCACCGAGAGAAAAGTCAGTGGATAACGGTTGACCGGCCCGCTGGCGAAGTCAACAAGGAGCGTGGGAATTAGTTGCGCCTCCGTTCCTCTCTACCACCACCACCATCATCGTGCTCGGCTCACTGTCCAGCTGTACATCAGTCATCAGTGTCCCTTCTGTACACACTCGTGTCGTTCGAAACCTGAAAAACGGAAGAAAATCACTATCCATCTGCTCGATGTTATCGTACAAACCGCGTCGGGGACAATGACTCGACGAAATCTTACCATTACTGGCGTAGCGATGGCCGCGAAGGATAACTGAAAACTAGTAGCATATATGCGGCAAAACACCAGAACGACAGGCGACGGGCGGTGGCCGAGGTATGCGTCATTTTCCCTAGTTATCTCTATCTTCTCATCGATTACTTCGGGCCTAGAAAATTGGTGCCCTGCACAGAAAGATTTGGTGGAATAGCTGTTGGGAAGGCGCACGGTGCATGTTACGGGATCGCGAATGATCATTTAGGTCGGTCGCCATCAGTTTCCCTTCATCACATTCTTGACGAACAGTACAGGAAACTGCTTATGCTCTCTGGCATGGAGGCAGCGATGCATCTGTTTTCTAGCCGGGTTTTAGTCATGGACCCTGAACACCGCATACTCTGCATTACCCACTCAACGGTCGACCTAACAGTGAAGCAATCACAAGGAAGTCCATCGTCGATCCCGCAGTTTTCCAGGGCCGCTATCTGTTGCGTTGCAAACAGAACGTTGCTTTTTTGTGATCGTGGCCGTTTTCCAAGCTCTTCATTCAGGACAGGCAGTGGTGTCGATGACAAGCTGGGAGGCCCATGGGGGCTACGAGGAAGAATTACGTGCTTCTTTCGTCCTCGCAAATCCTGTCATGTCCCATGTCGAACCACGAGGTATATGAGTCCACATCGGCCCTGGAGAACCATCACCCACCGCGATCTCAGCCTAATTTCCCCATGCGTATGTCTGTGGGCATATCGTGGTTCCGGTCGGCGAAGAAATCACAGGTTTCCACGTTAACCTCTGCAGTCGAAAATTTAAACTGGATAGTGGTGTATAAATCAGCCGCGCACCAAATTCCGTACGTGCTGTTCGCGCGAGACATTACGTAACATTTTGCTGGTAGAAGATTTTCGCCCGTTTTCTTGCTCAATGTCGACTCCTTCAAATCGCTCTTGATGCAAATGACAGTATCTTGACGGCCCAGAAATGAAACCAACGGAGTCGATGAACACACGTTCCCCAGGTGCGTTTTATTTTGACATTTAACTGATCATGCTCACTTTTTCTATAGCAGCGTTCTTGGCCCATCTCGACTGATGTTGGGTAGTATTCTCGAACCACCGACGGTCGTACGAAAAGGCTCCGAGAACCCAGGAGCTGCCCGAGGGCATGAACACCGATGTACATCCATATGCGTCGTGTGATCTGTCAATTGAAGTCGGGCGAGATGGATTACTGATGCGTCCGCGTTTGCCGAGCTCTGGCATCCAGAGCCGTCGAGTCTCATGGTACCGTTCTTTTGATACGTCAATACATCAGATGTACTTGTATGTCTAATTATCAGCCTGTTCACTTGACCTAATACTCACTATCCACCAGTGCGTAGGTTTTCAAGGCACGGTTTCCGAGGTTACTTGTCACCACGAGGCTACCCTGCTGTTTTCTCATACGGCCAGCACTTTCGACGCGAGATAGAATGTTGCTCAGTTGTGCCATCGATGTGTATGTATGCTCACGACATTATCGGCTACTTGCCAGTTCCATCCTATCACCTCGGGGCGTAACGGCATCATTCCGGTTCGCCGCCGTAGTTCTGCTAATGTCAAGTCTAAGGGTCTCACTAGCATCCCCCTGCGTGTGTAGACTAAGGGGTATGTTATCCCTGTCACCACCCTGCTTGTCTGCGAATGCTGCGTATATTAAGGTCCGCAATGTTAACGAACCGTTTTCTCATCCCATCGTTCTTCCCGTCCCAATGCGTCTGCTCGACCTCCCACCAGAAGTACTTTCGCTTATAGTCAATGATACAGACCGGGATACTCTCCTTTCTCTCTGTCTGACGGAGAAACATCTATATGATATCGCGCGCCGCTTCCTTCGGCGGAACGTAGCGGTAGTGTTTGACGCCTGCCAGAAGCCCAAGCCCAATCTCTTTTCTTTCGATTTCGCTCGTCTATCTGCTATCAGATCCCTCTCGCTCGTCGTTCGCGGGTGGTTTGAATTGGACTCCGGGCTATGCTCTCGAGTTTTCATGTGTATGGTTAACCTAAACCACGTTCGCGTGATTGGAGGTTCCGGTGTTCTCGTTCGTTCGATAGCCGAGAGCACGGCAACGTCTCTCGCAACTCTCGAGTTGGAGGGATGCGATGCAGAGCCGCAAGATTTCACCGGAATGGCTCCGATCAATATTCGGAGGCTTTCCATTTCGCACTGCGATTCAAACGCACGATTCCTTCTGGGCCCTTTGGTTGTGGAAGAACTAGAAGTGTATGGTCCAGGTTCGTAGTCCCACGTCCATCATGCCACAACATAGTCACTAACGGGAAAACATCAAGGTCTCGATGGGGGATGTATGAATATTGGTGTAGCCTTACGGCGACTAACGGACGGTAACCTAAAGAGGTTATACGTCATCGATACATGTAGAGATCCGGGATGCCGTGATATCGTACACTTGACGCGCGCCTTGGAGGTGAGCCCCATTCGTTCTAGTATGACACGGTGTTTTATATATTGGGTCCGCAGACCCGTCTAGCATCGCTTGAGGTACTCGTTCTGGATATCTCACTCCCGCAGAGTGCGCTCGAGAAGCTGGTCCGAACGGTGTCTATGTACCCGGCGTTGAAGACGCTCTACCTTAGAGGTCTTCCTTTGTTTAGAACCGCCAAGGTCGGCGGTGTACACCTCGCAGAGCTAGATTTTCCTTTCAGTGCGGTATGTGTACGGCGCTGTGAAGCCTGTGTTCTGCTAATACTTGTGTTTTCGTATAGAAAGTGCACAATTTTCTTCTACAAGACAAAGGTTTTGGAGACGGCCTCATTGTGACGCCAAGTGACTATGGGCGCAAAGATAGACGAGAATAATTCGGTAATTCTAGCATATTGTTGTCATTCTAATAATCTGTGCAAACTCGCCTACTTATGAATGTTGCTGTTACACTGTTTCAACCTCATAAATAGCGAGACCTAGCTATGAGTATCACTTTCCGCCTGTGGAATGTCGAGTCAGTGTAGTTAGATGGTGAACTTTTTCCTTACCCTGTGCCAGTGTAGTGTACTGAATGAATCTTCTCCGCTTTTCCACAAGCAAAATAGGTCTTTAAAGAAGCCAAATGCCTCCTGTTCACCGTTTTCGTTGCCACCTTTGATTGACACGTAGATTCTTGAGCAATGGAAATACAGGTGATCCCCAACTCGACAACCAGCGTATCAAAACCCCCATGTCAGCATAGGACATGTGCGACATTGACAGGACCTTCAGTTTGAGTCTGTGTTCCAGAATGGGATGTGCACTAACGTTGAAACCCTTTTTGAAGGTGGTGTTTTGAAGATCAACAGAGGTTAGAACGGAACAGCTTTGGAGAAGTTCGATAAGAACACCAAGATCGACATCATGAAAGTCCTTCACAGATAGGGATACAATGTGTTCGATGTTGATAGGCCTCTGTAATGCCAGTTACTGATTTAATTATGACTTTCTGAACTTCGAAACCTGAAAGAACCCTATTCCCAGATGAGCCAGTTTCGCACTGGGTGTTCATCATGTTAAGCGGGAAGTTCGGTGTCGCCAGCGAGACAAATGAAGACATTTTGAATGGGGAAGGGAGACTAGATATAAAGGGGTGGTGACGACTGTAGTTCAAAGGTTTGGCCACTCCTGGGCCCCTTCGGAAGACGATGGAGGCGGTTGAAGGCGGGCTGGAGGTAGAGAGACTAGATAACGAGCATGTGTCTGATTACGTGGGACGTCAGGAGGCGACAGATATAACTGAGTCATGTTATGCAGAATGTAGACGCCCGATAGTTACGTGGCTGGTTCTTTTATACTCAGCAGGCGAGAACAAAAAAGCGATCCTATGTGCCACAATTTCCTTCGTAGCTAGGGACCGCATTGAACGTTGAGACATGCCCCCTCGTGGTTCAGTATAATATCATTTGATAGAAACAGAGACCTGTGAAAGGCGCCGGGATCGAGCTTGAGATGGGACCGAACTTGGAAATCTGATGGTCGATAATCAGATTTTAGTGGGTCGTCCTATAGGACATGATTCACTGCTGTTGGTGTCATCAACGAGCTCAGTGAGAATATTCCGGTAACACCTCTTCTCAAGGGGAAGGATAGACAATCAGACGTCTGATGTAAGTAATACTGGTAGCCAGACCCAAAGAAAGTCAAATGCGGTGGCCGCAATTCCATGAGTATAAGAAGCCACGGGTATCAGGTGGAGTTTGTACAAGTGCGCAAGTGGTTGACTGAGCTGGGAATGGAGCATGTCAACGTGTAAAATTTCGCCACCAGCAGCATCTGAGTTTTGACAGTTGATCCAACTCGGAGGAAGCGCATTGATTATGAAGACAATAAAACATTTTTATCTATTGCTCACGGAGAGAATATGACAAGAAAGGACCGCGTATTGGGGCACCACGGCGAGTTTTTAGCTGGGAGTTCATTTTGGCCTTTGCGGGGAGTCGGGAAAGCTCGGAAGGACCGTCCGTGATGAGGTAAACGTTGCGAGCCGGCGGCAGGCATTTTTTTTTGCTGCCAACTTTCATCATCCAAGTCAAATCCAAGTTTAATCCAAGTCTTGGAGATATCGTCCTTGTCTCTTCATCTCTAACTGCCTGGGCTTCCCGGAATGTTAGAAATAAATCTTCTTCTTGTTCCTTGCTTAGGCGCCACCCAACACATCTGTCTTTATTGATCTGACCGTTCTTGGGAATACCAGGCGAATTGACGTGACTAAGCTTCGCACAGCCGTTTCGACAGTGTAGTCACATCAACTGCCTAGACAAAAACGAAACTGGGATCTACTAAAGAAAATAAACTATCAAGTGCTCACCCCAAGTGATCAATCGAACTGTTCATTCTTGAATGAAACTAGACCGAGCTCTGATACACCCACGACCTGTGTGTTTCATTATTCAGAAATGCTTCTTCTTTGATGGATACATGTGTCGAAGGCGCTCGTATGTCCAACCATCTCCACGCCGACCCAGCTCAATACTTCGGTGCAGGAGTCTGTAAAGGAGACCTTTGTCCAGGGTAAATAGTCCCCTCGCTCGCTCAATGCCATCTATCTGCCTGTATCACGATCGTTTTTGGCTACTTACCAGTGATAACGAACAACCTCGGGCTCGGGCAACACTTCCGGGATCACCGCTACAGCCTTTGCAAAGGGCCCATAAGCGCCGTCTACGCATGGGTTACATTATTCCTATAACATCCGGCGCGTCTTCAAGCGCCACATATATTGGTCTGAAACCTGTCCTTCCGAGTCCTTGACCTTCTCACAGCAATGCATTTGCTCGACCTCCCACCAGAGATTCTCTCGATTATCGTCAATAACACGGACAAGGATACCCTCCTCAGTCTCTGTCTGACAGAGAAACATACACTCTGTCAGATAGCGCGTAGTTGCCTTGAGCAAAATGTTACGGTGGTCTTTGATGTCGGCCGCAAACCTAGGCCCGACGTCTTTTCGTTTGGTTCTGGTCGCTTGTCCGCTATCAGATCACTCTCACTCATCGACCATGGGAGCTTTGCATTGCACTCTGAGCTATACTCTCCGGTTTTCATTCGCATGGTCAATCTAAACCATGTTCGTGTGATTGGAGGACCCGGTACACTCATCCGTTCGATAGTCGAGAGCACAACGGCGTCTCTCACCACTCTCGAATTGGAGGAATGTGACGCGGAGCCGCAAGACTTTTCAGAGATGGCTTCTGTGGCTATTCGGAGGCTTTCCATTTCACGTTGTCATTCCAACGTTCGTTTCATTTTGGGCCCGCTCACTGTCGAGGAATTGGAAGTGCATGGTCCCAGTTCGTCGTCCCACATCTCGCTGTTGCTAAGTATTTACTAACGAGGACACACTAAGGTCTCGATGAGGAATGCACGCATGTTGGTGTTGCCTTACGACGACTAACGGACGGAAATCTTAAAAGGTTGCACCTCATCAATACATGTCGAGATCCGGGATGCCGCGATGTTTTGCATTTAGCGCACGCTTTGGAAGTAAGCGGCTAAACCTCGTTCACTCTAGTATGATATTATGCTTATGCTTCATTATGGTTTGTCACTAAAGACTCAGCCAACTCGATTCCCTTCACTTGAGGTACTGATTCTAGATATACCACTCTCACAGGACACGATGGAGAAGCTCTTCCGCACGGTATCTGTGTATCCTGCATTGAAGAGACTCTACCTTGATGGGATATCGTTGTCCAGACCCTTCAAGTTATTTGGAAATGGCCCGGACGGACTTTGTCTTACACTCGATATGGTATGCGTAAGGCGGTATAAACGGCGATGCTTGCTGATAGATTTCGTCAATATAGAAATAGATCTCATTTGCAACGTCAATATTATGATACCGAAGACTCCAAGGGAAGGCAAGATGATGGGTCTATCACTGTGCGAAAATGATTCAGCAGATAATTCTTATATGTATCAGAACAAACCTTCAGTCACCTGTAAGGCAAGGCAGAGTTATCAGGCAAAGTTGAAGTTCCTGGGCGGAAAGTCCTGGAACTGAGCCAACTCCGGCAATCCCCCACCTTGTCTTCCGCACCTACAGATGTCATGATGATGCCTTAGTCGCCGTTCATCATATCCCGCTTTAACCTTGTGTCGGTACGATCTCGTTCAAAGCCGTAGTCAAGTTGCGCTGTTGCCAATCACCTGTCTGCTCGAATAATGTGAGCGACTGGTTCGTTGCTCGTCAGTATCATGCTCAACAGCCCAAGCAAAAGACCTTGCCATGAGCTTCTGGGGCCTTACAACTATTGACACCGAAGCGAAGATTATTTTGCGGTTTTCGGCCCGAGATTCCAGCCACACTTGATATCGAACTTCCATAATGGGTAATACCAACACGCGACAAGTCTGTCTATTGTGTCCTGCTCGCATGTGAGTAGGTTTCAATATGCAAGATATATGTATACTCATCTAATACAGAGCCATGGATCCAACATCCCGCCTTCCATTAGAGCTCGTTCAAAAAATATTTCGGCACTACTTATATGATCGCGAGATCCCCGTTCAATCCTTTGATCATTCCGATGGTCTTTGGGTCCTAGGACAGGTAAATAGGGCCTGGAGAGATGCAACGTTCTCCGATCCATCTTTGTGGTCGTCTATCAATGCATCATTCGCATATGGTGACCCTCGCAGGATTGAGAACATCGATGGTACACGGGGCGTAACCCTCAATGATGGCGTTGTTAAAAGTCTCACGTACATTCTCGCTCACTCAGAAAATGTCCCACTCTCTCTCTATCTTCGCTTCTTCGTCCGAAGTCCTAGTGATAAGGCCTTCCCAGCGTGGAGAAGCTTTTTCTCCCTTCTTATAGCACAATGCCGTCGATTTCGATCCTTTGATTTTGTAGTGCCCACTGAAATCTGGGATTATTGGACCAGGACCTCACCACGCTTTCCACTCCTCAAGGAGCTGAACGATATATTTGACACTGATTGGCTCGTCCCAGTCATGTCGACTAGATTTATGCGTCACAACATGCACGCCGATGATGTCGCTCCCACTTCTCGTATTCAGATGCCGCAGCTTCATCGTCTTGCTGTGCACACTCAATTCTTCCTCGATTCTATCACTGCACCAAACCTGAAGTCCCTGATAATGACCGATAGCCCTTCTGCAACGACTTCCACCCATGCACCGCCTCTAGTTCACTTCCTCCACCGCTCTAAATGTGCTCTGACAGATATTGATTTTTCTTGGCGTGGTACCCTTGATGAGCTCTTCACCGTACTGTCCAGCCTGCCGATGCTTGAATCGCTATCATTCCGCAGCGACTTTGAGATCGCATTTTATGAGAGGATGAAGTTGCCATCCTCGATATTACCCATGCTACGCGCATTCACTCATCAGCTCTATATTTCTGTGGAGTGTCAGCTATGGTTACTCGGTCGCAGTGGAGATGTCACTCCCATCATCGATATGGTCGAGTCTAGACTTGGGGGTGGCACGCTAGAGAGCGTCAATATTAGCCGTGTGATAGCGAGGGATTTCAGCGAAGACTCGGAAGTGCAGAGGAGACTAGCTGCTATTAACGCATTATCCCATGTCAAGGTTGATATCCATCAACTCACCGTAGGATCCCATTTCTCTGGTGGACCATACCTGTATTGGTGACGCATACCAAGTTCGGGAAATTATGGTGTCTATATAACCCTTGCGGGCGAATTGTTCATCATCACAGGTTCTTTCGCTTGTTTTCTTCATGTTTAGAACTACTTCTCTCGTGGATAATAAGACGTACGGAGTGCCCTTCTGCGAAGTTTTTCGTTGGTTAATAGGGACGTTCCATCTGGGAGACGCTGATCTTAATTATCACCCGGTTTTCGTTCTGAGCTACAAGCGTGTAGTAAACTCTACCGGTGCTTCATCATTCATGAGATGGCCATCATGCACAATGCTTGTATTTCGTGGCGGTGGGCCTTTCCAGGGCCGTCTCGTCGAGACTTCAAGTCAACTTCAAGCGCTGTAGAAAACAGTCTTAGCGAGGATATTCCATTTTTATGTTAGTTTTTTTTGTTAACAACGACCAATTATTTTTGTCGCGGGCTTCGGACCGATACTCCAGCCACGCCGCTTGTCTCCATCATTAGTAAGCCGACATGCAACTTGCATCTTGACTTGCACACAGCGTTCCCTCTCGTGCCTTCTCGTAAGCAGGCCCTAAAATGCGGGATGTATGTGTATTGATTTTTTAAATTTATTCCAGGTCATGGATCCAGCATCTTGCCTTCCATTGGAGCTGCTTCACAAAATCTTTCGACACTACTTATCTGATCGCAGGTTCCCCGTTGCATCCTTTGATCATTCCGATGGCCTTTGGGTCCTCGGGCAGGTCAATAGTGCCTGGAGAGATGCAACCTTCTCCGATCCATCTTTTTGGTCAACTATTACTGCAACATTCTCATATCATGACCAATTTATGAGGAATATGATCGAGGGTGTACCTACCGTACTCTTCAGTGATAGAATCGTTCAAAGTCTCGCATACATCCTCTGTCGCTCAGGAGATATCCCACTCTCCGTGTATCTCCGCTTTTACATCCACAATCCAGACGATGCGACCTTCCCAACCTGGAGAAACTTTTTCTTCCTTCTTACAGCACAATCGAGCCGATTTCGGTCCTTGGATATCTTACTTCCCACTGAAATCTGGGATTATTTTTCGGGAACAAGACCAGATCCCTTGCCGTGGCCTAACGAGCCGCACGATACTTTTGATACAGATTGGATCGTCCCTGTCGTTTCTATTGAATCAATGCGTCGCAAGATTCATGCCAATTACGTAGCTTGTACTGCTACCGAGATGCCACAGCTTCGTCATCTAACAGCTCATGAATCATTCCTCGATTCTGTTACTGCATCATCCTTGAAGTCCTTGAAAGCGATGGAAGAATTTTCTACAAGGACTTCCGCCGATATCCCGAGCCTTGTGGGCTTTCTCCATCGCTCTCAATGTGCCCTGACAGACCTCAGCATCAAGTGGCGTGGCAGTCACGACGAACTCGTCATCATACTGTCTGGCCTGCCTATGCTCGAGGCGCTATCGCTTCGTAGCGGGTTTGATATCTCCTTCTATATGAGGATGAAGTTACCATCGTCGATATTACCCCGGCTACGGGCATTTTCCCATTGGGTGTATATTCCCCCCGCATTCTCAATAGCTCCTGATGCAGATGTTGCTGCCATTATCGATATGGTCGAGTCCAGGCTTGCGGGCGGCATGCTGAAGAGCGTTGATATTGAGACAATGAAACAGGCTATAAACAAAGATTTGAGGAAGAGACTAGCTTCCATCAACGCGTTACCCAACGTGAAGGTTAGGATTGGCGGTATTTTCTCATAGGAACCCAATTTTCCAGTGGTACCTATGGGCAGAGTCGATGCAGCATATCAATTGGTAGACCTGCGGTGTGGGGAGCGGCAGTTCGAGACGGAACATCTGTTTGTATTGTGCGAGTTATTCACTAGTATAGGTTTCCTTCATTTGTCGGATGATAAGCCGTACTCTTTTCATTGGTGGCCGTGAATAAGCTCAAAGCGGCAGACGCCGATGTTAATTAAAATCCGGTCCGCGGACCGAGACCTCTTAAAAACAGACTCCCATCACTGATAAGCGCTTTAAACGCCACAATCCCCCTCCCGCCCGCCGGTCACTCGTACGTCCTCCCCCCATACTAGTAATATTTCCCTTATACTGACGTCCCGCAGCGCAACAGCGATGGACCCATCGTCTTGCCTCCATTTGGAGGTCCTCCTCAAAGTTTTCCATCACTATCTAACCGACCGGGAGATCCCTGTCCAGTCCTTCAACTTCTCCGACGGGCTCTGGGTCCTCGGGCAAGTGAGCAGTGCTTGGAGAGCTGCAGTCCTCTCGGATAAATCTCTCTGGTCGACAATCAACGTAGCGGTAAACTATCCCCCCCATGTCGATACCATGACTACGGTCGATGGAGGTCCCATAAGTTTCATGCTTTATGAGGAAGAGCCCTTGTATGGCATCCATACGAAGATTCTGAGCCCTACAACGAATGAAATTCTCTCCTACATCCTTCGTCGCTCGGGAGACCTTCCGCTTGATATCTCACTTCATTTCCCCGCCAAATTCCTCGAAGCAGAAGATGTCATATCCTCTACTTGGAGACCGTTTTTCTCCATTCTCTCAGCCGAGTCCCGTCGCTGGCGCTCGCTGAACCTCGTAGCGCCCGCCCCAATCTGGGAGGACTTCTCAGCCATCCCCGAGCCGGGCCTCCCGCTACTCAAGACAGTCCACGCTATCCTCCCGCGCGGTCTGTGTCTCATGCCGTTCGTTAACCGCTGCGAGAAAGTCGTCGACCTATCTATCGGGATCCGCCGTGCCGATGGTACTCCCATGAACCAGAACCCCGTCGAGATGAAAAAGTTGCACCAACTACAAGTCCTCGCTCCTCTTTTCCTCGGTGCTATCACCGCGCCGAACGTCAAGTCGCTGGTAGTGATGAACAAGGCTTTTGCGGAGTTTAGGTTCCCTACGTCTTTTATCCCTGATTTCATTCGTCGGTCGGGATGCGCTTTGACGGAGCTCGTCCTGCATTGGAACGACACTACCGAGGAGTTGTTCCGTATCCTCTCTAGCGTGCCGACGCTCGAGAGTCTGTCGTGCCATGGAAGGCTCGACGTAGCGTTTTATGAGGGGATGAAATCTCCGTCTCCTCTCTTACCGAACCTGCGTGCTCTGAATCTCCAGCGCCAGGTAGACGTACACCGTCGGTTCCAGTTCGTCACCAAGCCTACTACTATCGTCGATGCCACTCCCGTCATCGATATGGTCGAGTCTAGACTCGCGAGCGAGGTCTTGCAGAGCGTCAGTATCAGCGACGTTGTAGTCAATGTTTTCCGTGACGCTGCGAAGGCCCGATTGGCTAGGCTCAATGAGATACCGGGTGTGAAGGTTGATATCCGGCAATTTGATGCTGGGGTCACATCCGGGTTCGGGTTCAATATTGCGACGGTGTATTGATGTGTACCCCGACCATACACAATAGTCGATTGCGTGGGCCATACTAGAATTTTTCGATAACTGGTGTTTCTTTTCGGTTACAGATTTTCTTTTGTTGTATACAAATATCCTGTACCACTGTTTCCTCGCGGAAACGTAGATATACTTGTACTATTCTTTCTCTTTGATATTGTACTTACCTTTCTAACCGATATGTTACTTTCTTCCTTACTATTGTACCGAAATATAGATTCATGCATCCTGTACTTGTTCATCTCGGCGTTACTAGGTGTCGTTTTGAAGCACGTTCGTTGCTTCTTCACATCACGGGTGAGTCCTGACGTATGCGAGATTCACAGCATTAAACTTAGCTTGCTCGTAGGAACTGGCTTGACTGAGGACCCTAACGAGCTAGCATGGGGAAGGGGACACAGGAGATCCATCTCGTGGCGTCTTAGGGACTTTGATGCCAACGAATTCGAACTACTGGGTGTAGATGCGAGGAAGAAGAAAAACCGAAGAGAATTCTTTTGTTCAGGCTGGCGACCGGACCCCGGGATTTTGTTTCTAGCTCCACGATGTTCGTGTCTGTTTGATGGATCAAGCAGCCCCTTCCGCACTCCTTTCGTAAACAGATCAACCTCACAGTGACCGACCAAAGTTCTCGTCCAGGAAAAATTTCCTGTAACTAAATTCGGGATTTCTAATATTCAGCTCCCTGGTCGTGGTCTCACCTCGAGAGCCCTACCCATCATCTGCGTAAGCAATTCTCCGCTCCGTTCTCATCACGGTGTTTTAAAATCCGCACTTACGCACCTTGTCCGTCAGCAAGCGATTATCTCGCATCCAGTATTCCTCCTCCGAGAGGGTTCGACCAATGACACACTATTACTGGGAAATACGTGACCGGTATATTACGGACAAGTCGAACTGACAAATGGCTTCTGTCACTCTCGGTATCCTTTCCGCCGCGCTAGAGTCATTGTAACTTTACAAACCATAAATAAGTAACATGGTCCTGTCATACTTAACATTCCCGCCGGCCCTTTTTGAACAAGCTCCTGTAATTATAGCGGCGCATATATGCATGTCCTGGTACTAGCACTATTCCACCTTCATGTAAGTATGCAGTTATGAGTTGATCTATGACCGAAGAATCAAACTCAGAGGTAGGGATCAGCCAAGGCTCAAGTTCAATATTCAAGTGATTTTGTTGGAATTATTGCAGTGGGAGGCTTGCAGTAGGAATAATACCTAATTGTTAGCTACTAGAGCTCCTAATGAGCTCCTTATATACTACGAAATGTATCTAGAATATTCTACCAAAGTAACTAAATATATCTAAGTATCGTGACAAATGAGTAAGCCGAAGCTTCGGGAATCTTCTAGTACAAGCTTGAAGTTGTAAATCCCAACAGATTTCATAGTCGTTTATCAATAAATCGATGGACCCAACACCCATATGCACGACATCACTACATGGCCTTGGCCAAGTACAGAGTCATCTCAATTAACCCATCACAGGGTGCAAAAATACCTTTAAAGTCCATTACTCTATTCTACATCACAAGTCGAATCACCCAGGGAAATCAGATGAATGAGCAGAGGGACTGGAATAAGAGGGAATGAGAGTGCCTGAGGACCTGTACCTTCACCGCGTCTTAATAGTTAGCGCACTTGCGGTGGTTAATCAAATGCAGAGCTCAAAAAAGTAAAGAAATAGACCGATGGTGCCAGTCTGCCAGAGGAAATTTTCATTACCCTTAGCACCGACTCATGCCAGGGAAAAATATTACGCATTACTCACCGGAGAGTTCGGATACGGGGAATCGAACCCCGAGCTACCGCGAATGTATTTTGCATAGAACCTGATGAAAGGCGGTAATGTTAGCCGTTACACCATATCCGACAGAATACGGCTGCGTATGTTACATAGCTGACATAAATTGTGCCAAGAGATGACGAATCGACAATCTGTTGCCGTCTTGATCGACAGGTCACCGATTTGGTGACTGTTGAACCCAAGATAGTTAGTCTCCCCTTTGCATTATCCTGGACACTTCTACAGCACCACGGTTTGAGATCTACTAATGAAATCATTGACAGACATGCTGCGCTGGTGAAGACGATCAAGCAAACAGGGGGTGAATCCGCAACAGAAATTACGCCGATCCACGCTCAGATCATAGCCAGAATTGGCCGCCGGCTGATCCAGGCACGCATTACAGCATAATTTTTCGTCCCTTCTTCTTTCACTACCACGACGACCGAAACCAACATGACTGCTCTACCGAGTATACACGAAATGTTTCCTGGTAGATCCTGGCCGTATTTTCATGCTGCATGGGGCTGATGTTAGCAGATTTTCTCCTCCAGCAACGACCACCGCCTGCGCCACCACTACCATCGACAGACCTCTGCTCAACCGTCTTCATCTTGCACACCAACTCCGAGTCTCAGCCGACGCATGAGTACACGACAGACGACGCTCTAGCGGACCAGATGCGCAAGCATATCTGCAAGATCTGCCATAAGCGCTTCAACCGCCCCAGTAGCCTCCGAATACACCAGAATACCCACACAGGGGATACCCGTAAGCCACAGCCACCGTTATCCAACCGGCGCTTACGTGTGTTGTAGCCTTTCGTTGTCCATATCCTGGCTGCGGGCGGTCGTTCAATGTGAACTCGAACATGCAGAGGCATTACCGAAACCATTCCATGACGGGCGGCCCGGCGAGCGTTTATCCGAAAGAGAGCCGCTCGTCATCGACGTCGTCATTCTCAACACCTCAGTATCGACCGACGGAGTCCTCGTCGATGTCGGCATCACCGTCCTATGACCCGCCCTACCGGCCCGCCACCCGCCATCTATTCCCCGCGGCCTTGCCCAAACGCGCCTCTGTGACTACTACGCCGTTATCACCAGAGCCGATTCCACGCCGTGCGCCCGCCATCATCTCGCCATCAACTTCTTCGTCGCATACTCCCTCTTTGTCGCCACCGCCTATCTCCCCCCTATCTTCGCAGCGTGCTAAAATCAATCGCGGCGCCTATGTGTGGTGCCCGTCGTCGTCTGATTCAGAGGAGGAAGAAGAGGGCGCGAGGGAACCTAGTTTTAAGCTGCATGCTGCGAGCTTCAACGATGTGCCGAGGGTGTGTACTGAGTGGCGCGACACTGAGTACGGGCTGGATGCATACCGACATAGGGAGGACCCCGACCGGGAGATGAAGAGACGGCGCGTCGAGTACGATGAAGAAGAACATAGATGGCCGTGTTGGGATCGTGTATCGGATATCCGCACGAAATAGCCACAGGCAACAGCCGGTGACGAGCAGGGTTCGTCGCTATTTCAATGTACCATATTCTCTTCCCTTCTTGAGCTCATCAGCTATCGCATTACTTTGTACTATACCACGTCTTCACCACACCGGCCTTTTGTCAGTTATCTTAGCGATAATCAACTGTGCTTCGGACATGGCTTTTCATGCTGAGGGCTTGAATTCTGATGACTATTTAATCGGGTATAGTGCACCGGCTAACGTTGTCGACTCCCATTCAATCTCTGTATGACTGTCTAGTACTTTTATTTCTCTTCCTAAAAGTACAAATGATAGTACTGGGAACTCTTGATATCCGCAAGATCACTCGAAGAGGGTTAAGGCTGCGCCCAACTTCTGTGAGGATTGACTAGGCGCCGATGCCTCAATGTCTACTATGCGAACCTTGGAGCCGATGAGTTCACTTGGCGGCAATCCATTAGACTTACTTCGAGCACGGTATAACGGCGTCTTTCTGCGTGGCGGTTATGTCCCTTTTGAGGATATAATTCCAAGGCTACCCCATTTTACAACGGTGCATTCTCAGCTTACTTTTCTGTTGGCTTACAAAGAAAAGCCGAGATTTTAAGATAGACTCGAGAACCTTGCCAGTACTTCATATTGCTCGGTTAGTATTGGATATGGTATAAATACTAATACTGCTGCCTCTCGTTTGTCGATGGTGCTCTCCTTGCGATTGCTCAGAGTTCAATTCCAAATATCCCAGATACGAAAATTGAAAGAATTATTAATATGCTTTTTACTGCGTTTTTGTTCGTTCACGGGTGTGAGGTGTTAACGACCGGCGTCTGATGAACCGTCTCCAAGTCACCGAAGGCATCAAGAAGGTCTGGGTCTGTACGTCCTCAGAGGACACCGGTAGCTGGGAATCCGATCAATCCATTTGTCACATCATACATCATGGGCGGTGGCCCGTCTGATGGTTAATAGGTGGCGATCTGAGGATGAAAGGTTCACACAAATGACATACCCAATTCCTTCTCCCACAGATGAAATCCCGGGCCGCCAGCTGCGACACGACGCTACAGAAGGAGGCAGTAGCGTTTGCTCGCGGGGAGATTTTAGGGAGTTGATATCTTAATGAACCATGAATCCTTCGGAACGGCAGCAGGTTTACTTCTATCGTGAAGCATTTCAGGTGGATTGCATCGGCGTGCGAGGAAAGTATATACCTGACTGCTGTTACTTGGTTGTTACTTGCTACCTTCATATACTCCCTGCCGGCTCTCACCCCCACGTATTAGTACCATCACCAGCCTGCCTTCTCAGCCATAAGTTCATCACGTCTTCTGGAGCGCTCAGCGGCGCCGTGATACGTAACCTTACAACAACGTGCAAAATGTGGGTGAGAACCGCGTGACGTGACAGGAGACGCGTCAGCAGGAAGAAGATGACGTCGCGGAGTCAGTAGTAGTCTACTCGACTACAAAGCACCACCCTACTGTCAGCACGAAAAATTTGAAATATACGACACCGTAAACTATCTGAAAAGTTACATGAAGAGACTGAAGCTCTGAAACGGCTTTATCGGACTAGGGTGCGTCGTTGATCCATCCTTTCTACGCATCACTAGATCTTTAAGGCTTTAACTAGGCTGAACATCGACCTCAGGACCATGGGTTGGCCGCACCAAAGAAGAAGGGCATGGCTGAAGACTCGGGCATTTTCAATCAAGTAAAATCCACAAAACGCCCCACCTACATCAATTTTCCCAATATCCAAAATCTCTGCCACGAATGTCTCAAGTTCTTTCATTACAACAACAGGTCACAATTCTCCGTTGCCACAAGTGTAAGTACATATCCTTGGAGAACAACTTCCATTCTGATCCTCAAACTCCTCCCAGGCACCTCACAAAGTCGACGCTTCTCGATTCTGGGCAGTCGTCATCGGAATTGATGAATACAAAGAAATCTCAATACTAGAATGTGGTGTAGCAGATGCCCAATCATTTCAGCAATACTTGATTGCTGACCTAGGCGTACCCGAGGGACGTATTCAACTTCTTCTCGGATCCAAGGAGCACGATTCTCCTACCGATCCAATGTGTCCTTCCCGCACTTGTATCATTGACGCACTTCTCAGTCTCATCGACAATCACGAGATCGAGAAAGGCGATAATATTATATTTTACTATGCTGGTCACGGCTCTTCCTATAAATGCTCGGACTACCGGGATGACGAGATGCCAGACGCAAAAATCAGTCCCGGAAATATAGGATACATCGAGGCTCTTTGTCCCATCGATCGCGACACCCATGATGCGAATGGTGAAGCTGTACCCGACATTAGCGACCGGGAACTGAACACTATCCTGAAGCTAATTTCCCGAGCAAAGGGTCCACCACATCACCGTCATTCTCGATTGTTGTTATTCTGGTGGTGTTGGCCGGGATGTTCCTCCACCGGAGGCCCGTACGTGCCGCGGAACGAGATGGGCTACTATTCGAGATATGCTCCACGTCGGAGAGGAGAATCTGAGGAGATTTGGTTGCCTGTCCATTTTGTCGCAGGATTGGGAGATGGATTGCGACTCCCACGTTGTTTTGGCTGCGTGCAAGCCATACCAGTTTGCGAGAGAGAGGTGGGTGGATGGAGTGCAGGTGGGGGTTTTCACGCATTAGCTCTTGCGCGTTCTACGGTCTGGCTACTGCAATGCAGAGACGACATATGAAGACATTCTTGGTGGCTTTGAAGAGTCGGTTTATCAGACTCCAGTCATTGCTGGAAAACATCGAGATGCTCGTCTTTGGTATCAGAGTAAAGCCCATGGTGAAATGAATACCACAGACTTCCACTCCAATGACCCAGATCATCAGACGCCGGTTATTGCTGTGACAGGGCGAGATGTTCGTCCCTCTGATCGACGACCAATTTACCAACGCTCGATGAGACGATCAATCCTCTATTTTGTTCTCTCAAACGTTATATTTTTTGCTTGCCTTCTGCTCGCTTATCTACTTTACTATACGTGAACCCCCCGGATGGACGTTGTAATGATGTTATTTCTTGGATCGATGTTCCCAGTTTTTGGCTAGTAGCTGTTACCGTAGGAGAATTATAATCACAGCCCTAAACCACGCGTAAATGACGATGATACTTCGACTAAAATACGAAAACTGAAAGTAAGGTACTTTCATGTTACTTCCATGTCTGGTGCGGTTTGAATTCTTTCGGGATTCACCACTTCGTAAAGGAGATGGCCGCCATCAATAGAAGTAGGTGTTTTGATTTTGTCAGACGAGCGATATACTCGTTGATGAAAATACGAACCCAGATCGACAATATTATATCTCATCCTCTGCAACTCTTCATTATCATTCCATACAGTTGACAGCATGGGAGTTGACCCAGAAACAAATACGACCTTAGACCTATTTCGGTGAAGACTCGCATGGACGCACGGCGGCTGGTGCGGATGGAACGCGGTGCATACGCGTTCTTTGTTGTTTATCTTCTCAGTCCATATCACAAGCAGCGAGAACACGCACTTACGATACTACAGGTATTCTATACTTGTCTTTATCATTGAGCCGATGCATTGGCATGTCGATTTTGTAGGCCACCTTAGCGGGAATCCATGGTAATTGGAACGGCCGCTTCCACATTGCTCGGAGTTCGAGTCTCCTTCAAAATGATAAGTCAGAAATAACCTGGTCAACAGTGACTCATTGTCAGCTTACCGTCTCCTTCGAATACGGTCGCATGAGAAGAACGGGTAATTGTAATTCTGCAAGACTGAAATGCATGTACTGACTTTGACTTTAGTTGGAATACATGGAATGATAATTATCTTCGTATATGGTATAGCTGCTAGCAAAGGCATACGGTTACTGGAGGTTCGAATCCCCATATGCGAATCCACGGTGACTTCGACCATTTTGGTTTCCCAAAAATGTACATTGTACACTAGGAATCTAAGATTTCACGAAACTGCATGCTATGACATGGCTTGAAGAAAAAGTATAATGTCGCCTTTTGTTTGTCTTGAATATGGTAGCAAGCGGAGCAGGATAGCCGGGGTAGTTTCAGTCATGATAAATGATAAATAGATGATATTGTGATTCTACTTAACATCCACTTGGAACGCTCGTATCGTTCACATAATTCGCTGCGTTCACCCCCAAACCGCGACTGGCAAAAGCATTCCATAGGGCACACTTATTAACACCATCGTACCTGTTCTGATCAGCCTGTATCCATACATCTCGGGCGTTCGGCACTGTCAGTATCCATCAACCAGTCACCCTGGGATGGTTATTATTGATAATCACGTGTAGGATTACACGGCTGCAGAGAAAGCGCGTCGATGAAGAGATGAAGCCAGAAAATGTTACCTTCCGGGCCTGAGGGATCGTCCATCGCTGTTGACGAGATCCCGTGTGCTTGGACTAGTGCCGCGTAGACGTTATGGAGCATGTTTTCGCGTACTTCTCCGACATCTGGGTACTGGGTATTGAACGAAGGATTACACTGAAAGGCAAGCAGGGAGCGTACCATGAACTTCATGCAGGCTCTGGATTGAGGAGTACCGGAAGGATTGACGGTGGTGTTGGTAGAGTAAGGGCATGTTCGAACCCCGGCGAGATTGTTGAACACCCATGTTGCTAGAGCGTAGTCCGGGACGGTAGCGTCCTTATGCTCGATCCATCTGGGATTTGGGGTTTGTTGGCTTGGGAGATATAGAGAGGAGGAAGATGCGTATTCTGCCATAGCGTCTGACCAGCCTGCAGAGAATTAGTTCTTTAAAATATAATGGAGAAGAGAGGATGGGGTTACTTTCGCCAATTCCGCTGGCTTCTGTTATTTGTAGGCATCGTCTGGTCCCGCCCTCGGTGAGGTGGTTATTCCGTGCGTAAATCCATGTACAATGATATCGTTCTGGAGGGCCCCATCGTGCTGAGGGGCTGTCAGAGTCCATATGTACATCCTGCACGTCCCAGATTGACCACTACATAATTGTATGTCAATATCAATATATGTCGAGACATAACATACTCGGGCGGCATAGCGAAATCCGCACTATTCATTCCGCTAGAAACCTACACACTCATTAATACACGGTCACCCGAGTCAGCTCCTCCCTTGCCAAAGGTGTTAGACTGGAAATTGTAGGACATTTCTGTCCAGCCGTACTTGTAGGCGTAGTCGTGGACTTTGTAGATGATGTAGAATGCTGTTGGTGGGACCGAGAGTGGTGTCGTAGGGATAGTAAAAGGCGTCGCTGGAGGATTCGGAGGTCGTTGCTGATTGGGAAAATTTGTAGGCTCTGACATTGTTGCCAATAGGGGGAGAATCAGAGGGTGAAGAATGGTGCATGGTGGCGGACGTACGCAGTTTGGTTGTCCTGGACTCAGCTTGAAGGGGTGAGATGAGGTCTTCGAGGTCTACGAGCATTTTTTTGCCTTCAGTGATGGCGTCTTTGGTTATTGGGACGACAATGAACCGATGATGTCGCTTTTCGGGTGAGGGAGGAAGATGCTGGTCTTACCGTTGCTGGTGCCAAGAAGTTGGGTACTGAGAGAATCTCGCCTGGGTTAGCATCAACAAATGTGTCATACCACGCATTGGTGTCGTTGTTTTGGACTTGAATGACGTGAGTGAGGGCTACAGATCCGTCGGACTGGGTTAGGTATTTGAGAAATGTTACGCGTTGTGTGTCTCGCATAGAGTACCCTTGACTTTGCCAATAAGAGAGTTATCCAGGAAGATTTTGGGTGTGGCGGGTGCAACATTTGCTACATGGGAGATTAGATGGGGGTGGAACAAGAATGACGCGAACAAGCTTACCTGTATCGACAAACAATGAGTCAAATGCGATTACTTTGCCAACCCTAAATGTGTTGTTGGCTACTGCGTTTGCAAATGGAACGCCATCCCAATAGAGATCGAGGTTAGATACGATCGAATTGGGAAATATCAAACAGGAATTCGCGATATTGTTCAGCATATGAATAGTTCATGTTCTGAACTACGCTACTCCTGACCCACGCATTGCTGAAAACGCGATACTGAGTGTGCTGCGATTGCATGATACTATGAAATACAGGGCGGCAGGTAACGTTATTAATATGTGCTAATCCAACATTGATCGCGAATCACCCCTCGTCGGCGTTGAGCGCGGTCCGGTCTGTCTGATACCACGTGAACTCTAGGGCAGGTTGCGTCATACTTGTCTCTATTCAGCTGTTATCCCACAACTATCACTAACATTCACACGTTGTCACTCTTGGACCTAGCGAGACGGTCTCAATGTCGATCGCCTACGTCTTCAATAACAACCCTATATGCAACGCTGCCTCGTTTCTTGTGAGCCGTCGCTAGGTAAAGCTCGAATGATGGTAGAACGCAAAATTGATGCTACTTCTGGGATGCCGGGACCATGGTGATGTTGCGTGATCAGGCGAGTCTTGTAGCTTCCAGGAACATGTGAAATCACTTATTCTGGATATTGTGAATCCCTCGCATACAGGCAGTACTTTTATCCGATCTTTTTATGTCGGCTGCACCTCGCAAACCCAGCAATTGTCGGCATCAGTACCATCACTGCTCGCATCGATGATGAGCCTGCAGCTGTCGCGGTGTTCAGCATACTGACCTGCTGTAAAATCAAGCCAACACTTCAACTGCCTGAGTAATCTCTACAGATACACCAAAGTACTCATACAAGGGACACCCGTAAGCCAGTATCACTATTAGCTGATGGCCGCTTACATTTGCTGTAGCCTTCCATTGTCCATATCCTGAGTGCGGACGATCATTCAATGTAAACTCGAATATGCAGAGACGTTACCGTGACCATTCAATTTCAGCCAGGCCGGCAAGCATTTATCCGAAGAGAGCCGCTCATCGTCGTTGTCAGTGCCTCAGCGTCAGCCAATGTACTGCTCGTCGACGCCGTTACCACCATCCTTTCACCTGTCTTCACCGTCACACTGATTGTCATCTATTTCCTGTCACTCGCCTAAAACGCGTATCTGTGTCCACTATGCCATTATCTCCAACGGAAATCCTAGATCGTACCTCACCATCACCGTTTTTCTCGTATACTTCCTCTTTGTTCCCACCACCTATCTCCCCTCTAATCTCGCAGCGTACTAAAATCAACCGTGGCACCTATGTCTCGCGCCCGTCGCCTTCTAATTCTGAAGAAGAGGACGAAGGTGCGAGGGAACCTAGTTTTAAGCTGCATGCTGCGAAACTTCGCGATGTGCCGAGGATGTGTAGTGATCGGTGAGACACTGAGTACGGGTTGGATGCATATCGACGTAGGGAGGATCCCGGCCGAGGGTCGAAGAGGCGGCGCATCGAGTACGATGAAGAAAATAGACGGCCATGCTGGGATCGTGTATCAGATATCCGCACGAAATAAGTAATTTGCTTCATCGAACAAGACTCCGAAGACCATTCTGAACAAGATAATGAGTCATAGAAACAGAATGGGCGACATACCATTGCCAACGGTCCCGAATACGGCATTGTTGGTGGAAAACGGTGAGAGAAGCAATAGATAGTGCAGTATTGCACAACAGGGATGATAAGGCAACGGCAGGAAGACAGAAAGAAAAGGCAACGTGAACAGGAGAGGGGGCGGTGGTAAGAAGGAAAGGACGGGTGTGGGAGTCCTGATTGGGACTTCTGATTCCACGTGTGGTATGGTATCCGGTACGATGGACGCGGGCGTCAGAAACGCCCCAGGGCCACGAACAAACCCAAGCTGGTGACTTGTGACGACTCCGGCTTGATTTGTGCGTGCTTCTTTCTTATTATGTGTATCATACACGAATAGGGCGTCAAGATTTCAATGGACATCAACTGGCATATGCAGGTAGATGAAAAATCGACATGCGTCTGTGGGCACCCTTACGTCTCCAGACTTTTGACTGGGCTTTACCGCTCTAGCCTTTTCAACTAGCCCCTGACTGTCAAGCTGTATGCAAACGGCTGTAATCATAACTCGGCGGTGATGTTGAATCTGGCTTCTTTTCATGCCACTCGGGGTTCATTTTAGTGCATAATGTTTCAACAGCTACTTTCTTTTGCAACAGCGCGTCGTGAGAGAAGCATGTGATGCCTAAGACTTGGAGCTCTGGAGCCTCTAGGTTTCGGGATTCGATAGAGCGGGCATTCCGATGTGGTGTAAACGCTGACAAGGTTGCAGTCTCATCTTTAACCAAGCGTACTGCTGCAGCTCAAGGTGCGATTGACAGTAACCGAATTTGCGCATTACTTAATAGATACTTCTTGTTTCTTTGATTACTTTTTAGGAATGAGGATTGAATTCTCAGGAGTGAGAAACAAAAGGGTATGACGAGTCGGCGAGGTCCACAGTAGTTTACTATTGTTTGTTTACCTGAGCTTGTACTAGGGGGGTCGGCCAATTCATACTGTTTTACTGTTTTGCACACTACGCTGCAGCCTGCGGTTCTTGAGTGATACCTGGAATCGCGGTTGAACGTTGAGACTCCATGCTTGCAAAGACGGTCTCGAACCCACACCTTGCATGTCATGTTTCATTCTGTGAACTGCATGGCAGACAAGCACCGAATGCTTATGCCCAACTCCACAGCCATTGTTGTTTTCGACATAGCTTCTGTGTATCTTTTTCTAGAAACGTACTTATGTATGTCAGAATCTGCCATTCCGGTACAAACTTTGCAGATGATGAACAATGCAAAACAGGGTCCTGTTAGTGCTTGTCAATGCTGCAAGACACATAGGTTATATCATTTGAGCACTCACCTCCAAAGAATGGGTTGAGGTCCGAGGACAAACTCAAACTGTGCAAGGGGTGTTCCAGGCGATGATATTACTGTATAATTACGACCAAGTGTTCAGTAACGCGTAACGGTGACCCGTGAACTGAACACTTTTGGGAAACTGTAACGGGTAACAGGGTCTCCAATTTGCCTGTGCAGGTCAAATATAGAAAATTTTCGGCGCGGCGCGGCCCACGTCTGCCTAAATATAGCAGTTGGACCCTGTATGAACACTTTGCCCACTGAACACTAGGTGTAACGCGTAACACCCCATGAACACTTGGTCGTAATTATACAGTAATCCTGCGAATCATTTAAATATCAAGGGACACGGGGGATACCCGATTGAATGGATAGAAGCAGTGAAAGTGTCGAGCATCTGGTTCAGTCATTTATTCATTACCCGATTGACCCAGCCAATAGGATTCGTCGGCTTCTTCCGATTAATTCCAACCAACGCAGTGACCTCGCCAAATCGTTCACCACCGCCACCACCTCGCGTTTACTGAACTGGCTCAATCTACCTCTCATCGCGCCAATGACCTGGATTTCAACTTGGTGACATAATGTCTTGATTTCTCTATGCCTATGGTAATACCGCGATGAGAGCAGTGAATTTTTGGATATGAATGAGGAGCAGCCTAACTAGGTTCAGGGACTCGAACGTGCGTATTATGTATCCCGCTGATAGATATCTGAGGTGATGACTGCTACAGATCCCATACGCTGCCTGCCCCGGGTTACTAACTGGATGTCCACGTATGCTCCTTTCGCAGCATCGCGTCTACCCCCACCTGTTTCCATGTCGTCACTCTACCTACTGACCTCAGTATCCATGCAACGGTCATACGAAGGACAAAGCTTCTGACAGCGACATGGGAAAAATCGTGATGGCGCGCACACAAAGTTAATTTAGACTTCAGAAGCACAACACGTCGGCCAGTAGTTAGTGGCTACTAGCGCGCGCCAACGATAGGCGTAAGCATTACGCTGTCGGTAGTTGACATATCAAACCGTCATGGTAAGTACAGTGCATTGATATATCACGACTGTGTATACGATACGCATTTTGGTATATTGATTCGTTAGGCACCCTTGGCTTGGACGAGCACGGCGTAGACGTTATGGAGCATGTTTTCCCATATTCGCCGATATCTGGATACTAGGTATTGAGGAAAGGATAACACCGAAGGATAAGCGACGGGCGTACCATGGACCTCATGCAGAATCTGGATAGAGGAATACCGGAGAGGGTTGACGGAGGTGCCAGTGGAGTAAGGACGTGTTCGGATGGTAGCGGGGCTGTGATAGACTCGCTAGCCAGTCGACGTTCACAAGCTTACACCTCTTAATGCAAATTCCTTATACGGTTGTTTGGTTATTTGGTGTAGCTTGACATGTTTTGACGTAGGGAGGTGAGCTTGTGAACGGACTGGGAAATACCCCAACGTTTTAGAGGGTCACGGTTTTTGTGACGCGGGACTTAGGAAAAATTTCATGCCTTCTCCGTTGTATCTCGTCCCCAGTGACCACCACATACCTTCTGCTATTAAATTACATCGACAGTGCTTAGTATACCTTGTCTTCTCATGTTATAATACTCTGGGGTGCAATAAATCGATCGTTACTGGGACTTCGAATCTGGCATACAGAGCCCCCGCCGCTAGCTCAAGGGAACAATGACATCATAGCTCTCTTAGTAGAGCAGTGCTTTCAAGGAACTGGGATAAGAAATTGGCAGTAGAGTGATTGCATCTTTATAAATAAAGTGAAATCTACTTGCTTGAAGTCAGGCCTAAAGGGAGGAGAAGGAGAAATGGCAGAAATGGCGGTGAGTAAGTAAATTTTTTCTAAGTCCCAAGTCACAAAAAGCGTGACCCTCTAAAACGTTGGGGTATTGCCCAGCCGCTTTCGCCCAAATGTGATAACGCAGCCACGTGGGCGAAACGCCGGCTGGTGAACGAGCCTAGGGCTGTGAAGTCCTTATGTTCGGTCCATCCGGGGTTTACATTTTATAAGCTATAGGGTATATCGAGAGGAAAACGCCTACTAGCATCTGGCCATTCTCTAGACAAAGTTCGGAGGTTTCGTAGGCAATGACATTGTTACGGGTAATCGGAGTCCGAAAGACAGCGTATGGGGAGAGATATACGCGGTTTGGTTGTTCCGTAAGGGGATGAAGCGAGATCTTCTGGATATACAAGTATCCCTTCACCTTAGTGACGGCATCTTGACGACGGTGAACTGATGATGTCGCGTGAATTTCGGCTGAGGAAGAAAAATGACGGCCTTCAAAGTTCGTAACTGAGAGAATCTCACCTGAGTGAGTATCAACAAATGCTTCATACCATGCATTAGTCTCGTTGTTCCGGACTTGAACAACGTGTGTGAGAGCGACGGATCCGTCGGGGTGAGCTAGATACTCGAGAGATGTTACGCCGTTGTGGGTCCCGAGGAGAGTTTCTTCAACTTTGCTAATGAGGGAGTTGTCGAGAGCGATACTGGGTGTGGAGATCATATCGGAGTAAAAGATGACACGAAAATGCTTACAGGCATCGACAAACAAGGAGCCAAATGCGACTGCTTTTCCATTCTTGAACGCGGCATTGACTACTGCCTTCGCAAACGGAACTTCGCCATCCCAACAGAGATAAAGGTTAGATGTGACCAAAGTAGGAAAGAAAAGACGGAAATATGTGATATTGCCTGGCATATGAATAGCTCATGTTATTCACCGAATGATCGGTAACAAACGGAAGGTGTCGACATCGTGTTCAGATGCAATATATGAGACAGCTGCTGACTCAAGCGACTCGGCCTTGAGAATCCGTAAGCACTAGCGAAGTCGGCTATAGCGGAAGGCGATGCATTGCAAGAACAAAAAAGCAAGACAGACTTCATGTAATACAGCTCTGCAAGAGAAAGAGAGACAGATACGGGACATAAGCACCACAACTAAACAGACAGAGAGCATCGTCAAAATACCGCCGATTTGGATTGACAAGACATGGATTGGGCAATGGAAGGGGAAGAGGAAGAGAACATGCGGGAAAGAAACGCAGGCATCAGGTGAGCACACCATTTCACAGAACAGTGCTCCTGTACAGCAGTGCTCAAGCCTTAGCTTAACGCAGGTGTTGGGAAACCACACACAACCAAGCCTACCATCTGCATAGCAAACAGCGTGCTGTACTAGCGGTGCTCGAGCCTATAAACACCGCAGGTATCAGGAAACGGCGAATTATCAAGCCCGCCATTTGGATGTCAAAAAGTGTACCTGTAGCAGTGCCTGGCCTACGATAGCAACACAATGCAAGCGTCTGGCAACCGTGAGGAGCCAGGGACACCATCTCGACACTGTACCGGCCAGAGCTCAGGAACTATAGTGGTGTCACCAATGTCTGCATTGGAATAAAAGGTCTAGGCACGCGGTCCGGAACTTGACCCTAAATATAAACATGCATCACGAGTAGAAGCCTCTTTCAAGATTATCACGAAGTTCATTGAGGGAATTCCTGAATCTTTACGTTCAGAACTCCTTTATGCCAGACTGGATTCGATATCGTGTATTCCAGGGGTAGCAACGTAAAAGGCCTGGCCCGAAGCCTGAAGCCGAGGCAAGTCGGGCCCTAAGGTACAACTGAGGTGGGCTACTGGTGGGCCTGTCGGCGGCTCAGGCTTGAACTTCAGTACTTAATCGAAAGTCTGAGCCTCAGGCCTCAGGTTGAAGCCCGGGCTTTCGGTACCATAAGGTAATGGGCGCTTAGGCTATGTAGGGGACGTATCACTTGGGATTAATTTTGGAAGTGTAGCTAAGTACCAAAATTGATGGGACCGAAGTTGCTGAACTCACTCTGCTTCTCACCATCATCGTGATGCATCAATGCACTCATCGCAACTGTCGTAAGACCTCACAGATACACCCATCATAAGACTTAGGCCAATACGACGAGATATGATTTAGGGCTTGGAAGGCATTAAGCAAGCTGCAGACTTTGGATCGCGGTGACAGAATTTGGTATGCCGTAGTTTTTTTTCACTGTATCTATTTCTTATATTTTCATGTGCCGTCTTATAGCATTAGATATAATATACCCATTATTCTGATAAGACACCCTGTGAAGCCAATTCTAGCTTGCATTTCTCATCCCCTCGCTTTTCGTGGAGCTCATTTTAGCTGCAACCACATATTGTCTATGAGCCCAGGCCCGAACTGAGCCCAAGCCTCCACAGCCAAGCCGAGCCAGGTCCTGACAATCACTATCCAGGGGAGATTCAAAGCCTTATATAGACAAGTAAATCAGATGCTCTCAAACTCTGTATCCTCAGAGTGTACCGTCGTTTTGTTGGGTTACGTATTAAATTGCCCTAACCTTTACATTTGCCCTGATGTCTAATGGAAAAGCTCTCAGCATTCCGTTGTTCAATACTGTATCTTTCGACACACACATGCATTTCTTCGGAGCCAGTCAGTCAATCACACTAGTCCGTAATCACATCACAGTCATACGCTCTTGAGAAAACGCGATGTAGGCATGGACGCCAAGCCACGGATGATACTACATGCTACATATCACACAGATCTAGACATACACTGCCTTATGTGATCCCAGCCCCCGCGCTCATCCGCTGTGCGGGCGTTCACGTTTGGAATGAACGTAGGTCGATTAAGGTCTCCTTGAGGTATCTGCAAGCATCGCAAGATGGAGGACATTCAAAATGGAACGGACGGAGGAAATAGAGAATTGGCGCTATAACCCCGTTAGAACAATGAAAGGTCACGGTACGTACCATAAGGATTGAATAGCTTGGCGGACCATAAGACAACAAAAGTCTGCAAAGGGATAGTATCGATTCCGGCGGTTCCTCGAATAAATTGGACTTCGATAAAAGGACGTTTGAACCGATTGTAGTACATATGATTGTACGTCGGGTTCCATTCACAGGCCATGGAAAGACGGTCACATCTATGGGAGTATTATTTTCGCGACTCTTGCTTGTGATTGAATGTTTCTACATGCCTTGTGGCAATTCCAACATGAGCCTGGTAGTGTCGTTGGTGCCTAACCAGGTGTCCGTGTAGTGTAATTTGCCATGCGAAGGGCCGCTTCTAGCGTTGGAAGAAATAAACGTTTACCTCACCTCGACAAGATTAACGGCATTGCAATGCACGGTCAAGTCTCCCTTTCACATAATTCATTGCTCCGGCGAGCTATGAAGGTAGATAGGTAGGTGGTATTACGCGCAGAGTCCACCTAGGGATCAGACTCATCGGAAACGATTTAGAATCAGAACACACGTGACAGGAGTAGGCCGCAAAAAACGCCTTCGGCCGGCAGCCCGTTCTCCGTTGTCTCCGCAGTATCAACACTCGGGGATCCCCGATTCTTTCCGAAGAATGAGGAAACGACAGAGGGTTATAGAAAGCCGTAACTGGTCGTGAGTAGTGCCAAACTGTCTGGACAGGGGCTATACTCCGGGTTGGCTTAGCTAATTTGCGGTGATTGGCGAGCATGCGGCACGCTACGGCTGGCATGCCGGGTGGCTGAAAGTGATTGCCGCTGTGGCTGAAAAACTCTGTCTTTCCGACTTCTCCCTATTGGTCGACGAACTGTTGATGGTGTTCGCAGATGCCTTTCCTTTTCTTTCCTTTCACTGCCATCCTTTAGCATGATTCTTTTTCTTTTTAGGTTCAGTTCCAGAACGCGATTTGACTTTGTGTCCTGTATCACTCAAGTACGTTGTTTCCTGCTAATCAGTCTGTTGTTGTAGTGATATTTGCGCAGGCACACAACGATCAAGAACCTGATATGATGGGTGGTGCTGGAACGTGCTGGAACCATATATTCTCAAGGTCAGTCCAGCTTTACGCGTAGCTTGTCGGTTCATAATTAATTTCGTCATATGCGTAGTCGGAACAATTTACTACTCAGATTGACCACCATAATATCATCGGGGAGTTTATCCCAGAGGATCATGTTTCGATGGGCTTCTCTCTGTTATGCTTCCAGGATACCCTCGGGCTATGGACTCACGTATGATCCAGGCTACGGTGGATCTGCCGGACGAATTCTCCTTCAATGAAGATTATAACTCTGGCTACCATTTGGGTATTGGTAGGTGTTGATTCTCCCTAGAATGCGCCATAGTTTGATTTTACGTGCTCTACAGGTTGGGAACAATCGACAGTTCACAATGGCACTCGAAGTAGCTCAGAAACTGCATTCAACCTTGGACCGAAATACCTGAGTAGGCTGAACTTGCACGTCCTCATCCACAGCTATGTGACCCGAATCCTTGAATCCAACTGCACTACTAAAGGTGTGAAGACCTTCGATACCATGGAATTTACCCAAGATGCTGGAGGTAAGCAACGACTCTATACTATTCTAACCGAAATCTGACATCCTTCACAAGAAACGATATATACCCTTTCGCCTGCCAAAGAAATCCTTCTCTCTGTTGGATCTATTGGGGCACCGCATATCCTTCTCTACTCAGGTATCGGCGACGCCGACGAACTCAGTCCCGTTGGCATCACTCCTGTACATCTCCCTGATGTGGGGAAGAACCTCACTGATCACCCGAGGTATGCTTTAGCTTGGACCGTCAATAGCACAGACACCATTGAGAACATTTACTTGAGAAACGAGACGTTCCAGAGGAGGCACTCGCCAAATGGGAGGCAAACTGTACAGGATATATCGTGAGTACTTCAGGGAATCAGTTAGGTTTCCTGAGGGTACCTGAAGGTCTGCTGGACGATGAGCCATGTTCAGATGATGAGACGGCACACTTTGAGCTGATTTTCTCGGCGAGTAACTATTCTCTCAGCTTTCACTGCATTCCATTACTGAAGGCGAGTATAGAATGGTATCCCTCAAGAGCCCATCCTACCCACTGGCAACTACTTCACGATACTAGTGATAGTAGTCTGCCCTCTAGCGTGTATGTCTCAACTCCTTCCTCTTTTCCTCTCATCTCACAAAGGACATATCAGGCAGAGACATCACCATTAACAGCACGAACCCTCTCGACTCTCCGCTCATCAACCCCAACCTCCTCGGGCACCCCCAGGACTTGACTATAATGCAAACCACCATAAACACATCTGAGAGATCCGTCACTGCCCCTGCATGGGATGGATACATCCTCAAGTTTGTGTTGAACACTACCGAAGCCGCCATTCGCGAAGGAGCCGACACGCTCTGGCACCCTGTTGGTACAGCAAGCATGTCTCCTCAATGCAGGCTGGGGTGTCGTCGATCCTGACCTGCAATGATAGGTCGTTACTGATGATCTACTTAGATAAGACTGGCATTTTAGCATGCAGGAAGCATGGAGTAGAGTTACCTTTGAGTGCGTATGGGTTAGGCAAGATATTCAGAGTGGTGTTGATGTCTGAGTGGGTTGCAGGTGCTGAGGGTTGCTACGGTGCTGGCTACACGCTGCATGTGTACTTTTAGCTACCTTTCATCCATCTACATGTATGATATTTTTGAATTCATGAAATTGATTGAGGATTTGAACTTGCCATGATTGCAACAGCCTCCCACTTGATTTGTATGGTACAATGTATGTCGTAGGGAATATTTTCATTTTCAAGACTTAATGCACATGCAGGGATGGACAGAAATTCGAATGGAGAGTAGGAGCATAGCATATCACAGCTCGGATTAGATGTTAGATTGTGCAAAATGCGAGCTGGCAGCGCAGCTGCCGAGCAAGCTTTTTGCACCACCACATTTCCAGTTTAATTTAAATCAAGCTGTATTATATATTTCAGCCTGAACAAGCACGTTCACACAGATTTACAAAAAGGATACAACTTGCCGCGGCCGTTGAGTCTTCGTACAAAAGGAAAGAATTGGGGACCCGGCAACTGCCGCTACTGGTCTTTACAAATGCAGGTGGTGCGAAGCACAGGCAGATCAGTGTGAAATCACGAAGGGTGGATCCTTCACGCTATCAGGCAAATAATCGGTCTGTCAATGATTTCTTCTCCCTTTCTTTTTTTCACCATAGAGTAGGCGGTCGCAGTTAACTGTAGTGTACTAGATTTAAAAGAGCAGTAATCAAGGCAGGATCGAGGCCGGGATGCTGAGCGGTCGGCCGTTGTTAGAGCGGTGGTGGCATGTCCCTTCCAATTTTGGAACCAATCAGCCCTACCGTCGCCGAAAGTTTCATGATCTGTACCACTTCTTAACCCTTACACCTTCTGACTTTAATGTATCCTTCGACACTCTTTGCTTCCACGCTGATTCTGGGATCCGTAGACCCTGCTTATCAGAATGATTCTATTCAGGTGAAAAGGTATGGATGGTTCCGAATGTATAAACTGCGTATTTTTTCTCCTGACACGCCGCCCGATCGATGCGAGCAGGTGACAGAATTGGACTCATCGAAGATGGATGGAAGATGGTATCACTCGACACCTCATTCAGAAGGTCCCCGTCATTCTGCAGCAAGGAAGCTACTTCAATTTCTGCCTGAATCGCGCTCGATCAATATTTATTATTTCTTGGTCGCCTGGAAATGTTTCACGGGGAGTACTGCTTGGCTAATCGGAGTCCTAAATGCAGACGCAACTAGCGAACATAAACAAGATTCAAACATCATCAAGTGATGATAATGAAGGTCTATCTGGGCACTGGGCGCCGCAAAGACACATGGACATCATCAGGAGTTGTCTGAATTGTCCAATCTTGTGAACCGTTTTCTTTCCTCCTCTTCTAAGTAAGTCTCAGTGTACACGAACAGACTCCTATCAGTCAAAATGCATGGATGGTTCATGCATAAACTCCGCATTTTTTCTCCTGACTTCGCGCCTGATCACATTGCGAAGATGGAACATAGTCTGAGACGTGGTTCCGATGGTAAAGTGTTATATCGCACAGATCGAGTGTGCAAATACTCATAACTTATACACCAAAGAACTTGCAGCATGAGTATTTGGGTGAGATTGCAACGGGACAGCACTGGAATCAAGAAATCTGTCCCAGCCCATAATATGCCGTGTGTGAATTCGAATCTGCGCATCTGAGACGCGGTCCCGATGGTAAAGTGTTATGTTGCACGGATCGAGTGTGCAGATACTCATAACTCATAAAATAGAGAACTCGCAACATGAGTTGACTGCTACAGAACCCCCACCTCTTACTTCCTCTTCTACAGTGGTATTCGTGCTTTCTTGAACTTTTCGGCAGTGATGAACACACAAGATCAGTCACTCGACTTTGATATAGATCAAAAGCGGTGAGCCCAATAGAGTTGTCGCTCAATTACCTCCTAACCTTCATCATCAGTTGCGTAGCGTGTCTAAGTAACGGCCAAGGTCAACACTCTAAGCGGCATACTGAACTCGGTCGGTCTCTTTAGCTTGTTGTTATTGGTCGACTGTACTGATAATGTCCAACACTGGTACTTAGAAAAGATGAGCGATAAAATAGAGTCGCAAAAGAGGCGTGTCATGCGGATAGTCAAGAAGATGGGAATGACCGGGAATTCCCACGATGATGTGGCCCTCTTCAACAATGTTTGCCGCAAGGGAGGTCGCAAGGACGCAAAATTTCTTACCGAACACGGTAATTTGAAGAAGCAATATTTTAGACTTTTGTCCCGCTTGGCTGGTCCTCATCCAAATGTCACTGATCGTCCGCTATCTGCCGGTGTAAGTGGGTGTTCTTAGTGATTGTCCCGGCAATTGACGCTGATAAGGTGTATTTAGCCATCATACCATGTCAACGCCTCTCGATCCTGGGCTGTTGTCATCAGAATTGATGGATACGAAACCATCTCAGCCCTAAAGGGTGGCGTGAAAGATGCACAATCATTTTATACGTACCTGATTGACGTCCTCGCTGTACCCAGGGAGCGCATTCAGCTTCTTCTTGGATCCACGAAACAAGCTTCCCCTGATGATTCAACGTACACTCTATCGCCACCTTCTCCTTCCTCCAACCCTGACAATGCAATGGTCACTGATAATTCGCTATCCCCTGGCCTTCCGATTTACCCTTCCCGTGCTCATATTATCAACACGCTTCTCAGTCTTATCAACAATCCCCACATCGAAAAAGACGATAACATCATCATTTACTACGCTGGTCACGGCTCTTCCTATGAATGTTCGGAGTACAAAAATGTCGATAACCCAGAATACGAAGAAGAAATCAGTTTCGCAAGCACTGGGCACATTGAGGCGCTCTGTCCCATCGATCGTGACACCTGTGATGCGAACGGTAACCCTGTGCCTGACATCAGCGACCGAGAATTCAACACGATCCTAACGCTAATCTCCCGAGCGAAGGGTCACCATATCACCGTCATTCTCAACTGCTGTCACTCTGCTGGTGTCAGCCGAGATGTTCCTCCATCGGGAGCACGCACTTGTCGTGGAACGGAGCGGGCATCGCTTCGAGATATGCTCCATGCCGGGGAGAAGAATCTCGAGGATTTTCCTGGTTGTCCCTCCATTTTATCTAAAGATTGGTATCCAGATGAAGGCTCCCACATTCTTTTGGCAGCCTGTGAGGTATACCAGTATGCAAAGGAGAGGTGGGTGGATGGAGTACAGGTGGGAATTTTCACACACTCGCTTCTGCGCCTTCTCCGGTCCGGCTACTGCAATGCGGAGACGACATATCTCGGTCTTACTGATGGCTTCGATAAGTCATATCATCAGACACCGGTCATTGCTGGAACACATCGAGATGAACATCTATGGTATCAGGGTACAATCCATAATGAAAGAGATATCAGAGGTTGCTCGTCGTATTTTCGTCGTCTCTTTTCGTTTTTCTATACTATTCTCTTTTCTTGTCTGTCATTTTCAAGTTGATGTAAGTATCACGCCATATAGACTAGATATTACTTTCTCTATTCCTGCTCATATACGAAATGCCCACTTAGTTAATCGACATTAGCAGCCTGTAGCGAGACGCCAAGAGATACGAGCGAGGGCTTATCATTGGATAAGATCGCTACAGTTACCACTAACCACATGCTCTTATTGAATACTTACCATCCCTGAGCTGAATCAGCACCATATGATGCCAGTATGATGAATTTACTAGTCGGACAAACCACGCGATAATGCATCTTCTTCCTTTGTTCCTCGATTTGAGTGCCAACCATGAACGACCTTCTTCCCCAAAACATCCCAGCTTCAACGGAAACAGCCTTCCAAGCAGCAACATCAAAGGGAACTAACGTAAGGGGACCCAGCCATTGTTATACCATTGGATGCTCGGTATAGGATTTGGTCTATGCAAGTCTGGTTGCTGATTACTCTCCGAAGTTTCCCCTTTGAGTGTGCACATGCATTTTTGTGAGTCATCTCGCTGACCATTGACAGTGTTATTTCCGGTCTGTGCAGTTTACTGGACCCCGGTTTGTTCCCACTCAATGCTCCAGCTCTCCACAATCGTGTCGACATAGATTTCTCAATGTCTTGTTCCACTGCAGGTAAGTTGTTGTAAACAATTTGATGTCCCTGCTCTTAATTATTGGCATTGTGGTAGCCTGTATCCCGAACTTGTATTTTTGCTAGCTAACTTTTTAGGCCTTTTTTCTGCTCGTTAGCACCTCTCCTGCGTTGCCCATGCTGCGTCTACTCGCTAGACGCATTCTCGATGCAGGACGCCTCTTTACTGGAACCTCAACTAGTCCAGCCTTTTCGGCTGCTTCAACGCTCTCACCTAAGTGCCCTACGCTTTTTTTTAACTCGGCGGTGCCCGTTTGAATTCCGAACACAAGCGTAACCTTACAGCACTTACACCAGCCACTATTTCCAGTTTCTATGGAATCCGGGGCCACCTCTACTTACGCAATGCTCTCAGTGGGGCGTTGTACTGCGTTTCTCGCTACCCACTCAAACCTCCCAAATACTGCACCATCCAAGGTCCAGTATTTCACCGCACCTTCGCGGCACCACCACCGTTTGCATTTGAGCTATTGAAATACATCAGGTGAAGAGATCATAGAGGAATTGGCCTGACGTCGCTGACATCGTGAGGGGGAGGCTCATGGTGAGTTTTCTCATATTTCTTCTGCACCTGCTCATACTTCGAGTGACCTAGATACTTGTTTTTTCCTCCTCGCTATCCGTCACCTTTACCTTCACTTCAAGGACCCTCTCATACCCTGTATGCCTCGTCTGAGGCTCGTACTTCCTCCCCAACACCGACAACCTGTTATGCCGCTGCCCTGATCTATTATGGCTCAGTGGCAAGCACCCTTCCACCCCACAAACCGACCTCTTCGTCACTGCGGACCTCTCGTTTCCCTTGTACACTGTCTAAGGCTTGTATCTCCTCCTTGCCTCCGCATGCCAAGAAATCCATGCTTGATCATCAGGAGGTCCTCTCGACATCACCAGGCCTTCTTCGTGTCCCTTGTAACACATTACTGAATTTCCGCTAGGTACCCGCACTTATGTCACCTCGTAGTATGTTTCTTACTACCGATATTTCGAGTGATACCTGTGATAACATTTCGAATACACGTACTTTTTCCCTATCTAATTTGTGTGGTAGTGCTTCAACACCTGACAGTTTATCTCATGGTGTAAGCAAGTTTGCGAACAAAGGCAAGGCTGCCTTTCTAACCTTGTAGCTTCCTCAGTAGCTAGGTGAGCTCCACTCAGCTTATATGGTACCTTGAGGACTCGGTCTTGCCACACTTGTGTTGGCCCACCGCGTTCATCCACTAGCCAGCCTTCTCAGCTATCGATCCATCGCTTGCTAACGCATAGCGATATTTGATCAATACACGGAAGGAACACGAACATGACCACAACATCGAATCCAGGTGCAGAGGGTCCGGACTGTAGTTTTGATCGTCGGATGGAATCGAGTCAAGGGCGAGTCAGAAGAAATGCACAGAGATAACATGCCAGATCTCGTAGGTAAGTGTCTCCCTTATACATTCATCAGATATTCATGAGGTGAAAGGGTCCTACTTAGGATCATTGAGCGACAACGTAAACCGGCATGGAGGGCACGAGAAACGATGTCATAGACATAAGTTAAGCATCTTTTAATCTTTAAAAATACAGCTTTCACGTTTGTGGTCCTTCCCTGCTGTACAATACTGTTTGACTTCAAACCGCCACCATCAGTTCCAGTCGTCATTCGTCTTAGATGACACCATACCGCCAGTGGGGAATCTTTCTTTTTGACATATGCCACACTACGGCGCATCACTTTGCCAGTTCGCTGAGCATCCATAGAGGGGCTTGCCAAGCTAAGGTGTGTCTTTGGCCCATCCCTCAAGTACATCGCTAGACTTTCACCAGATTGGTTATCGGCCTGTCTTAGAACAACTAGGACAACAAGTACAACAGCTGGAGGAGTATGAGTCGCACTTAGCAGAAAAGCTAGGGTTGTCAGCAGACTCGGTTGATGTTTTCAATGAGATTTTGCGCCGAGAAGATCTTCAATCGGCTAAATGACTCACAGAGCTCTATCGACTCCGCCTTAAACTTCATAACGCTTGGGAGCCATTTGAAGACCATTTCACAGAGCACCCTTTACTCCCAGGCGTAAGTCCGTATCCTTAGGGATCGACCTTGATCCTGATCTATAATGTTTAGTCCCCATACCACGTCAATGCTTCTCGATTCTGGGCTGTCATCATCGGAATTGACCAGTATGCATACGGTGCACTGAGGGGGTGTGTATCTGATGCACAATTATTTGAGAGATACCTGAGTGGTGATCTCTGTGTACCCAGAGAGCGCATTCAGTTGCTTCTCGGATCCACGGAGCACGATTCTCTTGACGATCCGGTGTACCCTTCCCGTGCTCATATTATCAACATGCTTCTCAGTTTTATCAAAAATCCCTACATTGAAAAAGGCGATAACATCATCATTTACTACGCTGGTCACGGCTCTTCCTATGAATGTTCGGAGTACCAAGATGTCGATAACCCAGAATACGAAGAAGAAATCAGTTTCGCAAGCACTGGATACATCGAAGCACTTTGTCCCATCGATCGTGATACCTGTGATGCGGACGGTAACCCTGTCCCTGACATTAGCGACCGGGAACTCAACACGATCCTAACGTTGATCTCTCGAGCAAAGGGTCACCATATCACCGTCATTCTTGACTGCTGTCACTCTGCTGGTGTCAGCCGAGACGTTCCTCCATCGGGAGCACGCACTTGTCGTGGAACGGAACGGGCATCGCTTCGAGATATGCTCCATGCCGGGGAGAAGGATCTCAAGGATTTTCCTGGTTGTCCCTCCATTTTATCTAAAGATTGGTACCCAGATGAAGACTCCCATGTTGTTTTAGCCACATGCAAGGAATACCAGTACGCAAAAGAGAAATGGGTAGATGGAGCAGGATGTTCTCGGGTGTGCATTGGAATATTCACACACTCGCTTCTGTGTCTTCTCCGATCCAGCTACTGCCAAGGAGAGACAACATATGCAGATCTTCTTCTTCACTTAGACGAATCATCTCATCAGACTCTGGTCGTTGTTGGAAAATACCGCCATGCGCCTATTTGGTATCAGCAGCCAATCCGGGTTTTGCCTGACCATACATTGACAAGTTCCTGTCAGTGCTGGATCTATCTTGCTATTGCAAGCTCTGTGTTCGTCTGCCTTGTGTGTGTTTCATTGCTTCTTTACATGTGTAACTATCGTTGTCACGAGATACCTGATTAGATACGTGATTATGTCCCCACTTTTTGTGTTGTCGATGTCACCGTAGGATAGATTACATATACCAAATGTTCCATTCTTCACCTCTCAGGATTCTGATCACTGTGATCAGGGGTATCTGTGATAGTTATCGCCTGAAGAAAGGGGATACCAGGAAGGGAATGTATTATTTATAGTAAGTGATTATTAAATTAATGAGCTGTACACGGCCAACAGGAACAATGTGATGTATCTGAATTTCGCTAGCATCCAACTTGGAATGCTTGTATCATCCACGTAATTCATCGCGTTCACACCCAAACCGCGACTAGTGAAAGCTTTCCATAGGACGCAATTATTAGCTCTGTCGTACCGATTCTAGGTCAGCTTGTATCTATGCGTCTCGAGTGTTGGCTACTGAATAAAAATTAATCAGCTAAAACCAACACGCTTGTAGCCTGTGCTCACGGGTAGAGTTACACGGCTGCAGAGAAAGTGCGTGTCGATGAAGAGATGGAGCCATACAATGTTGCCTTCTAGGCCCGACAGATCGTCCATCGCTGTTGTCGAGAACCCGTGTGCTTGGACTAGCGCGGCGTAGACGTTATGAAGCATGTTTGCCCATACTTCGCCGATATCTGGGTACTGGGTATCGAATGAAGGATGACACTAAGAGACAAGTAGGAAGCATACCGTGGACTTCATGCAGGTTCTGGATTGAGGAGTATCTGAGAGGGTTGACAGAGGCATTGGTAGAGTAAGGGTGTGTTCGGATCCCGGCGGGGTTATTGAAAACCCAGCTTGCTAGAACGTAGTCTGGGACGGTAGCGTCCTTATGCTCGGTCATCTGAGATTTGGGGTTTGTTAGCATGGAAGACATAGAGAGGAGGAAGACGCGTACTCTGCCATAGCATCTGACCAGCCTGTAGAGAATAGTTATCCAGAATAGAACAATGGACGCAAAAGGGTGGTTACCTTCTCCTATTCCACCGGCTTCTGTTGTTTGGAGGCATTGTCAGGTACCCGCCACCAGTGAGGCAGGTTAGTGATTCCGTGCATGAATTCGTGTACGATGATGTCGTTCCGGAGGGCTCCATTACGCTGAGGGGTCGTCAGAGTCCATATATACATCCTGCATGTCCCAGATTGACCACTACGCAATCATATATCAGTATTCATATCTCTAATTGGTAATCATATGGAGGAAGAACATACTCGGGCGGCGTAGCAAAATTCGTGTTATTCATTTCGCTAGAATCGTGCACACTTATTAATACACGGTCACCCTCGGCTCCTCCTTTGACAAAGCTCTTAGACTGTAAATTGTAGGACATTTCTGTCCAGCCGTACTTGTAGATGTAGTCGTGGTCTTTGCTGATGATGTAGAATGTGTTGGTGGGACAGAGGGTGGTGTCGTAGTGATAGTCAAAGGCTTCACTGGAGGATTAGGGGGTCGTTGCTGATTGGGAAAATTTGTAGGCTATGATATTGGTTGCCAATATGGGGATAATCAGAGGGTGAAGAATGGTGCATGGTGGAGGACGTACGCAGTTTGGTTGTCCTGGATCCAGCTTGAAGAGGGTGAAATATGGTCTTCGGGGTCTACGAGTGTGTCTTTGCCTTCGGTGATGGTGTCTTTGGTTATTAGGATGACAGTGAACCGATGAAGTCACGTAAACTTCGGGTGAGGGAGGAAGCTGCTGGTCTTACCTGTTTCTTGTGCAACAAAGTCGGTTACTGAGAGAATCTCGCCTGAGTGAGCATCAACAAATGTAGTCGTACCACGCATTGCTGTTGTTATTTTGGACTTGAATGAGGATACGGATCCGTCGGACTGGGTTAGGTATTTGAGAGATGTTACGCATTGTGTCTCGAGTAGAGTATCCTGGACTTTGACAATAAGATTAAAGAGAGTTATCGGGGAAGAGACTGGGTGTGGCAGATGCAACATTTGCTACATGGGAGATTAGAATTTAGATGGGGGTTAATCAAGAATGACGCGAACAAGCTTACAGGTATTGGAAAACGATGAGTCAAATATGATTGCTTTGCCAACCCTGAACATGGCATTGGCTACTGCGTTTGCGAATGGAACGCCATCCCAACAGAGATCAAGGTTAGATACAATTGAATTGGGAAATATCAAACAGGAATTCGCGATATTGTTTGGCATATGAATAGTTCATGTTCTGAACTACGCTACTCCTGGTCCACCCATTGCTGAAAACATGGTCTTGAGTGCGCTGCAATTGCATGATACTATGAAATACAGGATGGCAGGTAACGTTATTAATATATGCTAATCCATCATTGATCGTGAATCACCCCACGTTGGCATTGAGCACGGTCCGATCTATCCGATACCACATGCACTCTAGGGCAGGTTGCGCATATTTGTAACGCGCTGTCCCTCTTGGACCTAGCGAGATGGTCTCAATGCCGATCGCCTATGTCTTCAATATCAACTCTCATGCAACGTGATTCAATATTCAGCATCCTACACTACCTCATTTCCTGTGAGCTGTCACTAGGTAAAGCTCGAATGATGGTAGAACATGAAACTGATGCTACTTCTGGGATGATGGGACCATGGTGATGTTGCATGATCAGGCGAGTATTGTAGCTTCCAGGAACGTGTGAAATCACTAATTCTGGATATTGTGTATCCCTCGCATACAGGCAGTACTTTTATCCGATCTTTTTATGTTGACTGTACCTCGCAAACCACGACGACCGAACCCAACATGACTGCTCTACCGAGTATACACAAAAAATTTCTTGGTAGGTCTTGGCCGTATTTTCATGTTGGATGAAGCTGATGTTAGCAGATTTTTTCCTCCAGCAATGACCACCGCCTGCGCCACCAACACCATCGACGGACCTCTGCTCGACTGTCTTCATCTTGCACACCAATTCCGAGTCGCAGCTCACTCACGAATACATGACAGACGACGCTCTAGCGGACCAGATGCGCAAGCATACCTGCAAGATCTGTCATAAGCGCTTCAACCGCCCCAGTAGTCTCCGAATACACCAGAATACCCACACAGGGGATACCCGTAAGCCACAGCCACTGTTATCCAACCGGCGCTTACATGTGTTGTAGCCTTTCGTTGTCCATATCCTGGCTGCGGCTGATCAGTTCAATGTGAACTCGAACATGCAGAGGCATTACCGAAACCATTCCATGACGGGCGGCCCGGCGAGCGTTTATCCGAAAGAGAGCCGCTCGTCATCGACGTCGTCATTCTCAACACCTCAGTATCGGCCGACGGACGTCCTTGTCAATGTCAGCATCACCATCCTATGACCCGCCCTACCAGCCCACCACCCGCCATCTATTCCCCATGGCTCTGCCCAAGCGTGCCTCTGTGACTACTACGCCATTATCACCAGAGCCGATTCCACGCCGTGCGCCCGCCATCACCTCGCCATCAACTTCTTCCTCGTCGCATACTCCCTCTTTGTCCCCACCGCCTATCTCCCCTCTATCTTCGCAGCGTGCCAAAATCAATCGTGGCACCTATGTCTGGTGCCCGTCATCGTCTGATTCAGAGGAAGATGATGAGGGTGCGAGGGAACCTAGTTTTAAGCTGCATGCTGTGAGCTTCAACGATGTGCCGAGGGTGTGTATTGAGTGGCGCGACACTGAATACGGGTTAGACGCATATCGACATAGGGAGGACCCCTGACCAGGAGATGAAGAGACGGCGTGTCGAGTACGATGAAGAAGAACATAGATGGCCGTGTTGGGATCGTGTATCGGATATCCGCATCAAAATAACCACCAGCCAATAGCCAATAGCTAACGACGAGCAGGTTCGTCGCCGTTTCAATGTACCATATTCCCTTCCCTTCTTGAGCTCATCAGCTATCACATTACTTTGTATTATACCACGTCTTCACCGCTCTAGCCTTTTCAGCTATCTTCTTAGGAATTAATGATACTTGGGAGATAGTGTTAAATCCAGCTGCTTTTTATGCTGCTCGGGGTTTGAGTCAGTGTCTCAACAGTTACTTTTTCTTTTTGAAATAGCGCGTCATGAGAGGAGCGTATGATATCCAAGATTTGTATTTGGGCCTCTAAGTTTCGGGATTCCATAGAGCGGGCATCCCGAATGTGGTGTAAACGCTGACATTGCAGTCTCATCTTTAACCAAGCGTACTGCTTTATCTCAAGGTTGATCGATAGTAACTGAATTTGTGCATTAATAGATACTTCTTATTTCTTGCAAATGCTTTTTAGGAACTGAGGATTTAATTCTCAGGAGTGAGAAACCATAGGGTATGACGAGTAAAGTGCAACGTCGTATTAGTTTTTCGTGAACCCGATAAGCAGTGAAATTGCAGACACAATAAATAGTAATGATAGATAGTTATAGTGATCCCACTTATATAACATCCATTTCGAACGCTCGAGTTCATTATGTTCGCACTTGAAAACCGTATTCCACAGAATAGCTCTGTTGTACGGGTTCTGATCAGCTTGTATCCATGCGTCTCAAGCACCTTAATAGACTTCAGGAAGTTTTTGAGACCCCTTAGACGATATATAGCTTCATAATGAATAGTGTGATACTTATCAATCCAAATGCTCGTCAGTGAGTACAACGAGGTGTGGGTGTTTACCATGATTTACGCCAGAAATAGCACACATCTGAGGGCAAGCAGGCAGACTCCTAGGGCGTCTTTTGAGTCTTTTTGTTCGCCGTCATTGTCAAAGGTCTGAAACGATGAAACAGTGATGAGTCAGGCTAATGACCTTGGTGGCCTTGTACTTTGGCCTTCAATGTTTCCTATGGATACCGGATGATCCAAGCCTCAAAAGGGAACAGTGTCCAATTCTGGTATATCTGGGATGGCCGTTTGCCCATTTTTAACTGAAGTGATCAGCGTGTCGTCCCAGTTGCATCTCAGACGCGCTGATTAGGTTGCTGTAATTGGGAATGGAAGTCTAATTGTGTGGTTCAAGGATATAAACGCTTGGGCCCCTCTCCTATGCTCTTTCATTGTGACGCCTACCCCCCCCAGCCTGAGCGGCTGTTGCCTCAGCATCGCAACATGGAACGCAGTTGCTTTGCACCGGCCGACGTTTGTGCTTGACTTATATTCTACATTCAGTCTATGACGCATTGTTGTGACTTTGACTAGCCTGAGGCCGTGTCATCAGAACTGGAACAAAATTCGGAGCGAATTTGCCTTCTGGAGCAGGTCGAGCTGAAGGTAACACAACGGCTGGGGATGTCTGGGGAGGATATCGATTCTGATGCAGTTCTCCTTGCGTCCAAGCAGGGGAAATGCTCCGACTCGGAGGATGTTCTGCGGATTCTTCAAAAACTCCATTGCCTCCGACTTCAGGATAGTCGGGCTCGAAAATTGTTTCCAGTGGAACCGGAAACGCATTCATACCCTTCAGGTGTAAGCTCTGACCATATCGATTATCTTTAATTAATACTGAATGGTGGAATTTCAGATCCCATATCATGTCGACGCTTCAAGATTCTTCGCCCTCATCATAGGTACAGGCGAATATTCATCCTATCCACTGCCTGGCTGCAGTACGAGACGCGCAGCTAATGCAGGAGTACTTGACTGAGGACCTTGGTGTTCCCAGAGCTCGCATCCAGCTACTGGTCGGATCCAAGGAGCATGCATCCCCTAACGATCCAATGAATCCCTCGCGTGCCCATATTATCAGGTGCCCTTCTCAGTCTAATTACCAACACAGAGATTGCGTTCGGCGACAACGTCATCATTTTCTATTCAGGACATGGTGCCTGTTATCCTTCTCATGCAGAGGAAGGCGACGGTATCGAAAATATTGAAACCCTCTGTCCCATTGATCGCGACACTGCTTGACGCCAGCGGTTGTCCCGTCCCAGATATCAGCGACCGGGAATTCAACTGGAATCCTGACCCAGATCTCTCGAGCTAAGGGGGATAGGATCATGGTGATTCTCGATTGCTGCCACTCTGGCAGTCTCATCCAGGATCTCCCTGAGCCGGGAGCACGCACATCTCCTCCCATGATGTGCGCAACGCTTCAAGACATGCTCATGGCTGGAGAGAATGCTCTGAGGGGCTTCCCCGGGTACCGGTCGATCATGGCGAAGGATTGGACACTGGATATGAGCTCCCACGTTGTCTTGGCAGCCTGCAGAGGTTACCAGTTTGCGAAGCCGAAGAAGGTGATGAGGGACGATGGCACTGGGGACACATTGGAATTTTTACGGATTCCCTTGTGAGCACCCTGCGATCGAGCTTGTGGAAGAAGGAAACAAGGTATATAGATCTTGTTCGTTGCTTGGATAAGACATCTCAGCAGACACCAGTCGTCGCTGGAGATCGCCGGGAAGCTCGTCTTTGGTTTCAGGAATGACAGTAACGACTTTCATGTTTTAATGATAGATGCTCATCGTATTGTAGGAACGAATTGCTTTATGAGTATAGATATAGGGTGTATTTTATGAATACAATTGAAACTGTATTGATATCAAGTCATTTTCGCAGACCGCAAGCCGTGTAAACAATTCCAGATCTCGAACAAGAACAAGATTTTATTAAAACTGTATGTCAAGGGCAATACTAGGTGTGGAAGGCGCAATATTTGTCATAGAGAGTATCAGATGGGACAATAAGACACGCGACACGAAAACCCTTACAGGTATCGACAACTTACAAGGAGCCAAATGCGACTGCTTCTCCATTCTTGAACCGTGTGGCATTGGCTACTGCGGTCGCGAATGGAATGCCATCCTAACAGAAATAGAGGTTGATAAACTCAAAGTGGGAAATAAAGACGAAATACGCAGTGTTGCTTGGCATATGAATAGCTCATGTTATTCACTGAATGTCCTGATTCAAGTTGGTAACCAACGGACTCGGAAGAGGTTTTCACTGTTGACACCTAGTTCGGATGCAATAAATTTAAAATGAGACAGGCAATGTCTCGAATGATTTGGCCTTGAACTATGCGACCCTGACTTGCACATCGTTTAAAATGTGTTAGTGAAAGAGCTGCAATTGCATGATACTATGAAATACAGGACAGCAGTCTAAGATAACATTACGTGCTATTGACCACGGGGCCATTTAGTGCGGTCCGGTCTATCCGATACCACGGGCAGGTTGCATTCCATTTACCATCCTTCCTTGTCCATATCCATAGCTATTATCCCCGGACTATCACTAACGTCCGCATATTCTCCCTCTCGGACAGTAGTGAGATGATCCCATTTACCCCCCTATGTCTTCAATAACAACCCAACGCATCGTGATTTCACGTCCTACACTATCTCATTTCCTGTGAGCTGCCGGCGCTAGGTAAAGCTCGAATAATGGCAGGACGCAAAATTGGTACTACTTTGGGGATTCCTGGGACCATGGTTGTTACATGATCAGGCGAGTATCGTAGCCTCCAGGAACATGTGAAATTACTAACTCTAGATACTGCGGATCCTTCGCATATAGGAAACAGTGTTTACATACCTGATTTTTTTACATCAACTGTGCCTCGTAAATCTAGCAATTTTCGGCGCCAATGCAATCATCCTGTATTGCCATTGCAGCCACGGGTGTTTCAATCGTGATAGTACTCTACAGATCCAATAGAAGACTCACAGGGGGACACTTGTAAGCCAGTATTACTGCTATCTGATGGGCACTTAGTCTTATGTTCTCTAGCCTTCCAAAACTTCATTGTCCATATCTTGGGCGCAGGAGACCGGTCAATGTGAACATGAACATGCAGAGGTACTACTGAAACCATTCCATGACAGCCATCCCTGGCGAGTGTTTATCCAGAAGGGAGCCGCTCATCGTCATCATCAATGCCGCACTTTCGACTTCCCACCATCTATATCCCACAGTTCCCTGAAAAGACGTGCTTCCATGACCATTACGCCTTTGTCGAATCGCTGATCCCGGACAGTGTGTGCGCCATCACCTCACCATCACCCTCTTCCTCATATCTTTGTTCCCATTGCCTATCTTCCCTTTATCGTCGCACCGTCCCAAAGTCAGCCATGGTGCATATGGTCTGGTGCCCATCATTCTCTAATTCTGAAGAGGACGAGGGCATAAAGGGACCGAGCTCCATGTTGCACGCGGCCAGCTTTAACGATGTGCTTAGGGTTTTCATGGAATGGGACCCTGACTGCGAGTTGGATGCATATCGACGTAGGGACAATGCCGATCTGGAGACGAAGAGACTGGCACATCGAGTACGATGAAGATGAACATAGATGGACATAGATTTTCGATTCCTCATGCCAAATCAGGGCTGCAGTCAGCGAACAATACTTTCCGCTGTCCTCCGAAAATTGTCCACGCTCAGTACTGGGCACACTTGATACCGCTGATGCACTGTCTTTCCTTCCCTTTCGGTTTCATATGGAACTGACCTAGGAAATGAAAGGTCACTCGAAGAGGGTGATGGCTGCGCCCAACCCATGTGAGGATTAACTCAAGAGGTTTGCAAGACAGCATTCCTCAAGGTCTATGTGATCCTTGGATGAGCTCACTTCGCAGTAGTCCATTGGACTTGCTTCGAGCATGGTGTAATGGCCACTTTCTGCAGGCAGTTCATAGTACCAAGGCTTCCTACACTTACAATGGTACAATCTTAGCTTACTTTTTTCGGATGGGTCACTGAGAACAAACCAAGATTTCGTAAGACAGATTCGAGTCTCATGTGGTGGATCCCCCCACAGTATCCACTTTGTTTTTCTGGTATTTCATATTGTTTGCTTCGTATTGGATATGGTATAAATACTATACTACTGTCTCTCATTGGTCGACAGGTGCACTCTTCGCGATTGCTCAGAGTTCAATTTCCTATATCCCAGACTTGAAAACTGAAAGAAATCTTGATTATGCTTTTTACTCAACTTTTACTCGTTCATGGGTGGGACGTATTTCATTCCTGAAGAGTTGAACTAGCCCGGGCTCAAGCGCTCAAGTCGCGCAAAAATCACAGTCAAAGAAACAAAAGGAAAAAATGTATTATGGCGAAATGTATCTGACATTGAAAAGACAGAGGTCCTGGTGATGTTGCTTAAATGAATGGGTATTTGGTAAGGAAGAAGTAACATTTAGTCAACACGGCGTGTTATCTATATCAATTGTAAAATAGAGGTTTGTACACAATGTAGAAAGGCAAGCGCCCAAGGTTCGAGTGTAAACTTGCATTATGGATTTCGCTATGAGTTATACCCTGATACCGGAGATGAGTATTTCGGTCTGTTACAGCAACACTTGGCATCTGAGAATCTCGCTCGTTGGACTGGAAGCTTGAGATATTCATCTTATCATTGGCTTTACTCTGATACCAAAGATGAGCATCTCGATAAGTTCCAGCAACTGACCGGCAGTTTGATGGACCGACTCATTGAAGGCATTCAAGAAGGTCGATGTATGTCGTCCTTTCATTGCAGTAGCCGGACCATAGAACACGCAAGAGCGAATGCGTGAAAATGCCCACATGCACTCCACCCACCTGCCTCTCCATGGCAAACTGGTATGCCTTGCAGGCCGCCAAAACAATGTGGGAGTCCTCATCCGGGTACCAATCCTCTGACAGAATGGATGAACAACCAAACTGCACTGAGATTCTTCTCTCCAGCATGGAGCATATCTCCAATGGTCGCCCAGTCTCATTCCACTGGCAAGTACGCGCTTCTGGCGAAGGCACGTCTCGGCTAACACCACCAGAATGACAACAGTCGAGAATGACGGTGATGTGGTGACCCTTCGATCGGGAGATTAAAGTTAGGATCATGTTCAGTTCCCTGTCACTAATGTCGGGAACAGTGTTACCGTTCGCATCACAGGTGTCCCGATTGATAGGACAAAGTGCTTCAATGCATCCGACACTTCCAAAACTGATTTCTGCTCCATCGTCTGGTTTCTTGGCATTAAGGTGACCTGAATATTCATATGAGGAGCCATGACCGGCATAGTAGATGATGATGTTATCGCCTTTCTCGATCTCTTTGTTGTTCATGAGACTGAGAAGCGCATCGATGATATGGGTGCGGGAAGGATACATTGGATCGGCGTAGTAGATGATGATGTTATCGCCTTTCTCGATCTCTTTGTTGTTCATGAGACTGAGAAGCGCATCAATGATATGGGTGCGGGAAGGATACATTGGATCGGTGGGAGAATCATGCTCTTTGGATCCGAGAAGAAGTTGGATACATCCCTCTGGTACGCCTAGGTCGGCAATCAAGTACTGATGAAATGATTGCACGTCTGTCACGCCACATTCCAGTATTGAGATTTCTTTATATTCGTCAATCCTGATGATGACAGCCCAGAATTGAGAAGCGTCGACTTTGTGTGGTGGCTGGGGAGAGATTGGGGTCAGGGTTGACCTGTAAGGATATGTACTTATGCCGCCTGTGGGAAAGGGGCGCTGTGACCTATTGTAATGAACCAACTTAACACATTGGTGATGGAAATTTTGGATATCAGGAAAATTGATGTAAGTGGGATGTTTTGTCGATTGACTGGATTTAACTTCATTTACAACATTTCCCAAGTCTTCAGTCATCCCCTTCTTCTTTGATGAGGGAAGCCCACAGTTACGAGGTTGATGATCAGCCTAGTTGAAGGTCTGGCGATGTGCAGAAAGAATGGACCAATGGTGCACCTTAGTCAGGTAAACCCGCCTCAGATCTTTAATCTCTTTGTTTAACTCTTCAGATAGTTTATGGTATCGCATATTTCAAAGACGAATTTTCCGCGCTGACAGGATGGCGGTAGTTTGAAGATGAGTAGTTACACTACTACTGTTTAGTTGTGACATCAGCATAATGCGAGTCTCATCACATGATGAAGTTCTAATGTAAGGGATACAGATTATTTACGGACCAGTTATCTATGTCATTTCTTTCTTTCTGTTTACCTATGCCTTTGGACTGCTACATATGCACCATTTTTGGCTCTTTTCCTTCTTTAACCTTTAGTTTCTACCATGCCTTTGTGTCTTTGACCTAGCTTTCTCTGGCAATATACGCCCGACTCATACTCATTTCTGGGTTGAAGACCCATTGCGTGGCAGATCCTTTACACATCTTTGAGTATCTCGAATTTGTATCTTTGCCAGCTAACTTTTCTAGGCTTTTTTCGTGCTCGTCTAGCACCTACATTGCATTGCATACATTTTCTTGACGCACTACACGACTGTACCAGCACTTCAACCGGCCCCAGCACTCGCTGCTACCTCAATGCTCCCGTGAGAGTGTTTCTTTGCTTTTTTTGACTCTACTGTGCTTGTTCGCCCTCTGAATGCAAGCGCGACTCTACTGGAATCTCTGCCAGCCACCACCTCTAGGATCCATGGACCCTGGACCCACCACTATGCATATGACATCGTCAGTGGGGCGTCGTACCGCTGCTACCGCTACCCACTTGTCTCGACCATCGACTGCGCCATCCCAGGCCCGGTCTCAGCCTGTCTCACCTATGTCTCAACATTGTGCGTATCGGAGCTACCTCAATGCATCTGATGAGGAGATACTGGAGGAATTGGCTCAACATCACCGACATCGTGAGGGGGAAGCTCCTGGTGAGTTACCTCGTATTTCTTCTTCACCTGTTCACTCTCCAAGCAAACGGGATCCCCATTTTCTACCATTGCCAACAGTGGCTCGGCCTGCAGCCACCCCAAGCCATGCTGGCTCATGGGTGTGTGCCTCACCATCCCATGTAGCGAACTCATCGCCATCGTGCTCACCTCCGGGGCCTTCGTCTGCCCTTTTGTTATGGTTTATTAATTTTCTTCGTTTTACTCAGCTTGATTACTCACATGCGATCACCACGGATTACTTCTCACAGTACTATTATTAGTGTATCAAAGTGTATTTAAGTAGAGCCTAAGCTGGTCTAAACCCCAGCTTCGGCTAAGGTTTAATCTACCCAACTCCAAGCTCCCCATTTTGAGACTATCTAAGTCCCCGATCGACTTCATACGTCGCCTTTGACTTGCTAGAGTATCATCCACTGAAGTGTGAGTGGTGATCCTAGTTCGATCTAAGTCAATTAAAGTTGGTTGTTGACATTTAGCCAAAGCTTGTCCTACGTTGCTCGACGCTGTACATCGCCCAACATTTACCCCACTATCCTAATCGTTGCAGCGACCATCTGGGTCCTGCCCCTCGTGTTGCAAGATCCATTGATCCTAGCGATCACGGAAGTAGCAACCGTCGTCCTTATCCTTCGAACCTACGTCTCGGCTCCAGTCCTTGCAGCCTTGCTTGTAGTGCTCTACATTGGATATCTTCGAATCTAAACCTGTTACTATATCTTCATATCACCCAGTTGCTCACAGCTACGGCAGTCCTACTGCTGATAGTGACCAGCTCGTCGGCACCTGAATTTCCTTCGATAGTCAACATTCACCCGTGGATGACAGATATCGAAACAGATCACCAACTCCATATTGCCTTTCTCCTAGTCCTTCTTGTAATCGCCGTCCAACTGCTCATATGCCACTTGCTGAACTGCTACCAACAATTGCAGTAGCCTTTGGATTACTCGCAGGGGCACTCCTAGCGCTTGCCCTGAGAGCATTGTATAGGTGCTGTACCCATGCACGTAGGGCATGACTTCCGTTTCATTACATTCCCCATCTCCCCATTCCATACCCTGTAACTCCATATCCGCATATTCCAGAGCACCCGACACTTCATGATGGATGACCCATCACACCCAGACCAGAATCCTGAAGAGGGGAATCCCCCGATTCCAGGGAGTCTTCCCCAACCCCAAGAGCAGCCTCCGTCAACATCACAGATGTACGAGGCATTGATATACTCGGAGACATCCATGTCTCGCCCCCAGGAATCATTGATCTCCCTCCCGTTGGAGGAGAAGAAGGAGGGTCTCTGGACAAAGGCGAAGAAAGTGATGTTGATACCGAGTTCGAAGGCGATGAGCTCACAGACCTTGAAAGGGTCAGGCTCGAAGACCTCCTTGGCGACCTCTATCCGCCAGAAGAAGATGCAATCGATACTGGAGACAACTGGTCAGGGTGCTCAGGAAACAGGTGGGCCGATGTCAACCCCACCCCCAGGAAATACCATCGTGGAGATGACTTTGAGGAAGATAGTGGAGAGCTCGGCCTTGGGGCCTCCGCCGCAACTACCACCCGTGCAGCTGGAACAGACCCCTATAACAGTCGAATCATGCCAGGCACAGGAAGGGAGTCCAGTGGGATCCCTGTGGCGTGGCACCCCTTAACAAGTTGGGTCTTCACCAGGGAAGAAACTCCTGTGGCCGGGACCTCAACCCAAGCTGCAGGGTTCAAGGAAACTCCCTGCCAGAGGACCATTACCCTCCCCGCCAAAACCGAAGAGCAAATCTGGAGTACCATTGAGGCATACTCCCTGGACACTCACCCTGATCTTTATGCATGAAACACCACTGCCATTCACACACGAGACACAATTACCAACGACACCCCTTGCCTTGAATACCCGGGTGACACGGAGGAGGGGGAGCAGATCCTCGATTGGTTTGGAGGAAGTGCCACCGCCGACGAACTCCCTGGCGTCCCCCCTCACCCTCCACCAGTCGCACCACAAGCATTCGCAGTCCCCCTCCCAATCAATCAGAGACCTTGGACCAATGGGTACAACACACTCGTCCAGTCCAACTTCGACCTTCGAGCTGCCCAGCTCACCCCAGAAGGAGAGGCCCTCATGGAGTGAGGAAGAACGGTGAGTGCACGCATCAGAAATGCAGAGCGTCGCACCATCCGCAACCTCAGTTTCAGGCTACCCATTGAACCCGACGCCACAGCAGATGAGGCCCGGCGAAGGCTCAGAACTGCCAAGCTCCGGCTTCGCGAAGCCTCCAGGAGAGCAGGAGATGACCTTGAGCGCCATGATGAGGCCCTTGAGGACTTCGACTTTGAGATGCTCAATGAGGAGTGCTCGGACCTTGCCGACTTCAATCGTGAACAGGCCCGAATGGCCAGAAGAAGAGCTGAGTCGGGCGACAGCGAGCCCTGGTCCCTATGAGGCAGCCGACAGTGGAGCACAGAAGAAGTCGCCTGCTGGAATGCTGAGCAGGCCACCTCTCAGTCAGGTCATGAAGGAGGTGATGAGGGACATAAAGAGGGTGCTCACTGAGCAGATCACGGTCATCCCCCCCCTCCTGAACCTCCTAACCTGGGACAATATGTATAAAGTAATTGCAGAAGACATGGTCCATGACCCGCAGTGGCTCCTCTCTGAGGCTGGGGAGGACTACCTTGACACTCACCTATCAGGCGATGCTTATCTAATGAAAAACATACTGGAAGTAGACGCATGGCATCGGGCGGCCATCGTCTGGAATATTTGCCACCCTGACTACCCAAAAGATGGATGCGCCACGTATCAACAACCGGTGCCAATGCCCCATCCACTTAGCGTATATGGTGCCACAGGAGGAGGCACAGACCAAGGCTTCGAGGAAGATGAAGGGGCTGGACCTTCAAACCCTGATAAGGGGAAAGGATCTACAGTACTGAAGAGACCGCCTGCAGGACCTCCCCCCCCGATGGGGCCATGTCCTGGCAACTATCCAGGAGGATATCCCCCTCCTGGGGATAACCCAAGGTTGCGGTTGCTGCCTCAACCACCGAATCTGCTGATTCCCCCAGTTCCACCCTCGCTGCCGGATTCCATCCCTCCTTGGCAGCTAGCTCCAGGCGCGGTGAACAACCCCTGGAATGACGTCAAACCCAAGTTAATCATGCAGCCAGAGTATTTTACTAGAGTGTCATCAGACATAAACCGATTCCTCCACCACTGCGAGATGTATTTCCAGGTATTCCCCGTATACTACACCATGAACCATCAGGGACAAAACCCCTACCGAATTACATTTGCCCAGGGATACCTACGAGGAAAGGCACAAGAATGGTGGGGGGATCAATACTACTGCTATAGGGACCCGCAGGGGCACTGGAGGTTTTCATCATGGGAAGAGTTCTCCCATGATCTAACCATCCAATTCCACGAGGTCGCTGAGTTAACAATTTGGAAG